CGTCTCGTCGAAGGAGCGCTCTCTGTAACTTGCTGCGTATGCCCGACTCGTCCTGCGATTGCGTGCATTGGCCCGAAATTAAGCAGTCGCAAAAGCCTGGCGAGATCCCTGATCTGAAGCTGACATGGCGTGCGATGGGTCCCAAGGACGCGGGGCGCAATTCCTGGTAAGCTGCTTGGCCGGAGAAAGATCCTTGGGAGCGGATGGTCTTGTTTCAGATTCTCTGGATTGGGCAACTCACAGATTGGCGTGAGCCAGCCCGCCGCGCCACAGAGCCACAGCTGCTGCGTCGGCCACGTCGGCGTCAAGGCGTGCTGGCCTAATCCCTATGCGATGGGGGAAGAGGCTGACATCAGCAGGGGGTTTCCAGCGTCGGGTGGGTTGGGTTGGCTTCGTGGTCACTGGTTGGCACGCCGGCCAGGTCAGATGGGTTGTGGTCCGTTTAGGTGCATCGCGGCCAGACAAGGATGCCCGTCAAAGCAAGTTCGGACGAAACCCTAGGCCAGCTGCTGCCGCGCATACTAGCAGTGCAACTCGAGCTAGCGTCTGATTCGTCAAGAAGCGTCTGATCTTCCCCGTTCAGGCACTTTCAGTTTATTCATAGAAATCCCAGGGGCACCTCCCTCCTCCCAACAGGATGCGGGAATTGGACAGAGCCCAGGGTAGGGGGGCTCGCCATAGTGTACTGTACTGTGGCCTGTCAGGGACGGAACCACCAGCGTCAAGAAGATCAGATGAAAGAACGCAAAATCATAGGTCACCGAACCGGGACGCGTTGATGGTTACGCCTCCGAGGGTCTATGCCCAACTAAGTGGGCTCTCCAACAACTTCAGCTCGTTCGCTTCTCCTTCACGCATACGACTTAGCCCGTTCCGATGTGTAACAACGCGACGTCCAAGCAGAGGGAGACGTTTGATGCCAATGAGTGTCCTCCGTCAGATTACGCGTGTCCCCATTGCCAGGTTCCGTACGAGGGCCACAAGGTTCTGTGTTGCGGCAAGGCGGCGGCGGCATTGTGCCTACAGAGCTCGTGATCTGAATGGCAGGGCACTCGTGTCCAGCGCTGTCAACCGATTGCCATGCTGATGCTAATGCAACTACCCAATGCGTATGATAACCTAGTTACTTCTTCTTCCCACTGATCAAGGGCAACTCTTTTTATTTCCTCAACATCCAGCTTACTACACTGACGTCTGACGATTGGGCTCGGATTTCCTTGACTGCACTCTTTGCTTCGTTTTTAAGATGAGCCTAGGCAGTGAAGCGAGAACGTATCGCAGTATGGTATAAAGGCTCTGGCTTCTGGCGGTGAGGGGAACCGGTTGTATACCCAGCCGTAACAAGATATGACTGGAGCCATACCCTCGAGATCTCATCTCCATCTTAATGTTCTGGGGTACCGAAATTTGCACTGAATGACATCATGACGCCCAGCGCTGGCAATACAGATACTCGTATTTTCATATGCCAGAGTCCTGGCGGCAACATCAACCCACCAAAGAAAGGAAAAAAGCTCCTCGGCTCCTGAGCCGTTGCATGGCGGGTCTCACAACGTGTCATCGGGCCAGGGTCAAAACTGGACGCACGCAGGTCGGCAAGCGAGGCAAAGGATTCTACGGATGTCGCTGAGCCAGAGACATATATTAATAAATCGCGTACGCACACCTCGCGCAGGGTCCACCCAATCTCGCGAGCAATATTCGTCTGGGCGCGGAATCATCCGTGGGCGAGAAGGTATCCAGATTGGTCAGGGTTACCCGAACCAACACCTGAAAGTACCTAAATTGACGCGAAGCGCAATCTAAAAGGCGCAAGATGTCCAAATAGGGAGGAATTCCATCTTGGGGACTTACTACGCAAGAAAACAGGTCTCCATGATGAATAGTAACCGGCGCAGGGGCGTCACAATGAGCCGCATATTGCTGCAGAGGCTCGGGTGTGTGATGCTGGTGGCATGAGATGGCGCTAGCTACCTACGCTCGAATGTACCTAAATCACGCGCGAAGCACCGATGAAATGTAGGTAGCTGATAGGCGAAGATAGCCGTGCAGTCTTTTCATTGGAATTATGAACCTACTGTACGTGCTTGACGAACGAATAGTGAGTACCAACCGTGCGCTCTGGATTGTGCTCAGCTCGTTCTGGAGCCCCTCATGAACCCCTCACTCATGGAGACTATTCAACACCATCTGCCCCGGAGATCATGTTTCTAAACGGGTTTCCGGCCTACCGTTCCTCGCATTTCAGACCACTAGTTGCCAGTATCGAGGCTCCGAAACGCTGTCGCACAGGGTCACATCCTTCTCCTCTTTCTGTCCCCCCGCCATGCGGTCTATAACTTATGGGGGGTCCAGTAGGGTCATTAGATCCTGGCATAATGTAAAACGTCCGTTCGTTCAAGTCGCTCTAATCTGGGTATATAAGAGCCGACTTATACATTGCGCGGTCCTTCGTAATACGAATCAGATAACCTGAATGTCGCACCCCCTGCCCGGTAGTTTCTGATAGCACGCACTCCGAGCACAGAATGCACGAACGAATTCAACCTTAACCTACCGCGATCTGACAGAACAGGTAACAACGAAAACAACAATGCAGCCTCCGGCCGTCGGTCCCGACAAGGCAAGTTTCCCGTCAGATTTCTGGTTTTTCTCACGCCCAGGATATGGACTCACCCGTGGGCCACATGAGTGGGTTTGTCGCCAATGCAGGCCTTACTGTGGTAAGGGAGCTCAGGGCTCTCCAGACCGCCTGTCAACAACACGACCGTATCACATTCCCGGTTCCAGGAAACGCCATGGGGATCGCCGCGAGCATCCATCAGTATCCGCCATGCCGTGCGCGTGTCACGGGGATGTGGACCCTGGCTCCGGCGGCTTACCCTCCTGTAAGAGCTGCACTTGGACGACGTGCACAAGCCAGCCCTGCCACATGTGAGAACAGCCCCAGTTCCAAGATTGTCTTTGATCCTCTTACACTTGAGATCGCAGGACCCGGCTGAGCTTCGAAGCCGACGATCCTTGCTGGTCAGCAACGGCCCCGCTGCGTGTCGTCCGTTCCCAGTCAAACTAAGCGATAGTTAGTCGCTTTCCGCCACGCTTCCCACCCACGCCCAGACGCCGTTACCAAGCCCACCTTCGACCTTAGCTAGCACCCACCTATACAAACCTGCTGATAATAATTCGCGTGGGACTGTGTTCGTGCGAGATGGGCCACAAGCCGCAGCGCGTGGCTCGAGCTGCATGTACCATGGCAATCTGCTGAGCGGGAGTTCGCTTCGGTCGACCTGCATGGCTCGCTCTTTCATTGCGCCGTACTGCGCATGCTATTACTGTGCAGAGGCGAGAATGATGTACGGAGTACCTGACCACATCGGACATCTGGGGAGCTTGCCAGAGGCGCAGGCCATACTGAGCCTTGCCTTTTCGTACCTCGCAAGCCGAGTTCATCTGTCCCGTAAACTGTGCGCCACAATTCTGATCCACGAGGTACTTCCAGGTAACCTTTGCACAACAGAGTCCAATCCTCATGAACGATGGCTTCTCGAGTGGGTTCCTCCCTTATGAACCCCCCGCCTACACAGTAACGAGGGGACGAATACGGTCAAATCTCGTTATTTCCGCTCGGCTGCCCCTCTCGTGGCTCTGCTCGTCTGTAATCTGATCCATACTAGCTGTCGTTCATCGCAGGCTAGCCAGGTATCCATTGGTCGTGTGTGGCTTACCCACCACTTGCTCCAGTCTGCTACTCTGCGCCTGGCAGGCCTGGAGGTGGTTATTGGCCTACGCACACCGGCATACACCCCCCCACACCCATCTGAGGAGTGTTCGTCGAGCCCCGAACGGTGCCTATCCATACTGTGAAAGGATCGACCCTGCATGGCACAAAATTCCCCGGCCTGTGCGAGCCTCTGGTGCTGGCGAAGATTCCAGGCTGCTTAACACCAAACTGGGGCTTGACACGCCATCTCCAAAAGTCGAGACTCCAGCGATCCCTGGAGGCCCTCTACATCCCGGAACCCTGACTGCAGATGAGGACAAGGGCCGAAGCTCAATTCGCTCTTCATCGAGCTATCACAGCCTTGTCATTGCAGTGGCGTGAAAAGAAAAAGCTATCCCCCTCCCGTCCCACGGCACGTCTTGCCAGTTCTCTCGAGCCACACTTCCTGTGTCGTCCACCCAGCGCCTCACTAGTTGTGTTTCGACTAAGCGGTCCATACACGCCCGTTATATTAGGAACGCTCAATCTGTCTTAGCCACGCCCTCTTACAGCGAATACTTGCTGCTCCTCCCAAACAGACCCAGACACAACCTACCCGTTCTCTTGGGCGGCTGCTCTTCTTGGTTACCCTTACCCTATTATTCCTTCAACCCTGATTATATTGCCCACGGCCCTTGCACTATGTTTTCCTGAGACGCACTGCTCCCAAATGAAATAAGCCAGGCACATCAACTTCTCCACATCCACAGAACGAGATCGACTTTCCGCTTCGGGCATTGCCTAAAACGGCCACAAGTGGCAGAATTACTTACGACTCACCTCAAATTGCCGTCCCGTTCCAAGATCTCTCTGGCTTGCTTCTTCCCGAGGCTGGCGGGTTTTTCTGTTAGTCTAGCACCGACCCTCGCCAGTAGCCCGGGGTTTCTCGAACGGGCCCTACGCCGGTCCTGGGACGGACAAATACTACTTACTACCCACGACCCTACTGCCCAATTCGATACTCTTGGATATTACATACATATGTATGCGGCACTGACGACCAGATGAGGCTGGGCCTTGCAACCCAAAAGATCCATAAGCCCCGCTTGCTTCCTTTCCTCTTCCTACTAAGCTGGCCGTCCTACCCAGCTCACTTATGCAAAGGTTATTAGCTCTACGTACCCCAAGTCTATTGTTTACTCCTTCTTGTCCCTGTCTCTTTCCCTCTCTCCCCAGATGTAAACATCTTTTTCTTCCACAGATGTCAAGCAAATACTTGCTCCCTTGAGCGGCTGTCGACATGATGCTCACGTTGAAACAGCCAGTGCACTACGGGTACCGTACCGTCCATGACCTACCGACACCTCCCTCGACATCCCGACCATCACCCCCCGTGACTCTCCAGGAAACCTCCCATAAACCTCTACCGCCAATTCCGCACAAGAACAGTCCGTCTTTCAAGGAGATGTCAACACCTCATCGTGGATTGCCTCCGCCGGCAGCCATGACTCTTCCTCAGCCCAACCCTCCTCAAGGACCCGGATCTGGACTAGGCCACCCTCAAATTCCTGGACCACATGCACCCTCTCAGGTGCAACCACCTCCGCCTCAGAGTCAATCGCTTGGTTCGTTACCAGCGCCACCGCAATGGCAAGGGCAGGGCGCAGACGACTCGATGAGGACTTGGTTGCTTGCAAAAACGGAGGAGGAAAGAAGGAGACAGGAAGAAGAAAAGACTAGACAAGAAACACTGCGGTTGGAGCAGAGGAGGCTAGAACATGATATGCTCCGTACATCTTTAGATCGCGGCATACCGCCGCCCATGGTTCCCGTGGTATTTGCTGGCATGAGCGGAGGTGTTCTGCCACAGGCAGCCTTGGAATGGGCGCAACAATACTTGGCACCACAGCACGGCCATCAGCCTCAACTACCGCCCGCCCAAGGGCCTATGTCACCGGAGCACCGGAGGGATTCCGTGTCCCATGGATACGCCTACGCGGGGTCTGTGGGAGTACCGTCTACGCCGGGTTCAGGTGCTGGTCCTCAGAGCGGGTTTGTGCCATACCAAGGCCCGGGCTCCCCAACAAGAGCGAGAGCACACACGATGTCAGTTGCTGGGGCAGTTGGGCGACCGCTTGGGAGCTCCTTGCCTCGAATCAGCACGAACGAAATGGCAGCAACAGCAGCAGCACCGTCGGGCGCCCCCTCCCACACGCATTCATTTGCCCAGCAACAATCCGTCTCGCAACAACAAGAGACACAGTCCCCATCCATTTACTTCCACCACTGGCAGCCGCCCACTTCGCAGAGCAGCTCGAGCCAGCCCCCAACCCCTGCCGGTTCGTCAAAGCGCAAGAGAAGCCTTTAAGACTTGCTTCGCTAATGGTGCGTGTTAGTGGACTCGCCGAGGAAGCGGAAGGCTACGGGCCCGCAGCAAGCAGCACCTCCCCCGAATACACAAGCCAGCAGGAGGTCCCCCCCTTTTGGTCACTCGATGGGCCCATCGACCATCTCAAATCCGCCCCCGGGCCGGCGGCGTGGCCACTCGCGCCAGAGAAGCGATATATCTTCGTATAGGTCTCGCGCCCGAGGGGACAGCTTCGGCCCATCGAGAGCGTTGTCCCCCGGTCTGAACGCGACCCGAGAAGGCGCACCACTCGAGGGTTCGCTGCATACCCGAGGTAGTGCGCACTCGGTGTCGTCGCTGCTGTCGGACCATGCGTCGCCACGGTACGGGTCGGAGATGAGGGGCCAGAAAGGGGAGCCAGAGCGAAGGCAGTCCCCCGGCTCTTCTGACGATAAATCGCGTGGTGGCGCCGCAGGATCAGCACCACATGCGCGCGAACGAGAACATGATTAAACGGCATGAGTTATTCACGAAAATTCCACGTTTTGAATGAATCTCGATTTCGACTTATTCCATTCCCAAACCAATCCCTATCGACCTTTCAACCCCGTGAGCAGCCGATTTTTAGCTTGACCTGGCACTTATTACGCTTTGAGACGAGCCTTTTCCCCAGCTTTGGGATACCTAACAACATCGACAACCGTGGAGTTGCTAATGATATCCATTGACCCTTTCTCTTCGGCTTTACATTCATCTATTCAATGTGTAACTACTTAACGTTGTATAAACTAGTTTTTCAACCTTTCTTTTCTTCATGCATGTCACTTGGGACTCTACAACGGTCTAAAAGCATCTTGGCCCGGAGAACTGGCCAAAGGGAGGGGAACGGAGTTTCACTAGGGGCGGGAACATGATTTCTTGGTTGGGGGCTGGGACTTGTACTATGAGAGCGATGACCTGCAATCAGAGCAGAGGACGGGTGGGCTCACCCGAGGGGGCCACGGTGTGGGAGATGTAGATTCGAGGTTCAAGAGATCATAACAATTACGAATCTTCATTACGAAACTTCAGTACACGAGAGTTCATCTCGGTTCGCTGAGCTCTAGATATCTGTCCGCTCCTGTCTTGCCTGCCTTCTTTTACTTTTGGGTGATGTAGCATTAATTTGGTTTGGTTTGATGGCTTATAGCCCCAAACAGTGGACGGTGCTCTGCAAAAAGTTGTAGACCAGTATCGTCCTGACTGTGTACTATGACGGCAATTGATAAATGGGTAATGAAATGACATCTTGGGCATGTCGCCAAATTGCCTCAAGGCATCCCCCGGTAGCACAGAAGGATCAGAAAACTAATTATGGAGTCCAAGTCCGAACCGCTCAGGGTGTAACACCGTACAGATGACGTTGGCCAATATAGGGCTGCTGTGCCCGACACAAGGGTCATCTGGTCGGATCAGACACTGACGTGCTTAAACGTGACGGTTCCGAGGCGGTAAACATACAGATCAGGCTTTTTTCATGGGACTCTCTCTCCGTCTTACACAAGTGAAGTGTGGCTGAGGATCAAGACGGTGATGATACAGGGCAGGCGTTTGGGCTCATGAGATCACGGACTCGAGGGGGCTTCCTCCCTTGTTGCCGATGCATGCCCCAGGTCTCCGTGCGTAAATGTCTATTACCCCTCATGGCCTGCAAGAGACAAATCAGGTCTCCAGAGCGCCATCCGCGCGCCAGACGGCCGAGACGGCATGCCGTGCGGTGGGCGGGTGTGCTTTGGGCCGGTATAATGGGAGGTGGTATAGGTCAGGTCCCCCCCAAGGATGCAAAGCTCGGACACAATTCTATGTTTGCTAGATGAAATGATCTACATACAAAAGATTCAAAAGTGAGAGAGAAAAAACAGCCCCAAGCGCCTTGCGTGTGGTAGTAATAGGAAACAAGTCCCCAAGGGCCCGAACTCAGTGTGAGCAGGGGTCATAGGCGCTGGTGGTGTCGAGCCGCTTGCATGAACCATATACGGCAAGATATGAGAGAGGGAAGGGAAAGAACTTGGTCGATTCAGTTACCCCCAATCCACGTGGATTTGTCGAAAGTATGGTTCGGCAAATGCTCCCCCCAAGTCGATAATGGAGGGACATAATAGCGAACACGTGGGGCTCTGAAACCAGTTGGCGCCGAGTTTGGAATAGCCTATAGAGGGACTTCCTATAGTAGGCCACGAAAGAAGCGGTTCGTAATTGAACACGGCATCTTCGACACATTTAGGAACTGTACAAAAAATGATAGACTTGGATTCTGTACTTTTCCGGTACGCCCTGCCGCCAGGCTATGGCCGACCTTTCCTGATAGCCGCTGTATGCTTATACAATTGAGTTTAATGCACGATGCATGATGTACGTACGGCCGAATCGTATCAAAGGTACCAAAACCCATCTGCAGAGCTGAAAGCGGCCGATGGGATAGGTTCCAAGAAGGAGGCGACACGCAAGTCCATATTGACTCCAATATCGGGACAGGGGCAGAACTGCGACCCTTGCAGTAAGACCTGCTTCGTTGGGACTATTATTCCGGTACTGCAACGTCGACGACTAGGCGCCTAGAGTCGAAGCGATGTGACTCTATGCTGATGACTCGCAGTCTACCTCGGGCGGCTTGAGACTGTGTACCGGGCGCCAATAGTACGCAGTGTCTGAAGTCGACATCCGCACCTCGACGTCTACAGCGCGGCTATTTATATCCCGCACGGACTTCGTTCTGTTGACCTTCTCCCCAAGGAGGGTTGTTGTACGTCGCGCCAGTAGCGTTTCATAGCAGACCTCCCAGCGTCATGCCCAGACGCACAGGCGCGGTTGAGGGTGGAATTCGGGAATGATTGACGGCATGGATCGCCTAATTGCTGCTGAGTGGTTCGGCCCAGCCTCCTTACATCCGGTGTGGAAGGGCAGCCAACCATAGCCGGAATTCGAACTTGATGTCGCATGTTTCTATTCATGTCCACACACGGGGGCACACTCTCTTATTTTGAAACTTAGACCGACCTACCACAGCTTCTTCTGACACAAGAGAGTTTTCCTTACGCCTTTGAATGTCGAGGCATGCAAGCCGCAAATGCAACGGCATCCTACTGCAGCTCAAGCCCGATTGCCTAGTTCCGGTTGGTGACAACGGCCGTTTCAGCCGCCAGTGAGGTTGCAGTGCAGAGGCTAAGCTGTACGAATCATGCTTCATCTTGGTTGTATGCAACTGATGCGCCTCTCGGAGGCATCGCAGTACCGGCTCCGTACCTCGGTGAAGACGCCGTGCATGAACCAACCCAAGCCTGTGAGCGACAACGCGCCGGGGGAGCTGGCAAGCAATCACGAATATAGAAATCATGTGCAAGTCAGTGCGACGGTATGTTCCGAATCGGAACTCTTGCATTCATTTCGAATCGATGACGGAAAAGCAGTACACAGGCATAGCTAGGCAGGATCAAGATGCTGTCAGCTTACCATGATCAAACGTCGTACGATTGATTGGGCAGGGCATGGTGCAAGCGAGTATCGACCTACGGATCGCCGAGACTGCTGTGTACACTCAAGCCAAAATGAAGGGTCGATATCATCGTTCCTACGTTGTCATATGATTGTCGAAAGCGACACATGGGCAACGGCCATCTCTACGGGCTTGCTTCCAGCACTTGTAGCAGTGACTTGAACTGGGCCTTGGCGGCGGCTGGGACCTTTTCTTTACTTCTCCTCAGAATATCACGATACACGATACACGATCCTGACCTTGATGGATTATGGCTCCCCTGGTTGAAAAACCAGGTTGTCATTATACTGGGCCTCAGGGCCCCGTGAGTTCGGCCGCCGTCCTGCTGGAATTACTGGGCCTAACTTGGAATTTGAAAGGCATGCAGCTGTAGGACTGGATCCTGGTTTTCCGCCCTTACCTGAACCCGCCGCACCATCGCATATTCGTTTTACGACTGTACGCCGAAAGCCGGCGCCACGACCGTCCAACCTGCAGGATGATCCATCACGGCTACAACTCCGACAGTAGGCGAGTTCTATTACATCCTTGCCGCTATCCGAGCGAGCCGCAGAGGCAGCAATAGTCGTAGAAATGAATGGTCGCATAACCAAGGTAAGGACTGATACCCACGGCTTGTGTGCTAACTTTGTGGCCACCACGTGAAATCCATGATGCTAAAACGCTGAAAAGATTTCACTGCACACCTAACAAACGGTGGAGATGCTTATCGACAAATCCAAGCGATACTGCTTAGTAGTCTTGTAGATATAGCACCAGTATGTAGGGACGAAGATGTGGACAAGGTTCAACCGAACCGCTTCACACGAAATGCACGTCTTGTTGGGATGTACGTGATATATTTCACTCAATATCTGTACCGAAGCAGATGAGCTAGCCCTTGGACCCCCTCTTCTCTTGGCTATTCAATCAACATTCCGGGCCCTCTTTCCCCGGGCAACATGCGCTCTTGTCCAAAGCCCACAAACACGTATTTTCCCATTGCATAGCTTATACGAAGGTTGGTATCTCGATTGCCCTGCCAAAAATGATCATGCCCCCTCCTCATGTACGCATGTCTATATCAAACATCGGGATTGTTCATACCCCAGACCAGAACTCCGTATGCAAAATGCAAGAAAGGGTAACAAAATAAGGTAAAAAGCCGCCAGCGCCCCCATTATCAGGGTCCTGGCGACAGAACAAGATGCGGCAATACGCCGCTAGTACAGGTCCACCGAGCGCCGAGCATGTAGCCAAATCATTGTCATCCTCCGGCCTCTTTCTTCAACCGCTTGTCGCCTCTATTTGGCATCGGCTCCTTTACTTCCATAACTGCTTGCACTGTTGAGACTCGGCGGTCGGCCATCCGTACCATCAGAGGCTGCAGAGGGCGACAGGTTGTCTTGGCTTCCGAGCAGCTCGCCCAGCGATGCCGTGCTCGACGGACGGTTCTTCCGCAGGACCGCCTTTGGTGGCTTCTCTGCTTTCTCCGTCTTATCTTCGCTGTCCTTGCGATTCTTGATCAACTTCCTGAAAGGGCGTTTCTCCTTCTGCGTCGAGACTGATGTTGCTGTCGTCTCTGCGATAGAGCTTTTGTCTGATATAGAAGATCGATTGTCGCTCGACGTGCGGCTGGTCATCTGCACAGGAGGCGGCAGTGTAGACCCTCTATGAGAGGCAGCAGCCGGAACTGGTACCACTGCATCAGGTCCAACATCTGAAATGATCGGAGGGCTCCTCGATGGCGACGATCCAGCTGTTTGGCCAGCTGCGCCAGTCTCAGGTTGAGAAGCTGGAGGTACCGAATGCTCGTGAGCTAGGGAACCCGATGAGGATACTTGACCGGTGGTATACGTGTCCAGCTTCCGCCTGAGAAGTTCAGCTTTCACCGGCTTGGCCAAGTAGTCGTTCATGCCAGCAGCCAAACACTTTTCTCGATCGCCTTGGATTGCTGATGCTGTCATGGCGATGACCAGAACTTTGCGCACAGCCTCGGATGGGTCTTTCCGCAGCAGCTTGGTGGCTTCATATCCGTCGAGGATAGGCATCTGGACGTCCATGAGGACAACGTGATACGGAGTACCTTTATTAGCGTACTCTCGAAGACCCTCGACGGCTTTGAGTCCATTCTCGTATGCATCCACTTTAGAGTAGCCTAGTTTTCGTACATACTGGATGGCTATCCTTTGGTTGATAAGGTTGTCCTCCGCTATGCACACTCGTAACTGTTCTTTTGGAATCTGAGTCAAGTCCATGAAGGGGTTGGGCGAATGCTCTCGAGGAGACGCCTCACGTGATGGCGCCTGCTGCTTGTCGATTATCTGCGGCACGTGTACTTGCTGTACATCACCTGCGGAAACTTCTGGCTTCGCTTTGTCAAACGCAACTGTAAAAAATGCAGTGGTGCCGACATTTTCCTCGCTCTCGAGTTTGATCTGGCCATGCATCATTGTCTCAATCAGAGATTTGCATATGCTAAGGCCCAATCCGCTTCCTCCGTATTTACGGGCGGTGCTGGCATCTGCCTGACTGAAGGGCTTGAAGAGCTTCGTTAGTTGTTGTTGGGGAATTCCTATGCCAGTATCTCTGACCCAGAAAGTCAAATGTGCTTGCTCAGGGGTCTCAGATTCGACTTTGGCACCGATCGTAATGGAACCGTCTTCGGTGAACTTGAGGCTGTTTCCGATCAGGTTGCCGAGGACTTGATGTAAGCGGATCGGGTCTCCGTATATAAGCATTGGAGGCAGGTGGATATCCTGAATGATCTTGACATTCTTCTTCGATGTCTTCTCTCGGTTACTGTACGATACGGCACGTACTACCTCACGCACCATCTCCTCGGGGTTGAATGCGATGATATACAGCTTCATCTTGTCAGCCTCCATCTTGGAGAAATCAAGAATGTCGTTGATGACGGTGAGGAGGAGATCAGCCGAGACACGGATTGAGTCGGCCATCTCAAGCTGGTCTCTGTTGAGGTTGCTGTCTCTCAGCAATTCAGAATTACCGATGACTCCATTCAATGGTGTTCTTAGTTCGTGAGACACGTTTGCCAAGAACACACTCTTTGCCTTGGCGGCCTCCTCTGCAATCTTGACATTACGAATCGCTTTGGCCTCAGCCTGCTTGGCCTTCAGTTCTGCGGCTTTGGCAGCAGCAAGCGCTTCCTTTTGCATTTCGATCATGCTCCTGTTCTCAGCAGAGACCTTTTCTATACTTTTCATTGACAGGGCGTTCGAGTAACTGATGCCAATCTGCTGAACCAGTAATTGCAGCACAGTAAGATGTCTAGTCGTAAAAGTGCCTGGCTCGCCTTCGAGGTATAGGACGCCTAGAAGTGGCTTGGATCCATGGCGTATAGGTATGGCGATGACCGTCTTACTGAGAGGGTTTCGTCTAAGCCAACTTTCGTTGACATTTCCAAATCTTTCGTCTTGGATCAAATCGGGAATGAAAACTGCTTCGTTGACCTGGAAGCGTACACAGTAGTGAATCACATTTTCAGCAACCAATGATGTTCCAGCAAGGGGCTTCCCGGGGATGTGAGCTTCAGCGCCTCTTTCAGGCTCACCACTCGCGGCAATGCAATATTCCCCATCTGCGGAGTCTTCGTCCTGCACAATGATGGCAGCCTGTTTGATTGTTGTCAGCTAAAATGCTCCATTATCGGGCAAGGTGTTTGTGTAACCAGCTTCAACTGATAAAGGCACATTTGAAAGCGGAGCCAAGGGGAACGGGGTGTCACTGACCTGAGTTGCTGAACCACCACATGTCTGCAGGACGACGTCACACATGGTCTTTAGCAGCTGGTCCACACGCAAGACTGATGATATGACCTGGGATGAGACCAAGATAGCGTGCAGGTCGATCATATCGAGAGCTGGGAGGCCGGCCCCGGATTGTGGCATCGAACCCCGCCACGCGGCCATGCGCGCATCTTTGAGCTCCACAACGCCAGGCTGGGCCCTCTGCTGGATAGCCTCTTCACCCTCCGGATATGTGACTGCAGCGTTATCCCCCGCAAAGTCTGTCTGTACGCCAACCTCGACCGTTCGCAAGTTTGCCGTCGGCCCGTGGAGCAACAGAGAGTGCTCGTCTTCGATACGATGAGCCATCCCCGCGGCGCCGAGCTGTTGCCACAGCCCAACGGACTCCTTGAGGACAGCTCTAGCAGATCTCCTGGCGGACTGGCGGATGAAGAAGCCGGCCATAAGGAAGTTGCCGAGGGCCTCTTCAAATGTGAAACTGTGCTCCGCAGCGTGGTCTAGGGCTGTCTCGTACTGGCGGATGGCAAAACCGTGGTCTCCCTTCAGCTCCGCGATCTGGGCATCGAGCCACTTGGACCATGTGAGGTAGTTCACGTTGGACACTACCTGCCAGTCCTTGATTCGTTTGTTGAGCCCCTCGAGGATGATTATGGTCTCCAGCGTCTCATTCTGTAGGTTTTGCTCTTGCTTGCGAGGGTCACCCAGCTTCTGGAACATAATACCGGCAAGCGCTAGACCGTGAAACAGCATTGCTGCGCGCGTATTCCTTGCAGACCATATAAGGTGTTCATTGGCTAAGCACTTGCGGCCAACCTCACAAGCCTTGTCGTAGTGACCGAAGAGATAGAGAGGGATGATCTCCATCGTCTCGTAGACTAGTAAGGATCTTCCGCCATTGTGAGTGGATTTAGCAAGCCACGATTTGTACTCGGACGATACGTGTTGGTCGTCGGACATGATTTCTGTCGCATCCCAGTGCCGCGTCTTGCCCTGCATGGCACGGGAAACTTGCCTGACGGCGATTAAAAAGGTCCCTCCTCGCGTATCTTGAGTCCATCCTGGAATCTCCTCGCAGCAATATTGACAGATGGCCTCCAGATCCGCGTAGTTTTCACTTGCGAAGAACCGCATCTGAGCGGAGAGGCCAAAGCTGAGGATCACGGAAATGCGATCCCCAGCACCGGCTGCGAACTCCACCACTTGCTCTAGTTGACTGACGGCCAAAACGAGCGGGACCTGTATGTGGCTAATGAAATTCGCATAGATCATGTATCCCCGAGCAGAGGAGAATGGGTCTTTTAGTCGACCAAACAGTTCGATGCAACGGCTTCCCATCTCTGCGCCGAACTCAATCATGTTGAAGCGAGCAACGGCAATGAACGCGATATGAAGCAGTGCCATGCCGGACTGGGGAAATGAACCCTTGTCGAGATGAATTCTCAGCATCGTTATTGAGAGATTGAAGAAGTCCAGGCAGTCACTCCAAAACGCGGCACTACAAGCATCTGCAAGAATGGCGCCAACGACTACAAGCTGAGGATCAATACTCGAGATATTCATGACCTCGGCGCGTTCCATGGACATGATCCTAGCTGACAGCTGCATGAATTCTGCGTCGCACTTTTCGAACGTTGGGTTGGTATCGAAATCAACCTTGAGATGATTCAAGCTCTCCTTCAACGTCGCTAGAGCCGACACGGAATCTCCGCTTTGGGCTTCGATTCGCGATCTGAGAAGCCACGCAGGGGCCTTGTCGCCAGCCGAGCTCGCTCTTTCAAAGATAGTATTGATGTATTCGTGCGCCGCCTGACTGTTGCCCATGAACACATTGCATTCAGCCGATCGCATGTGTAGCTCGAGGGTTTCTTGGTAGGACCTATCCTCTCCGTCGTCCCAAGCGTTAGGCTGCAATAACGCAACGGCATGGCCATAATACTTTGCGGCAGTCGGCCGTGCACCATTTTCGACTGCTGTGGCAGCGCACTCCATAAGGTGCCTTCGGAATGGCATGCGATGGTGGATTCGTCGCTTCACTAGGTCAACAGATGCGCATATGTGCGAGGCGATGCTGTCTCGCCATTTTGGATCATCCCCATAATACTTCATAAGCGTCTGAGCAATGATGAACTGTTGCTTGCGCATATTGCACTCCTTCAAAGAGGATGCAGCTTGCAAATACCTATCGTGTGCGAAGCGAAACCTGTCGTCGGATTCACCTTGGACAATGATGCAGGCAGCGACAGCCGCTTGAAGACCGGCGATTGCATCTTGTTTGGTATACTTTTTTGCTGGTAATTCATCGGCTTCTTGGCAGGTGTCGTCAACGAAGTCAAACTCCCCGCTGAGCAGCCGGCAGATGAGACCAAACGAGAAAGAGCTGCCTACCAAAGATGCCCACGTTAGAATGGACCGAGAAGTCGACGGTAGCTCGCTCAGCCGGCGGGTGATGAAATCATGACCGAGAACATCGTACCCCTGCTCACCCTTGAACTGATCGAAGAGCTTGTCAAGATCAAAGCGCCAGCGGCTTTCTCGATGATCATACCAGATACACTTTGATCGATGACACGCGTTGAGCATCTCCCGCATGTAGAAAGGATTGCCAGCTGTTTTGGACTGTATGACCATGGCTAAGGGGGCCACCTCTTCGGGCGGCCTGCATACAGTCGAGGCCACGAATTGGAGTATTTCGGTCTCGTTCAGGGGGTTCAATTTGATCCGGGTGATTCGAGGCCCACTTGACTTGGGATGTTCCTCGGTCTCAGCGGGCTGCAGTATGCGCTGGACTTTCTCTGGGGCCAGCTCATCAGACCGGAAAGTTATGATAACCACCATCTTCAGTCTTGCAGCTATCATCTGTGTGATCAGCTCCAGACTCTCGGAGTCAGCGAAATGTAGATCATTCAGACAGAAGCAGATGAAATGGTATGTGCTGAAGATCCTCAAAATATCCAGAAATGTGTTCATCAACCGGATTGTCTTCGTCGAGCCCCCAGCACGAAGAAAGTCCTGTGAGCTTTGAGACGACACCCGTGGACTACGTGGGTATGAGGTGGTGCCCCCCGGCGAGCTGCCAGGTGACGATCCGCGCCTCCTCAAGGCAGAACGAACACTACCTCCCTTCGATGGACTTTGAGCAGTCGAGGCCGATCGAACGACCGTTGTGCCTTCGTGGGGGCCGAGGAGAAACTCGGGAAGGCCAAGCGTTTTGTGCAACATGGGCCAGATGGGACGCACGTAATCCTTGAGTGCAGAATGGAAAGGGGTCTCCGTGTTCCGCTCACCCCAGGCCTGCTTTATTAGCGACGACAGGAGCTTGAGCAACGGGCCGAAAGCCGTCCTTCGGGCCGTGTCGAATTTTGAAGTTGCACAGTAGCCTCTCCTCCTCGCATCGGCAAGGACTTGCTGCACCAAGAAGCTCTTCCCCAGCCCACCAGCACCTTCAATGGTCACGACCTCGCAGTGACCACGCCTCCTGAACTTGGCTGAACCCAGCTGTCTTGACAGACTGCTCGTGCTCTCGATGGCACTCTGCCGCGACGGCTGGCGGTCACTAAAGCTGTCTACAAGACTCTTGGTCTCTATAGATACCGATTGGTGTCTCTCCCAAGCCCTCGTCAATCGCGGCCCCGAGTTTCCCGAGGATACAGTGTCTCCAGATATCGTCTGCTCATCTGTTCCGTTCAGCGAGGGGTGGAAACTGTTCCGCGATAGTCGTGAGTCGCTCAGTAGATTCTGGGTGAAGGAACCGCTTCTCCGGTTGCCTCCTTGCCCTTCAACAGAGCTTGCACCCTCGCTGGACACGTCCGCCGTATCGAGCAGATCATTCGATATGCTCGACGCTTCTGAGTATCGATTGGTTGAGCCATTAACGATTGCGTGTGTTCTGGCAACTCGTTCAATGACTCGGATTAGTTCCTGCCGCTCCTTGGTCCGCCCTACCATGGACGTAGGCAGCATGAAGAACGAGGAGATGTCTCGCGAGGCTATGTGCCATGCCTTCAGGGCAACCTGATCCCCGTCGATGAGAAACTTCTGCACCATCTGCAAGTCGTACTGTAGTCCGCTAACCGAGTGGTAACGATCTTGTATGTTCTTTGCCGTGCATTTTTGAATAATCTTGCCCAGAATCTCCGGGACGTCCAGCCTCACATTCGAAACCAAGGGTATTCGGCGGCCAAGCACGCTTTGGACGACATCGAGAGGAGTCGCGCCGGTGAAGACAGGCTGTTGAGTAAGTAATTGCCAGAAGAGAACGCCGAGCGAATATATGTCCGTTCTTGTGTCTGGCTCGGCGGGTAGGCGGCCTGTCTGTTCAGGGGAGATGTAAACCAGCTTGTTCTTGGCGCCGAGCTCCTTCGACAGCGTTGACCAGCCGGTGCTTGTAAGACCGTGCTCAAACGACCGAACTCCCGAGCCGAAAGAGGTCAGCTTGACCCTGTTGGTCTCCTGGTTGAAATGGAAGGCGTCGCCCCGGATCTCGCCGTGTACAGTCCCATGGCGATGGTGCAGGATCTCGAGGCACTGAGTGGCACCGATGGCGAAATCGAGGAAATTTTGCAAGCTGATCGGCGGATCCAGCTTGTAACCATCCCGTCTGTCCGCCTCGAATCGGTCCTCGACCTTTTTGGCGAGATAGAAGGCCGGCCCCAGATCCAAGACACGGAAGATGTAGTTGGTGCCCGGGTACTCGTAGATACCGACAACGATGGCACCACGGTCGCCGGGCTGCGGAGTCAGCCTGATGAGATCGAAGGGCTTGACATTGTGTTCTCCTTCCGGGTCCGCCGTCGCTATGAGATTCTTGCACGTGTGGAAAGCTCGCTCCTCGCGCAGCACATGGTATGATATGCGCGCGACTATGGGCTGCTCCTCTACACTCGGCAACTCGGAGGTCGACTGAGACACAATGGGAGGAGAGGCGGTGGATCGTTCGCTGCCGCCCTCGCTCAGAGGTAGGGAGCTAGACGAGGAGAGCTTGCCGGCGAACGCCGGGGGACTCGCCACATCGCGGGAGGGCGTCGTCGATGTCGTCGAGTACGGCGAGACAAACCGTGTGCCAAAGACGTGCCTAGGGAGTTTGACGCGTTAGCCACAGAGTGCAACTGGGACGGGATGGCGCTCAAGGGGGTGGGGAGGAGGCTGTACCAGTTGTCGTAGGTAGAATGGAATGGGCGCTGGGACTCGTCCCATGTGTAGCCCGCGATCTGACGCAGTCGCTCGAATATGCGAGCCGGGGGATCGAGCTGGTCGTCCGTCACAGCCACGGAGCCGTCCATGGCGAATCGGGGTTCATAGGCCCGACTGCGACGGGCGGGCGGGCTGGCAGGCTGGCAGGCTCGGCTCGGCTCGAGGGGAGGGAGGTTACGAAGGCGTTGCTGGAGCGGCAGTCATGGCAGGTCTAGGCGGAAGGTGTCATGTGCGCCGGGGCCTGTGTGCCTGGTCGTCAGTCGACTCGGTGAGGCAGAGGCAGAGTCGACGATGCAGGCGGTCGTGGTGGTGTGGTGTCGTGAGCAAAAGTCGAGGGTCCTGGCTGGGCGGGCCCAACTGGGCTAGAGAGCCGCCGGCTTGTGCCTGCTCTGCGTCGATCGCCAGTGGTGAATACCCAAGTGGATGCGGCACGGCGATCGGCCCTCGCTTGCCAAGTCTAACAGCGGCTTCGCCCTTTGGTTTTATTGTTATTTCTCTCTTTGAATGGACATTCGAGCTGTCCCAACAGCGATAGCCACGCAGGCAGGCTGATACGGGCTACGGAGCCTAAGATGCGGACGGGAGGCGTCTGTTTCCAAGCCCGAGTCGTCCCTGGTCGAGCCAGCGTATGCAAGGAATCAAGCCAAAACTCCTCCTTCCCCAGCCACCCCTGTCCGTTCTAGCGAGCACGTTTGTTCTCAGCCTGCCGTACGCACTCTCCTTGCGGCCCGACACAAAAACCCAGCACTGGGTCTCGTCGCAGATGCTTATTAACTGAAGACCACAGGGAACCCGATGCTCGCCAACAGGGTACCTAGGTAGCAGGCTGCATGGGCTTCAACGGCTATCGATATGCAGGTCCAAACCTCCTGGACTAGAAGTGCACACCTTTTCCAATGTCATCCTTGAAACCAACGCTTCTTGTTGGATGCACGTAGATAATGACGACTGACTCGGACGGTCCTTTTCTGGAACAAGGGGGCCACCCCAAATTGGGACGGAGCTCTGGCAGGATGATGTAATTGAGCGGCCCAGCCGCCCCAGAACGTCAGACCCTGAGCTCGCGGCTAATCAATGTTCCCGCCCTGCCCGTCACTAACACGGAAACGTCTGGTAGACGCGACTCGGTATACTGTACAGACCATCTCTGATGAAAGCGGCCAATTGGCCAAGTGTGTAAGTGCAAGCCTCGTTTTTACTTGCCAAAGAAAATTCAGGACATCAGCGAGATGATTCAACTCGGTATCATCATACTTGCTTCGATCAAGAATGAGCGGTACGCGTTTCTGCCAAAGCACGTTTTAAGCCTCGAACTTCCATTGCCTGATTGGTCGCGCTTTTCAGTCGACGAGGAAATGAAATAGCCCATATTTAAGAAGTCATAAACACAGCACATGAAGCAGCACATGGTCAATTGCAAAACCAACAATTTAGAAATAACAGCAGCATTTTTTGCTTAGTCTATCTTTCTATTGTGGTAAACGTATCCCTCTTGGGGGACCGTGTCTCCACGTGCTCCATGGCACGCGAGAACTATATTAAGACCATTCCGTCATCGCATCGCATTTTTGCCGCTCATCAAATATCAACAGCTTCGTAAACCCTCTGAACTCCAGCTGTCTAGCTTTACCGGGCCTCTATGGCTCTAGGAAAAGCCCTCTCATGAAATGTCTAACACAACGCTATCCACATCTCTCTCTCTTTCTCTCTCTTCTGTCGACGCCATATTGCTCTATTTGGCGCGGCTGGGGAGCGACTTGGCCGCGACGGGGCCCTGGTTGAGGCGGCGCTCCTCGTTCTTGCGGCCGTTGACGAAGTCGGGGTAGTTGAGCGTCAACTCAACAGCGCCGTTCACAATGTGGTCGGCGGCCTCGACACCCAGCATGAACGAGTGGTCCTGGTTACCGACCTCGTATCTCCAGCTGCCGAAGCGGCCACGGGAGTAGATGTCCATGTCCTGGAGCTTGGGGAGGAGGTCCTTGAGGACGCCCTCACGCTCGAGAGCGGGGGTGGGGTAACCGTGGTCGAACTTGCGGTGGTAGGTCGAGACAATCTCGTCCTCGGGCTTGATCATCTCAGTGTTGACAAGACCCTGGATACAGTCTCGGAGAAGGTTGGCCTCGTCGACGGGCTTCTTGGTCGACTGAGAAACCTCGAGCATGATAGACCAGTAAGGACCCTCCTTGGCCTCGGAGCTCTTGGCCTTGCTGCCGTCACCCAGCTGGAGGGTGGGCAGCTTGGCATCGGCCTGAGGCTGGTTGTAGGGAGAGTAGTTGGAGAAGATGGTGGCACGGTAGAAGGGGCAGTTGTCCTCGGGGAAGTACAACCAGCACTTGTCACCGATGCGCTCGGGGCGCTCACCTCGGATACCGACACCAATGACGTGGGTGGACGAGTAGTACAGGCCCTTGCTGAGGCTGACAAGCTCCTGGTTGCCCATGGTCTCAACGAGCTGGTCGACAGCCATGGTGGAGATCAGCTTCTCGTAGGCAATGGTGGTACCGTCGGCCATGGTGACGACCTTCTTAGCGGCGTCAACCTTGGAAACGGCGCCCTTCTTGCCGAAGCGCTTCTTCTCGTCGGGCAGGGTGTTGGCAACGGCGATCCAGATACCGCCAGTACCGTCACGGGCAGGGAAACGGAAGGTGGCGTTGGGGCCCCAGTTACCGGCAGTCTTGTTCAAGATGACGTTCTTGGTAACGGTCTTGACATCAGGGGCGGCCACACGCTCACCGAGCCAGGCAGCTTGCATCTGTTTTCCGGGGTCAGCTCTAGCAACAAAAAAAAAAAGCGCGTGGACGGGGGTGTTTCTCTTACGTCAGTGGTAGGGACGGCCCAGACCTTGTAGTTGTAGGGTCTCATGAAGATGTTGGCAATGCCCTCACCAGTCATGCGAACAATCCACTCGTCAAAGTTCTTGGGCTTGGTGTTGGCAACACGGCACTCAAGAGCAGCATCGATCAAGCCGTCCATGCAGACGACCTGGTCGTCCTTGGGCAGCATGGAGATGTTGTTCTGGAAGGGGTAAGGGACCCAGAGGCCCTTGTAGCGGACGTAGGAGATACGCTGCCAGGTGAACCAGTCATCGTCGTTGGGCAGGGCCTCGTCGATGCAGTCGTCGAAGTACTTGTAGTGGGAGAAGATGACGTGGCCACCGACATCGTACAACTGTGGTTGGGCAGGCCAAGGTCAGCGGGATTGCAGCAGCGGCAATGTGAGCTGGTGACGACTTACGAAACCCTCAGGGGTCACATCTGTAGAGGCAAGACCACCGGCCTTCTCAGCCGAGTCAACGATCAACCACGAAGGGCCGTTCTGCAACCCAGGTCAGCAAAGGAGCACCACGGTTTTGGCGGTGAAGGCCAACATACGATCTGGTTGAGGCGCTTGGCAGCACCGAGACCCGTCGGGCCAGCACCGATGACGAGAACGTCGACGTTACTAGACGATGGCAAGTCAGCACAAGGCGAGGATCGTGGGACGTCGACCGCAGTTGGGTCAATGCCGTCCCAGGAGAGAATTGGCGGGAATACTCACATGTCTGCGCACATAGTGTCTCACTTGGGGGGCTTCTGTGGTGGGGGGAGGGATAGCGAAAGCAGGCGGCGTATCTCGAGATGATTGATCTGGAGATAGCTGGAATGAACGTCTGGGTTGAATCCAAGGCCAACAACAAAGAGGACGAGGCTGCTAGAGATGATGCTTAAGAAGGGACGAGAGGGTGAATAGAGGGATCGGGGACAAGCAGCTCTATCAACAATGTTCGAGAAAACTGTGGTAGAAAATAGGGGAGAGGCCATGGGTGGGGCGCTGTGCAGGGATGGCCCGACCACCTTGGCAGCGCTTGTAGCAGCTACAGCAGCCCGCGACGCCCGGGGGCGCGAGTGGCCAGCCGGTTTCAGATAGCTCCAGGTATCCGATACCCCAATCGGCCTGGGCCCCTGGGCCCCCTAGGTGCGTCGATTCCCCAAGCTTGGCTGGGAGAGTGGGTGAATTCAGTAGCGCACCTTGGACCGGTACATGTGGCACCCTGAAAGCCCAGAACTCGCCCGAGCTTTGTGGGTAACTGGGTAGCCGTCCCCAAGTTGCGGCCCCCTCACCGACTCGCGGTACCGCAGGGTGCTTGACTGACAGGAGCCGGCCCTCCTCAATCGAGTAAGGAGCGCAAGCGATGTGCAAGCTGTCCCGACCGCGAACCGCTCGGCAACACCAATGGCTGACTTGTGTGTGTGCGTGTGTGGCCATCTCCCGGTCGACAAAGAATTTTCCGACTGCGCGCCGGCCGTCGTCTTGCGTGGCGACCCAGGTAGGGTTGACTACACAGCAACTATAGAACAGGACAAATCTGGTGGCACAGCAACTAGGTGTCCGACTCCGGTGACGATTGGACGGCCCTCCATGCCCCGCGCTAGTGCGTCCCAACCTGCCTATCACTGCAAATTCATTATACCCCCCCTCCAAATGGCACCGAGACCAGGGGTCTAGTGCTACTGTACCTGAGATGCTGGAGAGATCTTCAACAGTTCACCCAGTCGCCTTAGCCTCGGGGAGGGGGGGGGAAAAGCACCCTTCTGTCCTCAATAGGAGATTGAGGCTCACCCAAGTCCTGCATTTGGCCCTTCGAAAGAAAGAAAGCAATTCCTGCAGATGCAGACGGCTCAAACAAGCCTCCCACAACGGCTGTGCTTTGTCCTTTCACTCTTCGGGGGGTGGTCAGCCATGTTTTCTCGCTCCATGTACAGAGTACCGCTGAGAGGCCAAAGACGTCAATAATGTGCAACGCCAGAATTTCCCTCGACCTGCTTGCAGGTTCCCACAACCCGGGCCGCCTCAAATCGCCGGATCAACAGTCACGTCGTGCAACCCTTGCTGTCGCTAATTTTATAAGATGAAGCAATATCCACGCCCGCCGCCAGCACCCAGATTCTTGACCAGCACGGGCTTGGCAGCCCACGTTTCACGGCTGGCTCCCGCAGATATCACCATCAAAGCTCATGTCCGTCATTATGGTGCCGTTTTAGTCAACCCATCCCCGGCTGCTTGGGGCCACCCATCCAAGATTCATGTTTATCCGTTGGTCACTGCTCAAGGTCCACGGGCGGCTTCCCGAAGGCAGCGGGCAGACTGGGTATTCGGGGGCAACGGGCGGCCAATGGCGAGCCACGCGTTCCTCACGATTCACGGCCACCCTGGACCTGAGTCAAGCCAGCTACCCTTCTTTAGCGGGAGAGTCAGGCAAACCTCCCCCGTGGCGTTGGCGACCCTGCGTTTGCCCGTGTGGCCGCTAGCGTCAGTATTTTTTCACCACACCATCAACTAATAATAATAAGGTGCTACCTGGCATAGTTGTTGTGTTGCATTTCCCAATTACAATATCATTCGTGGCTTGCGAAGCTGCTAGCCGACTGATCTGTCTGATGTTGGTAGACGATTCATCACCGAAATTGGGTGAAGATGGGTCTCGGCAGATCGTCTAATTTCGATAGGGAGCGCAAATCTGAGCCAGTCAAGCCTATCGTCTATGCAAAATGCCTGGTCGCCCGCCCCCCTGCTCGTCACACAAAAGGCAGGCTGATAGGCCGCAGGCCAAGTTTGCAGGGCCTGTCAAGCATCAAGCTTGCAACCGCTCCGTCAAAGCAAGGAGAGCCGCACGTAATTGCTGATCCGTGGTCCACACGCACCAAGGAAACTTGTCACTAAGAGGACAAGTACTCGGTTGGATCCGCAATCCGTGAGGCAGTGCTGCTGTTTGGGAATGAGGAGCTTGATGAGACCCGGATGAGGCTGTTTCTTTGTGTGCGGAACCCCTCCAACTCGGCCAGGATCTGCATAATGATTTGCAAGAGCTGCCAAGCCGTCGTCTCATGTTGATGTCCACCAAACCTCGAATTATCCTTTAGGCTTTCGACGTCGTGACGAGGGAGTACCGGATCTTCAGACCTCTGCAGATCGGAACATCCCCTTAGAGGATCTGGCTGACCTCCTGGTTTTTCGTTTGAGGCATTAGCTTACGATATTCCCGGATCCTTGGCACACGACTCAAGAATTGCTAATTATATACTGGTGACGACGCAATGGTTTACCACACTGCTGACAGCTGTCTTGAAACTTTGAGAACTGGATCGGTAGCTTAGGAGCTTATTAAGACACATGAGGTTCTGCAAACACTTGCAGCTGCATAAGCGCGGCAGATGCTTGGCTTGCAAGCGCGTACCCGCGATGTTTCTGAATTCTCGCCAATCGCGGGATGGTGCTGCTGCATATTGCTACCAGACGGACGGGAAATCCTATTGCATTGACAACTGCGGACGCTGGTACGCGGCTAGTACAGCATGTACGGGATAGGCTTTACGAGTCTGCTGACTAGTGAGTCAGATAGGGCCGAAGCCAGCCTCATCAAGAGTTCTGAGGATCCCATGAGCAGGATACGACACGTATACGCCACGCAGGTATACGAGCTGTTGCACTCGACCCCGTGAGCCAAGTGCTACAACACGGACAATGACAAATCCATGTGGGTGTGTCATTCTCAAGCTTCTCCCTAACCGACTCTGGTACAGAGACTGTAGAACGGGGTAACTACAAGAACGATCATTGAGCTTGAAACTACCAACGGCGATTGCACGTGTATAGTCCACAGTCGCAATATTCGAGCTTGAATTAGGAAAGCTGTGGAGGACGATCGCGTCCATTGGCTAGAGAGAAGTCTACGGGGCGGCCATGGTTTCGCACGGCCGTGTGCGGCCCCCCGTCAAGGTTTGAGGCTGCTGAGACACAAGATCTGAGATTCGACAAGCCTTCGAAGCACCTTGTTCACGGCTGCGCGACGAAGCTGCTCCACAAGGCGCTGCGGAAATAGACCATCGCATGGTGGTGAAGCGGCTCTGCCGCCTGGAAATACTATCGACAAGGCAAGACAGGGGGGCGGGCGAGGTGAGCCGCCCGCTACGGGATCCGGATTGGGCACGGGCGCCAAAGACGTTCTCTTATCGTGAGGTTGAAGATGACGATTTCCGTTTTCGTGGAGGCTAATGCAGCCTTTCATCTCCCGGTCCAACTGGTGGCCGCGGCATCTTGGCGAGAGCTGGGCCCTGGTCGACTAGCCATGTGTGATGGAAATATCTCTGCGTGCTAATGGCCTGAATGGGTGCATCGCAGAAAGATCTAATATAACTTGGGTCCCTGGCTTGCATAGTGCTGGAGTGGTCATTCCAGGGAGGCTATGGCCTGGACGCTATGCTGCTCCGTAGACAATACAATACATGATGGTCTTCAGGCAGTCCTAGGGGATGGGTGACCGTCAACCCCGGCTGTAGTGACTACGGAGTATACCAGTACGGATAGGTGGAACCCCTTCCGCTATACTCTGGCGGCGGGTAATTCTGCTGGACATTCCCATAGAAGCATGCAATTGATGAATTAGTCGCACTGCGCAGTATTCGAATGGCACCCTAGTCGCTCGGGATCCCATGCTCCTCTTGACTGAACTCAAGGGGCTTCGTCTCGAGGCGAGCTAGGTACAGTACAGTAGAGAGGTGTGCGTGTGTGTAGTAGTGTGTGCATCCAGTCGCGGTGCTGCATGTACTTTCCAAATGAGCTGGGCTGAATCGTCCGTCTAACCCGTTCGGGCCCACTAGACGCGAATCTATTGCAGCAGCCTGCAACCGCCACGGAATTATGGTTCATGCAGTCCTGTTGCGGAAGATAGAATGAAAGAAAAAAAATCTGAATTCGCCTAGCTTTTTCGTTGACGAGCAAACCAACGATGGCAAATAGCACCTCACAGCCACACTGGCGGTCCCCATCGCACCTGCTGATCCCTCCTGGATGGAAAGTTGCGCAGTGGGTTGGCGCGGTACTTGATTGCCAACATGCAGTTATTGCCCCCGTTGCCTCCCCATTGCCCCCCTGAGTAGAGCACCTTGGCCTCTGCTTTTTTAGGGGCTGGATGACGCGAGAGAGAGTGCCAAAGGTGGCCGCACAGCACCGTGATAGGCTGCGCGCGGGTGTGGGTCGCAGCGAGCTGGGACTTTGGCCCCTCCATCCCCGGGGGCACGCTGTTAGCCCCTTTTGCGCGCCGCCAGGTACCTCGCTGCGCTACACTGTACTGGAGAGTCCAGTGCTGTGCTGTGCCAGGGAACAGGCCTTGCGCTGCAGCGATATCCACGACCAAGCACGGCCTAATTTGAAAGAAACCGGGTGCTCCCCCCAAGTCTGGCCCGGGTCTTCTCTTTTTCTTCCCGATTGCTATTACTACTACTACTTCCTTTCTTCCCGCACGTCGCAGAAACGCAACCGTCCTGCTCTTCTTTTGTTGTCGACTCTCCCCATCCAGCATCATTTTCTTTGAAAGTGGTCCTCCTTGGCCAGAGAGACAACGCCTCGCTCCTCCCTCCCCCCCCCCGAATTCTCGCCTACGCCCCCCCGGGGACCGACTCCACCATAAGTCTTTAATTGGTCTTAGCTGGCTTGGCCGCTGTCACTCGTTACTTTTGCAACACGCTGCAGAAAAACTCGCTTTCTTTTCCAACTGCTCTACCGCCTTATACCAAACCGTTGCGCGCGTCCGCCGACCTTCGTTCTCTTACACCAACCACAGCAGCACCTGCAACCTAGGAAAACCGACAAAATGGGAGCCGACGAGAAGACCAGAAGCTCCGGCGAGGTCGCCCGCCCTGAGGGCACCATCCTACCCACCGTGAACCCGGAGGCCCAGAAGCCTGAGCCCCCGAAGTCCACTATCCACCCGGCTGTCTATGTTGCGTACGTCGAACCACCTACCGCCCGCTTGCGATTAGATCGAGAGAGACGACGAGCTGACCGTTGATATGACTTCTACAGAACATGGATTGGTCTTTCCTCCTCCGTTATTCTGTTCAACAAGTGGATTCTGGACACGTTGGAGTTCCGTAAGCATCCTCCCCCCGGATCTCGTCACTTCGCTGTGACAAGACGAGAGAGGGAGAGCCTGCTGGTCACTAACACGCTCGCGCGCAGGATACCCCGTAATCCTGACCACCTACCACTTGACCTTCGCGACTGTCGCTACCCAGATCATGGCCCGCTACACTTCTCTTCTCGACGGCCGCAAGACGGTCAAGATGACTGGCCGCGTCTACCTGCGCGCCATTGTCCCTATTGGCTTCTTCTTCAGCTTGAGCTTGATCTGCGGTAACCTGACCTACCTCTACCTGTCTGTTGCCTTCATCCAGATGCTCAAGGCCACCACCCCTGTTGCCGTGCTGCTCTCGTCCTGGGTCATGGGTATTGCGGCCCCCAACATGAAGGTCCTGATGAACGTCTCGGCCATTGTCGTCGGTGTCATCATTGCCTCGTTCGGTGAGATCAAGTTCGTCTGGATTGGTTTCGTCTACCAGATTGGTGGTATCATCTTCGAGGCCATCCGCTTGAACCTGGTACAGGCCCTTCTGAGCTCGGCTGAGTACAAGATGGACCCCTTGGTTTCGCTGTACTACTTCGCCCCGGTGTGCGCCGCCATGAACGGTCTTGTCGCCCTTTTCTGGGAGATTCCCAAGGTCAGCATGACCGAGGTCTACCACGTCGGTCTGGGAACGTTCTTCCTGAACGGCATGTGCGCCTTCCTGCTCAACGTTTCCGTTGTCTTCTTGGTAAGTTTCGTCCGATTCTAGGAGGATGCTTTGCTCCGTTATTAACGACTTCACAGATTGGCAAGACCTCTTCCCTGGTCATGACCCTGTGCGGTGTCCTCAAGGATATCCTGTTGGTTGCCGCCTCCATGATGATCTGGGGTACTCCCATCTCCGGTCTCCAGGCTTTCGGCTACAGCATTGCCCTGTGCGGTATGATCTACTACAAGCTCGGATTGGACGCCCTCAAGGGCTACGCTGCTGAGGGCGGTCGCCAGTGGGCTGAGTTTGGCGCCACTCGCCCCGTTCTCCGCAAGGTCATTGTGATCGTTGCAGCCCTGTTCTTCATCTTCGTCCTCTTCGGCGGTCTGGCCCCGAGCTACGCTACCGACTACGCTCCCTACGTGAACGAGGTTGCCTCCAAGTACGGTTGGAACGCATGAGTGATGAGATCAGACGAATGAACCCAACTTCTTCCCGCCATACGACTTTGTAATTTTCCCGGGCGGATGGAGTCTACACATATGAAAGGCTCGCTGGGGATTGGCAGAGCGAGCCGACCACACGGATGGGCAACGCTGCCAAGGCGGCAAGGCGTTCCCTGATTGATTCCAACCGTACATACTTCGTACCGATTTGACACATTCATCTTCTCACACCTATTACTTGATTCCGAAACTCCCTTTAATTGGAGACTCTCATTTGTGTTTGCGGAAGACACTTGACGACGATTATACAGGACAGCGGATGGGGTGCGCAGGAAGGGCCCCCCTTTGCCTTGTACAACTATAGAACGAGCAAAGAACGGCGCAGGGTCGGGTTGCATCTTTATGATTGGGGGCGTTTGATCTTGATGCAGTTTAGACGGCGCAGAAACATCTAGACAGCACCTGGCATATATGAAAAAAACCTTGAACAACCTACTTCTTGAGTGTTTCGCCCATGAATGCCTGCGTGAATCGCCCCACGTCGAACACCTATAGACCACATCGTCTCTGCTTGCAGGCTCTGCAGGGCTTAGTTATGCCGGCGGGCGTCGAATTAGACACCGTCGTCTCAACCACAATCAATATCACAAGTTACATGAATGAATGCCAAAGATTGCGTCACTCCGGCCCATGTTTAGGTTCCCCGTCCGAACAGAACCGCGGGTCGCACACCCCAACACAACACGCCCTCCTCACGGACGTCCGAGCTGCTGACCCGCGTGCTTGGGCACAGGACCTGGCGGCGGCGCCTTTGAGACCGTTGAGCTCTCCGCCGCCGCCCAAGCCCTACCACTGTCTTGGGCGTCCTCGTAGATGATCCTCGGTCCCCGCGCACATTTGGGGGGCCGCGAGTTGCCAAAGTTTCTTTATATTGGCTACATCTCGTAATGTGCATGTGGGGGTTGTTTTTTCTTCGACATTATACTCCGTCATCCCCGCGAGGAGCGGACGGATGGACGGGAGAGGAGAGCGAGAGGAGACAGACACGATAGACTCACGTCCTCGTGTTCAGCGACACGCCCGGGAGTGGGCGCCGGCCCTGAGACATTGCCGTATCGCCTTTGCGTCTTATCCGTCCCACCGGGTAGGCGAGCCTGACGCTTCCCATTGACGGGTACTGCCCGCGTCGTGGTAATAGCATTTTGGAAGATGAAGCGCCGAACAGACTTGGTTTGTTTTGTTTGCTTAAGTCTCGATTTCATTTTCCCACCAATGTCGAGTATACAATCACGCCCCCCCTTGCAAACCCCCGTTCCTTGCAGGTGTACGCGTACCCGGAGTATAGAGTCGGACGGTCTCCGCAAGTGGCAGGCCGGGTCCCACGACGGAGTGTGTAGTTAGGTCACTCGGCCAGGCTCGGCGAATGCAACCCGCAGGGCTGCGCAATATACTCGGGACGCGCAATCTTTCTGCTGGCGATCTCACCACGTTTTCCTCCCTGCGACGACACATGTAGATTCTCCGGCTTTCTAGTTAATGTCCTTCTTTCTTTTGGACATTGTATCTTTGATTACCGTGGTCTACCTCATACCATTTCGGGGCACCAAGGCGAAGTGGAGGGAAGACTCTCCCGACGTTTCATTGGGCCCAGATGCATGTTTATTCGTAAGTCTGTATACTCGATACATGACAAGCATAGCAAGCCTAACACCACCCAGCCCTGACGCCCTTGCTGCTTGTTTCTGTCTGGGGAGGCAAGCTCAGGAAACGGCATTTGTACCCTGTACATGGAACGACGAGATGGTGTGATTTTGACGCTCCTTCGTTTCTTTTCAAACCGTTCATCTCCTGCCCACGTGCCGGCTTGTTTGGCCACAGCGTCTTAATACTAGCTGAAACATCGAATGGTTAAAATGTAGGGCTGATTCGGACACCCGGAATGCAGTTGAGGTTGGAGGAGGGAGCTCGTCGACTCAAACGTTCACTGACGAGGCAACGTGTGCTTGAGCTTCAGCGGGTGGTGCGCTCTGGCAAGCATGGCGTTTGGGTGCATTGCCACCAAGCTGACACCTCGTATTGCTGCTGTGGTCATGCTGGCGGTTGGGTCAGACAACAATACACCAGGCCACGTCAGAGCACTAGTGCTTGTGCTTATATGCCCGTATGCCTCTGTGGTAATTCAATATGGGCCGCGTGAATCCAAAGAATTGCCCTTGTTTGGCTTATGAAGGGCCTTCAGCATGGTCAAGTTGACGACCTTTCACGAGGACCACGAAGTGTTGGTTCACCCAAGATCAGAGCAGTGCTCTCTCAACTCATTATGGACCAACCACTACGAGCAAAGCACTGTGACCATATGCTTCATACGTAGCTTCGTCCGGAGAGAAACGCTCTTTTCGAAGGACTTTCATGTCCTGAGCGAAAATTGCAAGTACTATATTACCTTCTGCTCGCTACTGCTCAAGTCGAAGACACTGGTCAAGCATAGACTGCGTGATGTTGACTAACTTGAATTGAGTAATCTCTTGACTTCCAAGAGCCAATAGCAGGCTAGGGACCATATCGAATGAACGCCATGTGTATGTCTAGAATTCAAGTCTTCAGCGGAGGGGTGCTTGCATCATAATAGCTAGCTTTTACTAAGCCCTCTCGGCCTGTGGTCGTTCCAGGCTCAGTATGCTCGCCCACACGCGGTGTCCGATATCATGGGGTTTGGCTATTGTAAATGAGCGCGGACAAAGACAGGCGGAGTAGCCTTGTCTTCAAATGTCGACCGAGGATCAAATTCACGTTGGACGCGTAGCCTTGCGGTTACAAAACATACTCCTTGGTGATACCTCAAGCGGAAACCCTTGCAAGAGCGCATATCGATTTTCTAGTCTGTCATAATCTGCGAATGGTGCCAAACTGCACCTGACCAAGTGCCTTGGCTCATCTGCAGCTAGACGGCGTACACTCAGGCTCACGGAGCACCCATCCTCAATTTCACATTGACAGCACAAGGGGAGAGTCCCGCACGAGAGGAGCTCAGCTTATGAGATTCCCTCGCTGGTCGAGGATTCGTCGGGTGGTCACTCTGGGCGTCACGGTTCGCAAGACGTCGGGTATGGTCGTGTCATTTGTCATTTGTCAATTCAGAGCAAATCCCTTTGGGCTCCTAATGCCATGATGTATGATGCAGTTTTACATCCCAGTGTCCTTTAACCCCTGAATGAACCCAACGACATGAGAACGCGCAATGAGAAAAACCGTTTAGAACTCTGTGAGGGGAGGTTGAATGTTAGCACGGCGTGTGGTAGGCGAGGGGGTAGGTATCAAGCGGGCACGTACTGAGAGGGGTGAAGAACCAGCGGTTCTTGCCGCTGGTGTAGCGCTCCTCCAATGCCTTCTTGACGTTCTTCTTAGCATCCTCCCGTTGGCTGACCTCCTTGAAAGTGTCGTTGGAGACGGCGCCCTTCAGGCCGTCGAGCTCGAGAGTGTAACGGGTGGGCATCAAGTGGTTGTAGTTGACGACCTTGATGAAAGGCTTGATCTTGGAGCGCTTCTCCTGTCTCGCCTTGGACATACGGCGGGTGATCTGGGCGGGGTATCGCTCAATGCCGGCGACGATGGCGTGGCCGTAGGGGTGCGCCTTGTTGCCGGAGTCGACGGGCTGGATGATGACAACCTGGGAGGAGACAAACACGGTCAGCGCGCCTGTTCACACGAATTTTTTCCCCTCCAATCTCTTCTCGTTCGAGGGTTCCTTGGAGCAGGCATAATAATGACCGTGAGGTGGTGGCTCATGGCGATCGGGTTCGAGGTGTTCTTGATCTCCATCCTTTTTCTTCTTCGGGGCTCGTCTCGTGCGCTGGCATGCTCTCTTCTCTCCTCTGTCCTCCCCCGCCTCCCTCGATAGGAACGCTCCCCAAACGGTGTCTGCTTGAAAAAGACTTACCTTCTTGCCGGCGTATCTGCCGCGGGTGATGATGGCGACTCGGCCGACCTTGAGGAACTTCATTTTGACGTCGTTGGGCGGGGGTCAAACTGAAGTTGATGGGTGTTGCTGGCTGGGCGTTGGGCGTAAGGGGATTCGGGATACGATGGACGTCTCAATGCCTTCGCTCAAAAAAGTTCGCCTAGAGTGGAATTTTGCAATTGTGTGGGCAAAGAACCTAAGCGAGGAAGACCCGAAAAGAGTGGGGAAAAGCCCATGCCCATCGACCTATCACCGGCCGGGGCTGGGCTCGACTGGAAGCAGTGGAAAAGCGGCATGGCCCATGCGTCTTTGTCCAATGTCGACCATGCCCGGCCGGGCTTAGCAGGTAGGTTCGCGGTTAGCGCGAATTGAACAGCAGAACGAGCCGAAAGCTGCTGGAGCTGAAGCTGCACCGCACCGTCTCTATTTCACGGACAACCTGGAAGTCACTCGCTGCTGCATCAGATCGCTACCCGCCTACTGCGTACCTAGGGATTTCCTAAGCACTGCAAGTACAACCAAGAACACACGCACACACAAGACCTTGTGACAAGCATCAACACCACCAACAATGGCTCCTCCCACGTACATCATCTCACGCGTCGCCGACCCCATCTTCGCCCTCGTCATTGGCCTCGGTGCAGCCACCACGAGGATCAACCGCGAAGAAAAGGCAAAGGGACAGACAACACAGCAGACGATCGAGTCCGCAAAGAGGTAAGGCTCTTCTCCTCCTGCTGTCTCTCAGCGGCGCCCCAGTCTCGCCTCGTGTCTAGAAGCTCACACTCCGCGCATAGGCGACTCGGTTTGAGCACCAAGAAGGCTGCTTAAGCAAGCTGCACCGTACTTCCCACCTGGCCACCACGTCCAATCACGGAGAAGGGTCACACAGCGGACGAGTAGACGGCATTCATATTCATTATCATAGGCGATCGAGACCGGCCCGTACACGAGCTTGTCTACATGAACCGCGTAGGCCGCGCTCGACTAGGATGCCGCCCAGCATCATTGGCATCCAGCCGACAGGAATGCACCGGGTCCTGCCAACGCTCACAAAGCCCTCACACTCCCTCGAACGCGGGGCCGTACTCTTTCTTCATGGCCTCACGGACTATCTGGCCACATAGCTTCGCGGTGGGATTCGTGGCAACAGCCAGGCCCTTCGCTATCTCATTACCGTACCGACCACCCAGCGCAAAGTCTCGCGATGCTGCTGCTTCAAAATCTATCTTGTCCCACCCTCGCTCCTGCCTGTCTCCTAGATCCAGCCGACCGGCGGCGAAGCACTTGGCCGTCATGTGATACAGTGCCGCTCGCTGTGTATGCGCCAGGGAGAGAGTCTTTCCAGCTACCGGCGAGATGGACCCGAAGAGGCTTCGAGGCGTCAACAGGGAGATGGCCTTGTCTAGATCCGCCATGACGGTCATGGCAGCCTCCGACTTCTCAGCTGCGCTGGCATCCCTTACAAGAGCTTGCGGGTCTGCGGTCTCCACCAAGATCGCATTGCCATACAGTCTCCTGAGTGCCTGGGCTCGGTTGTTGCGAGCACTGGCGTATTGTGGGAAGTCTGATATCAGATCGCCGAGACGGGAAATGCAAGTCTTGTAGCCTTGCACTGCATCTGGTGTCGTCTGCGCCGCCTTCACACCGGCTAGCTGCATCTCAAGCTGCTGCATGGACAAGATGATTTCCTTTTCCCTCTTCGACACACGTTCATACACTGCCATGTCCGTGATGGCAGGGTCCTTGGGAAGAGAGGCGTCGACCAGGACGGCCGTCATAGGGTTTGACTCGGGGTCCTTGATCTTGTCCAGGACATGTTCGTCGCGTCGGCTTAGCAAGGCCTCCATGGTAAAGCTTGAGAAGATGATTGTTAAGGTAGCAACCCTTTTTGAGCGGCAGGCGGTTTGAGGGAGAATATGAGAGTTGGAATATGATTAGATCTATTGGATCTGCAGTCGGTGCTGACTGCCGTGGTGCTCGATTAGTCTCGGCTCGATGCAAATGCTTTCCCGGATTACAGAGGCAGTACGCAGCATTCAACATTGATAAGCTGCACGCAACGGAACTCCCCCATTTCGCGCCTGTGACCTTCTTTATGCGGATGACTGTGCAGCTTTGGCTGCGGGCGGCTCAACCGTCCTGAGGCTGATGGAGGGCCGGACGACTTCCGCACGCTGAGCCCCGCGAATGGCCGCCCTTAGCCGCGGGCCTGGGGCGTTAGTTGCCGCAGCCTAGTGCTTCCGCACCTCCAACGACAAGGCATATCGTCATCAACCATTGTTTGTCAGGAGACTTGCCTCAGGGATGTTGGCAGGACCGCCTGAGTTTGACATGCCTGCCCTGCAGCGTCTCAATGCCTCTCGCGGGACAAAGGCACGGAATTAGGGCGCCGCGTCTGGCCGCCCGCTTACATGATGAGGCATCCCGTCGATGAGGTAGCTAGCTCCCTTTAATCATGGCAGCTTCTTCAAATCTCCTGTATATCTTTCATCTTCAATCAAGTCTTCGCTGTAGATCTGAATATACTAATCAGAAACCGTCAATTTGAATCCAAGGTCATCCAGAGAGTGCTACTTGTTCCTTGACTCGGCTACATCTACAACCACACCATCCCTCTCCTGAGTTGTCACATCTGTCTCGGACGCCATGGCTCCCGGAGTTCTTTCCAGCTCACCTCCCTCAGATACGGCATTTCGCCACCCTGTCGAAGCAGATGCACGCAGTCAGGTTGACGAGTTCGCCGTGCAAGCGGGTGTACCGAATTTCCAGGGCTACGATCACGTTACCTGGTGGGTGGGAAATGCCAAGCAGGCGGCATCTTACTATAACACACTCTTCGGCTTCAAGACCATTGCCTACAGAGGCCTAGAGACCGGCAGCCGGTACTTCACCTCGTACGTCGTCGAGAACGGCGATGTCCGCTTCGTCTTCACATCCCCCATCCGCTCGTGTGCACATCTTCCCAAGGACGAGCCCATCTCCCAGGAGGAGCTCAGTCTTCTGAAGGAAGTACACGCCCATCTAGAGAGACATGGCGATGCTGTGAAGGACGTTTCGTTCGAGGTGGACGATGTAGACGCCGTCTACAACAGGGCAGTCTCTGGCGGTGCCCATTCGGTCCAGGAGCCCACGGTGACCCATGACAAGCAACACGGCTCCGTCAAGACGGCCGTCATCTGCACATACGGCGACACGACGCACACCCTCATCTCCCGTACTTCGTATACCGGCCCGTTCCTGCCGGGCTTCCGCGCCGCCACGCCCACGCCATCCTCGGTGGTGGCGCCGCCCACGCGGCTCTCGCGCATCGACCACTGCGTCGGCAACCAGGACTGGAACGAGATGGTGCAGGCGTGCGACTTCTACGAGCGGTGCCTGTCGTTCCACCGGTTCTGGAGCGTCGACGACAACGAGATCAGCACCGAGTTCAGCGCCCTCAGCAGCATCGTCATGGCCTCGGGCAACAACCGGGTCAAGATGCCGATCAACGAGCCGGCGCCGGGCAAGAAGAAGTCGCAGATCGAGGAGTACGTCGTCTTCAACGCGGGCGCGGGCGTGCAGCACATCGCGCTGCTGACGGACGACATCCTGCACAGCGTGGCGGCGCTGCGCGCGCGCGGCGTCGAGTTCATCAACGTGCCCGAGACCTACTACGACACGATGCGGCGGCGCCTGGCCACCGAGAAGCGCAACTGGGAGCTCAAGGAGGACCTCGACGCCATCCAGCGCCTCAACATCCTCATCGACTACGACGAGCAGGGCTACCTGCTGCAGCTCTTCACCAAGCCCCTCATGGACCGCCCCACCGTCTTCATCGAGATCATCCAGCGCAACGCCTTCGAGGGCTTCGGCGCCGGCAACTTCAAGAGCCTGTTCGAGGCCATCGAGCGCGAGCAGGCCGAGAGGGGGAACTTGTAAGATGTCATGGGCGTTCCTCCCCCTCCTCAACAAGGCGGGAGTGTGGATTGAACCAAAAGAGAGAAAAAAGGGGGGGAAGGGCAAAGCTAGGAATATAAAAGGGACCCACCGAGCATTGTCACACATGACATGACTCCCGTGCAACGACACGGGGGATCGGATTGAAGGAAGACCTTGCATGTTAGATGATACATGTTAAGGATGAAATGTATGAAGTTACGAGGCTACGAAGCACAATATTGTCTTCGTTCAGTAGCAAATTTTTCTCACCACAGTCGATTACCTTGAAATGCCGTATCTTGAGCGTACGTTCCTGTCTTTTCTCAAACAGAATGTTTGCTACAAAATTTCTACAGTTGTAATTACGATGAAGCAGCAGCTATAGGGGGGAAGAAAAGCATGACATGTAGACTGACAATCTACCTTTGCGAACTGACGCGGGCATCCGTTCTTTCTGGGAATGCATCGAGCTATTTCGCCAAAATTTGTGACATGGTCCCAGGGGACGCTGCTACACTTTTGTTTGCCAATATCACCCTGACGATCCACTCGATACGATGCTACACATGATCACAAGGCTAGACAGTGAGTGAGTGGTAGGCTAGATTATGCAGTACATCTCGTTTGAAAATCAAAGGGATCATGACCATGCCAAGTCAGAAGCTGGACAAGCACTTCTAGTTATCTCGGGTGGACATCACAACATCGAAAACATGGGTCGTATGACACGATTGTAACCTAATATCACACTCTAGTCGTACCCTGTAGACAAGTTGCCATATGTTCGAGGGATCCTATTGTACCAAAATCAAGGGCCCACCCACAGAGACATATAATCTGCTGCGATGTGAGCCGACAAAAGCGCCCCGTTTCTCCAAACACCAATCTAAACCGATCCATTCCAGATGCTGTATGCATTCAAGCCCTCAATCCCTGAGGTGGTCCAAAACACCTAATACGTAAGCGACGAGGCCGACTGCCAAACAAACCCTACCTTACACGTCATTGCGCTCCTCGTCGTTGTCGCCGAGCAGGTAGGCCGCCTCCATGCAGTACCCAAGCCGGCCACTACCCAGCTTGCGTTCGCTGCCGTAGCAGACGACGACGGCGTCGAGGATGCCCACCAGAATGCTCTCGAGGGAGCCCAGGATGCTGAAACCGATGGCACCCGCCACGATACCCACGACGTACGCGTATGCGCTTCCGCGGAAGCCGACGCCATCTGGTCGCTGGCCTTCCAGTTGGCGGGCGGTCATGACCCAGCCGGCGAAACCGAGGGCCGCGGCCATGACCATCTTTGTTGCATTCAACAGTAGCTTGGCGAGTCCGTACGGGACGAGCCCATTAGAGTTCGGGTGCCGTCGGTTCAACGCACCGGGCATCAGCGTGGTGGTGGTCGAGTCCAAGTTCAGGAACGACATCCTCGTCAAGCGGGAGGCCGATTCCATCAAGGGCAGTGAGTGGATAGCGGCGTATGTCAGGACGAGTGGGTTCGTGAGTATGGCGATGGGGGCTGGAATCAGGGAGAAGGCAGCCAGGTTGACGACCCGAGCAAGCCTTGCGGGCAGGATGAGCAGCGGCAGGCGAACAGCAAGCTGAAGGAGCGTGGCTGCACAGATGGTGCCGAACGTCGAATTGGTAGCATGCTGCAGGGCCTCGGACACAACAGCATTCGAAGGGGACGGTGGCTGCCGGTTGCGGTGGAAGTACCAATTCGAAACTGTGCCAGCTGTCGTCGCTCTCACAACTCCGCTGCCCACGGACAAGGTCCAGAGATACACGAGGAAGAAGTAGGCGCCTATCCACCAAGTTGCAGCGCCAATGACAAAGGCCGCAATCGACTTGGAGAAGTATCCGCTCAGAAAGACGCGTGTAAACATGCCCAGCCATACCCAAGTCCAACCGACGACGAAAACCAGAGAGCCGAAACCAAGCGCGACGAGGGCCGGGTTGGCTGCCAGAATCCTGCTCGCAAACTCAAGGAGCTCGATGGCCTTGTGCAGCTGATATCGGGACCTATTAATTAGCCAGACCATGCCGATCGCGGCTGCTGCAGGAATAAGGGAGAGCCATCTCATAACGGTGTCTTGCAGCGCCAGCCTCGACGAGCTGCCCTGAAAGCTTGCGATGAAAGGGTATAACGAGAATGCGAAGAGGACGATGGGGCTCCCAGCGACGATGAGAATAACAAACGGTCGAACAAACGACCGAAGCAGCGCCATCCAGACCAGAGCTACGACGACGGCCACCACCGTATCCACCGCGAGGAGATAGAATGAACTATGCAGCGTAGTGTATATAGTATCGCCGAGCGGGGTCTTGCTGCTCGGCGTTGACGTATGCAGCCATACCAGGACAAAAGTTGCAAACAGGGACGCCATGGCGATCAGGTATATCCAGGCAAAGAACTGATCATTCTCGAACATCTCGCTCGGTGCCCCGACCGACGGCACGTCCGCCACGGGGTCGTCGAGCGGCTCGTCTTCCTCGGGGATAACGTCGCGCATCAGGCGAGAATCAGGGCCTGCCTTGGGATGTCTGAACTGTTGAAACGCAGGCGGGTCCAGATCTGTGGGTGTCTCCTGTAGCAAGTCCTCCGGCACGTCGTTGTCCAGCACGGCTGATTCCAGACCGATATCTACCATCTTTCCGTCGCTGCTGTCCGAGTTGTGGCGCGAAGTCTTGGGGTTCCCTGATTCCTTAACCTCCTCCTGACGCTTCTGTCTGGTCGTCCGGTCCTTGAAGCTGGACTCGCCGTTCCAGCTGCTCTTGATGCCCATGGGCCGCCGCCCCCTGTCCTCGTACACTCTGCTGTCCTGTTCGCCGCTCTCGCCTAGCGAGGCATGGCTGTGGTCGTTCTCGGACGCAGAGCTCTCGTCCATGCGGCTGGAGATGAAGACGCGCCGCGACCGTTGCAGAGCTCTGAAGTCGGTGGCCTCCCGCGCATCATCCTCATCCTCGTCCTGGAACTCGTTGAGGGCGCTGTGGAAGAGCGGTGCCGTGTCCTGAGCAGTGTTGTACCGGGAGGCAAAGCCGAAACGCGAGCTCGAGGGCTGGTATGGGTTTCCTAGCCTGCTCTGGTATGTAGACCGTCCAGGCTGCCGGGAGAAGCGGGAGGTCGGGTCGGCCGGCTGCCTGCTCGCAGATTCACCGTCGGGTTGGCCGAAGTTGGACAGGCGGGACTGGGACTGGGCGAGGAACCTGGAGGCATCTTTTGTGCGTCGGTTAGCCACGATTTCCAAGGTCGCTTTGTTGCCTGAAAGGCGGACGCGGCGGCGCTGGGCGGGTTGGTGAGGTCATGTGAGCACTTACACTCGGAGAACATGGTATTTCTACGGCAAGAGGAGGTCGACTCCTGCAGAGCGAGATGGCGAGGTGCGATGAGGAGAGAGAAAGGAAGGACAAGTCAGAAGCGGCGCGCGAAGCGTCGTGCGCAGTTGGTCCAAGGCGGCAGCGGGTGTGTCACGAGTTGGGTCGCATCCAGGCTGTGGTACGGATGGCCGAGGCCTCTACTGGAGATATGACGATATGGGGGAATGGGGAATGGGGGACGGGCGATAAGTCGCTGCAGATCGATAGACCGATAAGTTGGGGGAGATAAGAGGGCCGGACAAGACGAGACAAGGTCCGGTTCTGGTTGTAAGTTGACGGTGGCTACTGCTACGGGCCTCCAGTGCGACTGTGGTGGAAGAATGAAACGAGGCGGGCTCTCGAGGAGAGCGACGGTTTCGGGAAAAGGAAACAATAAAAACAAGGTTGTTCTACTTGCACGAGGCGAAAGCTTGGGAAGGAACCTGACCGGGGGGCCGGATGACTGATTTGTTGTCGCCGTCTCCCACGTCCTGCTCAAGTGCAGTCGGTCAGTCACTCGGTCGTCAGTCAGTCATGGGCTCTGCATGGGGCCTGGCCTGGGGGCCTGGGGGGATAAGCATCAGCCGTGACCTCAGCATGGGCAACCACTGACCAGCGACCACTGACCACTGACCACTGACCACTTGTTAGCGGGGCCCTGGACGACGAAACTGGGGACCAAGCTCGGGTTCTCTTAGTGGCTCACCTCCCCCATTTCAGGCACCTCAGAGCACCCCATTTGCCCGTGCTGTCATGCAATGGCCAACGCCCTGGCCGGACGCGGAAACGGCGGGACCGCTTGCTGAGCTATGCTATGCTATGCTATGGATGTTTAGACCCTTGCAGAAGCGGGCGTGACGCTCTCGGCCTGTCTTATCAGCAACCAGCTGCAGATCGACACTTTGGATGTCCAACTCGCTGCAGACAGCAGACGGGAGTGACTTGTTGGACCCTCTACCCTCTACCGTGTGTTGTGTCCTCCTGCCCTTGTGTCTCCCTCTTTGACAGGGCCGTTATTCAGTGATCTGACGATATACAGTGAGTAGATAGACCATCCACTTCTGTGAGCCCTATCTGCTACCACGGTGCCCAGAGCGATACATGCATGTCCTTTGACTGGCTTTTGTATGTACATAGTAGTACGAGAAGCGCGTAGAAAGACAATCCAGTTTGGCCGCGTTTCATCGCATGACAGATATACACAGAACCATGGGCCCGACCAAACCCTCTCTATGGTTTATCTGCGTGTCTTTGGTCCCAGAAATTAGCTTTCCTTTCGTCCCACCCATCTCCGTTACATCACGGTGATTGTGTCTGATCAGTACTTGACTAGACGAACAGTGATACGGCAACGACGTACATTCAAGCATGTGCCCGCTCCAGCCCGTGTCAAGTGACGACAGCCAGCCCCCAGAGAAAACACGACCATCGACTCTGAGTTGCTCTAGCTTAGCGGTCAATCCTAGCAGCTGCCCACTACTACCTGATTGATAACTTACAATCACGCAACGCGTTTTCTCTCACAGAGCTGCCCGCCGCCGCTGGAGACACGTCTCAGTCAAGACCAGTCTGACCAGAAGGCTTGCCAGCGATAGCCCACACACAAGACGTCTTTGCACCGGCAACAAAGACTCGTCCGGCCGCTTATACACACCTTTATTCCCTGCCAAGGCCTACCTCGCTGAGTGGGCCGCCCGTTCCCACACTCCAGCAACTCGGTGGAGTCGGAGAAGCCAAGTGCCCCCTGGCTCCTTGCTGCACATCCTTGACCACCTGGGCACCCCGTCGTCCAACCCGTCTCACGTGCAGCAGCCATCATCGCTGCTCTCCCGTACTACATACATCATACACCACTACAGGACAGCAACGGCAGCAGCAGCTACGGTAGAAAACCCACGATACTAGTGACCGAACAATCCGCCATCTCTTGTGTCTCTACCTCGAACCACCACCTAGAGAGCCGGAAAGGAAAGCTACGAGGAATCCAATCTCCCTCCCTTTCTCCTTTCTTCCCCGCCTTCCCTTCCCCCCGGCCGCCTCTCCCCCGAAACTCCTCCAAGACGACCAAACAGAAACCCCCGGGGCCCAGGTCATGTCGTCATCCTCGACCTCGTCGCCCCCCTGGGACTACATAGCCAAGCTCGTCTGCATCGGCGACTCGGGGTGCGGCAAGTCGTCGCTGACGATCCGGCTGTGCGAGGGCCGCTTCAGCCCGCAGCACGACGTGACCATCGGCGTCGAGTTCGGCTCGCGCATCGTGCCCGTCGGGCCCCCGCACTCCAAGACCCTCCTCCTGCAGCAGTCGGCCTCGTCGCCGTCGAATCCGAATCCGGAGCAGCAGCAGCAGCAGCAAAAGACGGCCGCCGCCGGCCTCCCGGACCCGCCGCGGGCCAACAACGCCGACGCCGCCGATGCCGCCCAGAAGCACATGAAGCTGTCCCTGTGGGACACGGCCGGCCAGGAGACGTACAAGTCGGTGACGCGCTCGTACTTCCGCGGCGCCAGCGGCGCCCTGCTCGTGTTCGACATCTCGCGGCGGACGACGTTCGCGCACGTCACGGACTGGCTGAACGACCTGCGGCAGATCGCCGAGCCGGACATCGTGGTGATCCTGGTGGGGAACAAGGCGGACCTGGCGTCGGACGGCGAGGAGGACGGAGAAGCAGCAGCAGCGGCGACCAGTGCTGACGGCAAGAGCGGCAGCAAGCGCGAGGTCAGCGTGCGCGAGGCCGAGGAGTGGGCGCGCAACAACGGCGTGCTGCAGTACGTCGAGACGTCGGCCAAGAGCGGCGCCGGCGTCGAGCTGGCCTTCATGAAGGTCGCCGAGCGCATCTTCGACAACATCAACGCCGGCAAGTACGACCTCAACGACCGCCGCAGCGGCGTCAAGGGCCCCGCCCCGGGCATGGCCGGCCGGCAGGTCCGGCTGGGCGACCAGAGCAAGAGCGCCGGCGGCTGTTGTTAGTCCACCTCCCCTTGCCTCCAGGGAGGGTGCAGGAAGACCCCACAGGGGGAGGCATTGGGCCCATGGGGCCCCATCCCACGAGGCGTGGCGAAATTCGTTGCTCGTTCGAGTAACTGAGCAAGCGAAAGGAACACTTGGGTTGAGCGCTGTGCTTGTGTCGCACGCGTACTGGATAGATGCCCACGCGATGGGCTACACGTTCCGGTCAGCTTTCCCGGCTTGTATGAACAGGGTAGAATGAATGTTGGCGAACAGAGTAGTCCGGGAGACGGGCAGGAGGCCCGAGGGGAGAAGACGGCAACAGCAAGGCGAAATATGCCTTGCCGACAACGTTGCAGCTTGTGTAAATAACTAGATACACGCATTTTTGATGATACCCTACGTAATGTCTACAACCTAGCAGAATCGAAACAATCAAATTGTCTGTTGTTACGTGCGTTCCGCTGGCTTACACTGCTGTAGACCCTTGGGATACGTCCAACATGTCCAAATCGCTGGACGCATCTCCCAAGGCCAACAATCAATATTCCATGTCACGTATATGCAGTCGAGGTATCATTTCAACGAGAAAGGAGAAGACTTTTTATTAGATAGCAGTAGTTTATCTTTCCGAGTTTTTGCCAGCATGCCCCAAAATACATGGAACAAGATAAGAAGGGACCCCACGACCGTAGAACTCCACCTGGCTCCCTGTGCTTGTCCCCTTCGTCAATGCAAGTGCTGGCCCCGTTGTATCGTTACATCACAGAGGAGATGGAGAAGTGACTTTGCGTCATGTGATTGTGTTGCGCGAATCTTCCCTGATTGCGCTGGACATGCCTAACCTATCAGCTATCATTCGTAGCCGTAGCAGGACTGGACAAAACATGGTCGATGCTGGGTAATGAGGACCGCTCAGTCCTATTTCCTTCCAGTCTTCGGCCCCTTTGACATTTAGTCAGACATACGCCACGTGTCGAACCACTTCATGTAGCTGTAGTCCTTGTTGGAGCCGGTCATGCCCCAGCAGATCGGCATAAAGTAGACGTACAGGCCGATGATGACCGTGTACAGGGTACCGTATACCACGCTTTGGACGAGCTGCTTCTGGTTGCGAAGCGTGAAGTCGACGAGGAATCCGAGACTGAGGATGGCAAAGTAGAGCGCAGGGTAGTAGTGGTGCACGTAGGTGACACGCGCCATGACGACAAAGGGCAGGTAGTGGAGGAACCACCCAAGGATCGGGTACAGACCAGCGTAATGAATCTGGTCAATCTCGGCTTGAGACAAGTCCCTGAAGCCTCGCTGCCATCGAAGAATGTACCACACGGTGATCAACCCAATGACACCGAGGGAGGCAGTCGATGCCCAGTAGACGAAAGGGTTGCCCAGGAGGAAGTACTTGACGATCTTGTCATCCCAACCACACATACGCAGACCGACGTTGAGAATGGGCCACTGCCACCATTGAGAAGCAAGATCATCCTGTTTGTCGGGATCCGGAACAAGCGCGTTGTTGGATGTCATCATGGCAACGTTCAGGTGGATGAAGTCGTGGAAGAAAGGCGACTTATACTTGCCAGGGTCACCAGGGGGCACTAGGCAAAGGTCAGTCAGGACCGCGAAATTGCGACAGCCAGGAGTAACTTACACTTCTCGTTGGTGTGCGCCTCGATGTTCCAGTGCGTGTAGGCGTCCTTGGGGTTGTTGCTCTTGTCACAAGTAACTTCGATCTGCTTGAAACCCCACTGAGGCAGGTTCACGTTGCCGGCACGCAGATAGCAGCCCATCGAGGGGTGCTTCAGGCGGAAAGCAGTAGTCAAAGTTCGGATTCGGGACTTGTCGCGAGAGGAAACATCCTTGACTACCTCAATCTGCCAGTGGTCCTTGTCGTCGCCCACGGTCAAGTTGCCGTAGCACGAGACTTCCTTCTGGCTCTTGGTGACAGGGGCAGGGATATCGTGGGAGTGCAGGTTACGGCCGGTCTGAGTGTGGATCAGGCGGATAGTGTCGCCGTTGCCAAGCATTCTGGGCTCAGCCTCAGGGTTGTAATCGGGCTCTGCGCGGTTAGGGTAGAACCACCATTCGTTGTTGGCATCCTTGTGGTGGTAGCAAGTCACCTGTTGCTGGTTTGAGCCGTCAGGGTAGGTCTGAACGTGACTGTGCAGAAGACCACCACCGTATCCCATGTTCTTGAGGGTCACCTTGGATCCGATGGCGAGCTCGAGCGGAGAGTTGCGGCCGATCTCGCTGCCCTCCAGGTTGGCTTGGAAGAGCGAGCTCATCTGGGCATCACCAGGGCCACTTCGAGTAAGAATGGCGAAGTGGAGAGCAAAGGACAGCAGGTAGACAAGGAAGGGAATGACAATCAGCCCAGTCACTCGAGCAGCAACGTGGGCAGCAAGCTCAGGAATGGGCATCTTGGTGTCGCCAAACTTGTGCCACAGATCCTCAATGGTGTAGATTCCAACCAGCGCGGTGACAAACAGGCCGACAAGCTTAATGCTGCAGACAAAACCCAAGCTGAGGCCGGTCATGAACAGCCAGAAGAACCACTCGGGATCGAAGCTCCACTTCTGTAGCCCATGGAACTTGGACCAGCAGAAGACGGTGGCAACGGTACCAAACAGAAGCATGGAGTCGAGCAGGATGAAACGGCTGATGGTGGTGTACGAGTTCTCACACAGGACCATCAGGGTAACCAGCCAGACGGCGGGACGCTTGAGGTTCAGTTCGCGAGCCGTGTAGTAGGCCAGGGGAATGCAGAGGATGCCCCAGAAGGCGTTGAAGGCGCGCATGAAGGTGTAGTTGAGCTCCTCGGGGTAGGTCTCGCCCGACTTGAACTCGAAGGAACCATTGTAGCCGGCCAGGACGCCAGAGACGCCGACCAGGATCTTGCCGAGGGGAGGGTGCACGTCGAAGAAGAGCTCCCGCTTGATGTAGTGCGAACCGAACTTGCCAAAGTGAGCCTCGTCCCAGGTCACGATGTTGCTGAGGCCGATCTTCCACAGGCGAGTGAAGAAGGCGAGGGCAGTAAAGATGACGGGGGCAATGATGAACTCCCATTCGTCAAGGATCTCGAGGAAGGACGGCTCCTAGGGCGCGGAAGTAATGAGTTAGCCAGAGACTCTTAAGGCGGTAGCAGCGGGATCAGGGGGACGTTGTGTATACCTTCTTCTTGCCGTGGATCTTCTTCTCGTCGAGCTCGGGCTGCACTACAGCTCCCTGTGTGGCCGAGGTGGGCACATTACGCTGGCGCAGGGCCTGGCCATTCGCGTCGGCGCCAGAGGCAACCGTGGCCCTGTTATCGGCCATGGTTGCAGGTAGCTGTCGTCAGTTCCTAGACCAAGTGGTTTTCTTGCGTTGCCAATGTTAAGACGACAGAAGGCAAGCCCACGCAAGAAAGGAGATGTCGAGCTTGAGTGACAGGCTGGACTGGGGGGGAATGGGTGGACGGGAGCAATAGAAAGGGGAAAGGGTCCCGTAAGAAAAAAAAGAGGGTCTAAAGTGAATGTGAGAAAGAGAAACAGTTAGCTGGTCAATCCTGCGAAAGGCCAACGAAACCTCAGGTCATATCTCCCCTTCCCAAAAGAAAAGTCAGGAGGTGGTGACGATGGGGAGAAGGAGAAGCAGGACGAGAAGCAGAGCAAGCAATACGACTGGCCAAGGTCTGGACTCTGGCGCGGTCAGTAGAGGGCAAAGGGCGAAGCTGGGCCCCCAACCCGAGAGCATGGGATACGATTATCGACTTTTCGTTCCCTTCCCGCTTAGACCGGCCCCCCCTTCGACCCTCTCGACCCCCTCGACCCCCTGTCCGCGTCGTCGTGCTATTTGCGGCGCTGCGAGAGTTGAGCTAGCGCACCACCCCGATGGACAGGACAGGTGGTCAGTTCAGTCCAGTCCAATGGAATACGGGCGGCCCTATGGGCACACACAGGGCCTCCTGTGGCTCCTGACTGGTCCCTGGAGCTCTTCTGGCTGGGCCGCGCCTTAGGTTCCGCTACGAGCTGCACCCCTGGGACCCCACGTTCGGGAAAAAAAGAACACTAGCCCAGCAGCACTCTCGCCTACGTTCAGCTTGTGATGCAACCGTGAGATTGTTTTTTTCCCTTCTTTTTCTGTCATCGTATATATCTTCGTAGTAATCACTTGAAGAGGATGTCGACTGTCGACAGTCAACATTTCACTTGGCAGAGACCCTCAAACGAGACCCTCAAACGACTATCAAAGCCTTCTCACCCCCCTCATCGCGGATCTTCAACAAGTGACTTTGATACTACTGTAGTTATATCCCACCTTCTGGCGCTCGGGAGCTCTAGTCAAAAGTCTGATACCAGCCCGCCCCTATCTGGCTTTTCGCGACATGTGTCCTGCAGCAATCTTGACAGCTCGACCGAGACATTGTTACTCACGAAGCAAACAAGACATGGCGCACCCGTTCCATGCAACCTTTTAAAATTGTACTCTCATTGCTGTTTCCACCAGACACAGCATCCACTCCCCTGCTGCCCCAAACTAGCGGCTGCTGGTCGCTGGTGCTCCACAGCCCGACTATACACCTCGGTATCGACCCGGCTCATTAAGATGCAACATGACAAGTGTAATATCTCCAGTCTCTAGACCTGCCTCCCGTCCGCCGAGGGATGCCTCTGGTCTTTATTGCGCCGTTGACCGCGAACATGCAAGAAACAAACTAACCAAGGACAAATAATGAGATGAGCCGGCTTCCCGGCCCTGCAGCTCCCCCACCGTCTATATGAATTCAATCCACGTCTAATCTCACCCATGGCTTTGACCACCGCGGGGATGCCCGCTGCGCTGCCATGCCTTAATCATCTCGCTGATCTAAACGCTCGTAGGCCGGGCCCCGGCTACCGCTGGCGCCCCGGTCTCGTCCGACCATCCGGTTGAGCCATTCGCCAACGCGTCCTCTCGACCCGCTCTCGGACCGCAGGTGTGGCTTCCCGTCTACCATGTTGACGTGGGGCGGGTCGATATCCAACGGCGGGATGTTAGAGTCCGGACCCGGTCGACCACGGAGGTCTAGAGAGGGCACTGGGGACGAGGCTCTGTGGATGGAGCCTGTCTCAGACCTCAAGCTGGGAGTACCCATGGCCGTAGTGGCGTCGCCAAAGAGCGAATCCATCTCCTCCAAGCGTACACCGCAGGTTTCGGGATAGATGAAGTACACTACCTGTCGTTAGTTTCACCTGCGTATGAATCGGGCTGAGGGTGGGCAACAAGCAACTTACCCGTAATGAAACTGACTACACAGAAGAAGGCGTGCAGCAAATAGAGGCGCCATCCGATCCAGTCCTGGAGGATGGGTGTCATCTCACCCACGATAAAGTTGAAAGTCCAGTTGGAAGCCGTGGACAGACTTGCGCCCTTGGATCTGATGCTGAGAGGCAGAATCTCGGGAGGGTACAGCCAGGGGATCTATTCAAGTTAGCTATATCGCCTCGATGAATGCATAGATATTGGTGCAACTTACCGGACCCCACGAGTACCCAAATGCGGCATTGTAAATCATGACAAAGGCGACGACGAACTGTGGCGTGCTATCGATGTTGAGGTATAGGAAGTAGCTCACGAGGGAGAGCGAGATGGCCATGGCCACGGCTCCACTAAGCAGAATAACACGTCGGCCCCAACGGTCAACCACATACCACGGCGGGATGGTGGAGAGCAGGTATGTAATACCATTGATACCGGTCATCTTGATAGCGTCGTGACCATACCATCCCGCCGACTCAAAGACGTAGGGCGCGTAGTATGAGATGACGTTGATGCCGTTCAATTGCGCCAAGGCCTGCGCAGACATGGCAATGAAGACACGCGTCTTGTACTTGCGGAACATCTCCGAGTATGTTCTCTCTCCCTCCATGCGTTGGAGGAGGACGTTCATCTTGATTTCGCGGTACTCGTCCCGAGCCTTGGGGTTGTGAATGTCACCGGCGCCATAGAGATTGGCAATCACGACGATACCCTCTTCGTCGTGGTCGTTATCGAGAAGCCACCTGAGAAAACGCCCCGGATCAGTTTGGTCCATTTAGCAGAGTTAGAAGGAGGTAGGGTGCGTACCGTGGGGACTCAACGATCACCAAACTACCAAAACCCAGCAGAGCACCCATCACACATTGCATGAACAGGGGCAGACGCCACGAGTAGTTGCTCTCTATGTACCCGCAGAAGTAGTCAACCCACACGGACGTGGTATATCCAATGATATTGCCACTGAACTCGATACACGCAAGCTTACCACGGTTGTGCGGTGGTGAGATCTCGGATTGATAGACAGGCACAATGGTCGAGAGCGAACCTACACCCAGACCGGCGATAATTCTTCCCAACATCATCATTGGCATGTTGGTCGCACATGTCTGCAGGGCACCGCCAACGAAGAAAATCATTGAGCCGTAGAGGATTGTTTTCCTGCGGCCAATCATGTCACCAATTTTCCCTACAGCTAGTGAGGAAATGAGGGCACCGATCTCAAGAATCGCGACCATGGTGCCTATCTCGGCATGGGACGGGTTGTGGAAATACGCCCGGAAGTAGGGGCCGCTGAGCTTTGAGGTTAGCAATCTGCTATGTTCGAGAGAGCCCGGCGCGCGCCGGAGGCAGCCACTATAGCAAGGAGCACCTACGTAATGATACCGGACATGACACCCTGATCATATCCGAAGAGGAACACGCCCAACGATACGAAGATGCTGGTGAAATAACTGGTGACGGTCAGTACGCGGTGGCATGGGGGGGCCAAGCGGCAGTTTGGCGGGACTTACATCAGGCCCTTGCCTGTGAGGCCGTGGACCCCCGTGCCCGGCATGATGGCGGACAGCAAACGTGTACCTCTCGAGGGACGGCGAGGAGCTACGTCTGGAATCTCGATTGCCTCCTTATTAACGACGCCACTGTGACTCGACGAGAGTCGCTGGCTGTGCTCGGAGACCGATCTCCGGAACTGGACGCGCTTGTGCTTGGAACGCTTCTTGTCGACGACGCCGGCGAGGAGCTCGTCGTTCAGCGAGGTGTCGGCGAGTCGAAGCCTCAGGGGATCCTCCTCATCGGCGAGCTGCTCGGCGATGTCCCCGGTGTCGGTCCACGAGTCGAACTCGGAGTCGCCAGAGTCGGACGAGGCACGGTCGTGGGATGCGTGGTGGTCCCGGTGGCCGGCGAGCAATGACGTCGATTGGGCTCCGTCTCCGTGATGCTCGGGACGGCTGGTGAGGGTTCGGAGGGGGATGTTGGAGGGAAGACGGGATTGGTTTGGGGAAGGAATCTTGGAAGATATGGGGCTGTTTGGCAGCAGCTCCCTTCCGCGATATGACGAAGATAGAGGTAGGGCCAGGAAACGGGCGAGAAGTGGAGCGGGTGTTTATACCAACACTCGGTCCAGCGAATCTGGGTGGTTCGCCAAAGCCGAGAGGTGTCAGTCGGTAGTGACCGTCGGGGGGGAGGGATAGTCAGGTCGGCCGGCGCACTTGCATGCCCTTGGTCTGCTTGGGGCCTTGGGGGCCTTGGGGCCTTGGACGGAGAGGAGCTGGGTGACGAGAGGCTGCAGCAGGTGGGCACCCAGAGACCTCGTGCAATCCAGATTCGGCAAGATAGGTTGGTATGGGTATGGAGTGCAGAGCTGCCACTACGGTGTACCCTGCGCCAATTGAACCGAGACCGGGCCAGCGATGAGCGAGCGAGTAACGATAGGGAGATACGACAGAGTTGGTCGGGTGCTTGCGTCGGCCGGGGTTCTTTCCAGGGCAATTGATGAGCGGCGGGATTCTTTTTCTTGCTACGGCTACGAAACAGGAGAGGGAGAGATGGAGAGAGAGAGAGAGGTGTTCTGCTGGGCAAAGTCGAAGTGAGCCAGTGTTCGAAAGTTGTTGCGTATCTTCAGCCTGCGTCTTCTCCTTTTTCCGAGCATGGATGCTCTCCCCCCCAAAAACTTCCAGATTGCCAGATTTCCTGGCAGGTCTCCAGCGACTCCAGCGCAGCCAGCTCCCAGGACGCCGGGCTTGGCTCCATCCACCGACCTGCACGCCTGTTAGCTGGCGCCCGCCAATCCCAACCCCTTTCACTAACAGCTGTTTCTAGTCTGTGGGGGGCTATCACGTGTTTGCATATTGCCAATGGCGATCACCTCTGCAGCGCTGCTCATGTCCTTACGGTGGTAATGGCACTCTTGCAGAGCCGGCCGCGACAACAGTTTCTGACCTCACCATACTTACTCCTACAGAATTCTCAGCCTATTTGAACCTCAGATAGCCCTTATCACCCGCAGCTATGTGAAGATTCGTCTGGCTGTTGCGGAGCACTACGAAGCAACTACGAGAGTAGTCACGTTCCACCAAGCATCGCTTATCATGCGTACCCTGCTTCCCCGAATCCGCCTTTTTGACTCGAGGACGATGCCGATCTCCCCATAACCCCCTTCACCTCCATATTTGATACGAGTCAATCTCAGTCCAGTCTGCCGCTGTCCGCGATCCTTTTTCTGGACCCTGACAGCCGAGAGGCAGGCGAAGCGCTGCTAGCGAGGCATACGCTGACTACGACACCTCCGCATCTCCAACTTCTTACCATGTGCATATGCGTTACCCCACAACGGCCTCGTTAGCACACTCCAGACGGTTTGGAAGTTCCATTTCTTCTCGAATCGTGGGGTTTCTGGGGAACGTCGGCCCAGCTCACCCATACTCTGACCCGACTCTGTCCCGTGGAAGCGTAACGAGCACGCGATGCACACCTGGTGAGAGTCCAGTCTGCCTGACTGACCCTGTGGTTCGATTATTAGGCACCTGTCCCCTTGGTCACGGGTTCCGAGCTATGCAGCCCCCCAGGACTCAATGGGACCCACGATGGCATCATAGTCTCCATTCGGACGAAGGCGGTCAGCAGTGACCAGCCTTCTTCTATTGACCGTCGGTCGCCCACAACGAGGATGCGTATCCGACATCCTCCCAGGGCCAAATAATGCACCACTGTTGCTTCGATGGTCCAACTGCAAAGCGTGGGCACGAACCCACATGGTCTGTTGCTGGTCAGCAGACGGACTGTAGTCTCTTGGCCTTTGCTCGAATGTATGCATATTGGGGTGTTCACCTGATGAGACTCGTGCTATTTCTATCTCAAATAACCCATCACTTATCACAACGGCCAACTGTTCCGAGCATTCCAAACGCTATCAAAGCTCAGCCTTGTGCCCTTTGCGGTTTGCGCTTACACGCGGGAATATTACGTACTTACCCATGCACATGGACGCACCAGGTATCAAGTCGCTTGCACCTCACCGGCGAGCGGAATGAATACTTCACTTACATAATCGACAACGACTAAATGCCATAAGCCTGCTATCTAGCTACCGTTAAAGTCACCAAGGTCTATCGAATATCTAAGATACAAATTAGGAGGTATTAAAGTCGTCATTGCCCAGGTACCAATGGAACCCTGCTATCTTTGATGACGTAGCGCTTCACCAGCCCGGGCGTTGAGGCTAAGAGCCTCCAATCCTAGGATGCCGCCAAAATGGTGCCCTCTTCTTGTGCCAGCAGAAGCATGGCTTCCCAAACTTCGACGCAGCTCCAATCACCAGGCGGTTATTATTAAATTCGCATTCGACACTCAAATCGCGGTCCGGACTCAGGCGTATTCAATACCTCCATTGACCAAACTGACCAAAGTGACTACTATAACACTCTGTACACTGCAAAGGGAAAGAGAATTGGCAATTGGGAACATCAACACCTACTCAGGCCTGCCAGGAAGAGAGAAGCCATACAAAGTCCTGAATAGTAGCACGTGTCTTCGCGCCACCGCTCTCTGAAGCCGCGATGTCTCTCTAGATGAAGGACAACTAGCCAGATGAAGATCTTCCGCAAGTCGGATTTGTCGTCTACCATAGGTAAATTCTAGAAGCATTAGTGACACCCGTGGACATGTCGGGCGCACGTCAGTAGCATGCTAGAACCTAGCCGCTGCTAGGTAGGCGATCCGTGAAATAGCGCCGACTTGGCAGACTAAAGCCCAAATGGCTGAAACACTCACCAGCCATGGTGTCTGCTCTGCGGAAAGCAAGCAGTGAAACAGCTTCTTACGTGGCATCGTAAGGCTTGCAGTTGTGTAACTTGCAGCTCACCTGCTCAGGATACTAGTTTCTTTATAGCGCTGGCAACAACTAAAAGACTAATAAAGTATTATCCTGGACGTAGATCTGTCGATTATCAGGAGGCCCAGTGTCCACGTTCTGTCTTGCGGTCCTTACTCTACCTAACGTGGAACTTCTTGGTAGCTCGACAGCCTAAGCCAATCGCTCCCGGCGCTCGTCGACTCTACTGTGGTATATAATCCCGCCTAGGATATGATCTATGAACATAGCCCACGAGGAGGGGTTCGATCTGGGGGCAAGAAGAAGCGTACCACTGCCGCAGGGCATCATACCTAAGATCGCTCGCAGATGGCCAAATGCAGACAGGGCAGGGTATCGTGTACCTTGCAGCGGTTGCCTCGCGTCCGTCGCCGAGCTCAAATGAGCGCCGAGAACAGAGGGTCATGCAAGAGTAAGATAGGCCATAGCTAACTAGCAGACCACAATTCACGCCAAACTTTGCCTTCCGTTCTTGGTATAGGTACAGTGATTACATAGAATGGGCTACTGCATTGAAATACATATCCAACTAAACTCGTCCTTCAGTATAGCATGTAAGTGCAGACCAGGGAGTGGCCAAGGTAGAGCAGCGAGCACAAAGTGGAAGGGGAGAGAGAGAGAGTGAGTTTCAAATATCAGACCGCGGTCCAACCGCTGCAGCAGCAAGGACATGGCGGGGGCCAAGCGAGGGAGGATGACATACAGCAATTCATGCATATGTATGCCGGGCGGATCTAAGCCGCGTCCCGATGGTGCCTCGATCCTGTTGGCTGGCAGGCTTCTAGTCCGTCCTACGACTGTCTTGTCCTCGCGTTTCCAGAAGCCACGGTATGTAGCTAACTAACTGGTAGCTTTCAGCAGAGACATTTACACTGAAAAGAGGAGGAGATCCTTGGGTGGGTAGAGGGCCGCAAACGGCGAGGATTGAACATTACAGCGTCCCATCCAGGATCGTGCAAGGAAGCTGCCTACAATAAGGTAATTTCAGACTCGGATCGCATTGCACGACCGATCCCGTTAGTGTGCGCTGCGATCTGGGAAAAGCGTCGGGCGCATCAAGACGAGCTTGGAGCTCAGGAACCGCAGACGAGTGGCTGGCAGCGGTCGTTATTTTAAATACGACTCCACCCGCACCAAAAGCGCCGCCCCCCTGCCGGCGCCGTCGCAGGCGCTGCAGAGAGGACAGGGACGGTTAGAGTTGGGGCAGTCCTCCACCCCGTCGTCCCAGGCAGGCCGCCCAGACATATCCGCCCAGTCAGAAGGCAAGGTGCCCTGGGTAGCAGGTAGCCAGGTCGGCTTGGTACTGGCCTCCCTGCCTCGAGGCCTGGTCGGGTCGGCAGCGTAGGCAAGTAGGGGCTGGCGGGCATTAAAATTGAAATTGGCCAGGCTCAGCAACAAATCACCACAGAAACCGCCCAGCCTCGAAACCTGCTTTTCTCCCACTCTCCCTCCAGTCCACCCAAACCGCCACGCGTGAGGCCTGGAAGTCATCACCGACGTCTTTTTTGGAGACACCGCAATCGCATTGATCGAGGAACGTCCGAGCCGCCTGTGGAGAGAGAAGAAGAAGAGATATTGAGCCTCGTCCGAGTCGTAACAGCGTACCGTAGTACAAAGCAGCAGCAGCTCCGACAAGCCACGGCGTCGAAACCCGCACGCTCGCATTCGAGGCCCCGGTTTTTCCAGGTACGGCACAGCTTGTGAGGCGACTGGAGCCGACCAAGCACCACACCACGGCCAACCACCCCAAGCAACCGAGCCTCTGAAGGTCGCCGCTTTCATCGATTCCCATCAGCAACTTGTTGCACTTGTCACTTAAGCTTTACGGAGCCCCCAAGCCGCAATCACACGACCGACTCACAGCCTGCGACAATTGAGTCAGCTTACACCCTCAAATTCAATATCATTCGACCTTCTACCGAATCCGCGCCTCTCCAAGCAACCAAGCAAGCAAACCAACGAATCCCAAACAGCCGCCTCAAGTCCAGCGCTTCGACGACAGCAGTCCGATTCAATCGCGCGAACACAACCGCGAAAGCCTCGTAGTGTGCCAGCCACCTTTGCACAGCAGTTAGAAAGCCAAAGCGCATTGCGCTACCGCGCCAGAAGTCCAATGGGGAGCACACAGTTTGGTAATTTTGAGGTCCGTCGATCATTCCGGAGGCCGCACCTGACACTCGGGGGAATCTCAACGGTCGCTAACATCAATGATCAACAGGCGTTTTGCCGCGACTCAACTTTGCCAGTATGCAATGTATGCACACACCCTTCTCCGTCTACCGTCCGAACATCTCTGATAGCTAACCGTTGTGCAGCTACTGTCATCGAACCACAACCAATCGGGGAATTGGAGTGCTGAGGCGACATGCGAGCTCACGGGCATTCCTCTAAGCAACGGGCAGCATCTCGAGAACTTAGGTTTGTAGGCCGCCGTCCGTCTGTGCAAGCTCGTCTAATGCAACAATAGGATCCATCTTGCTGTGCGGCATTGCCATTGTCACCACGGTATTCCTGTTTTTGAAGTCGGAGAGGAAGAAGGCAGCCGTTGGGCGCCGGTTCGTGGCACCCATTCAAGCTCTAATCCAGATCGTGGCAGCTGACAAGCTTGTAGGGAAATGCAATTGTTCCTCCTGGGATACATTGTCATTTCGATATGTGAGATCTTCTCCGTCGGGGGGTTCCAGCTGGGTCCCACAGTCAAAGTTGTAAGGCCACACTAAATGCGATGATCATCTGGGGGATGCCGATGCTAACGATCACCAGGCGTTTTCGGCCATTCACATCGCTTTCATCATCGCCACGACGTGGGTCCTCCTTCTCAATGCGATCGTCGGCTTCCAGATCATTGACGATGGAACACCGCTGTCCGTGGGGTTGATGGTCATCTCGTCTCTGATTCTACTCGTCGGCACCGGCTACATCGCGCTCGACACGGGTCTCAGCTTCACGGGCTACTGGTCCGACAGCTACGCCCTGCCCAATCGGAACATCGCCTTGTACGTGCTGTACCAGCTGGCTCCGCTCGTCTTCCTCGTTGCCTTCTTCGTCCTGGAGGCCGTCCTTGTCTTGAGAATTTTGGGTGAGGTGCGCCCCATGGCATACCTTACCGCTGCTGGTGTCCTATTCGCGTTGGGCCAGATCTTCAACTACACAATCAGCCCCTACATCTGCAGGGGCACGGCAGGAAAAATCGACGGAGCCTTGTTCGAGACCCTCTTCACCCTGCTCTCTGTCGTCATGGTCTGGATTTTCTGGTCGAGCATCACGGAAGACGACTGGCCAATCGCAACGGCGCCTGCTGGATACGCATAAGGCCGGAGAGCTGACCCAGTGTCCATGATTTGGAAACGGCGTCGGAGTTAACTGTTTTGGGATACCACCTCATCTTTGCGTTGGATTTTTAGTCCTTTTTTTGGGTCTACCAGCCACCTCAAAACCACATCGAAAAGCCACAACCCGTTCTTACACTCGCTAAACAACCCGCGATCCCTACAACTTCTTTGCACACGCGCCAGCATATCGGGGGCGATCACTTTTCGAAAAGGGGAAGAGCTGAGACTCAGGCCGATTGCATGTTACGACTGTACACGTGACCCGAGGAGGAGCATCTGACTTGATTGATACACACATAGGGGCGGAGGAGGATCTGCATGCGCCCGCGGCGGTTGCGGGAAAAGTCGAGCGGAGGAGCATGATTCAAAGTATACCCATTTTGCGCGACTAATGTATATGATGTCGTACGATAGATTTAATATTTAAAGTCAAGTTTAGCAACAACGTACCCGAGAGGATTCCTCGCTTCAAGATGCAACACCCGCTTGCTTTCATACCTAGTCTCGATCATCTAGATCGGAGGGGCCTACTACTTTACTACCTTGACCAAGCCCACCATAGATATGGATGTTACAAGAGGGGAGGGAGAAGCAGGGCTTCGCTCCAGATGGTCACATCACTGCAGCAGCTCCTCGTAACCAGCAGCAAGCACCCGCGCGTCGACGCCCGGGATCTCGGTCTTTTTCTTCTTCCCTGGCTCGTCCGCCGGCGGGTGCGGGTACCAGACGCAGGCGGGCTCCTCCCAGTCGCCCGAGAACTCGATGGTCTCGAAGCACGTCGGCAGGCCCTGCTCGGCCGTGTCGAAGAAGCAGAAGCGGGCCTCGCCGCGGCGGCCGGTCCAGACGCCGGCCATGGCGGGCGCGAAGCCGCGCTCCGCCATGCGCGCCCGCCGCGCCGCCATCGGCTCCCCGAACATGCCGAACGCCACGTGCTGCACCCCGGCCCGCCCCCCGTGCGCGTCCAGGTACGCCCGCATCGGCGTCGCCCCCGACACGGGCTCCATGATCTCCAGCACGGGCTCCCGCGCGTCGCCGCCGTGGTTGTGCGCGAAGGCCACCCGCATCGTGTACAGGTCGCCGCCGCACTGGCCGCCCAGCTCCTGGCCCGTCACCGTGGTGCCGTCGAAGACGAAGGTACGGAACGGCCCCAGGCCCAGGCGCGTCAGGCTGTCCAGCGTGCTATGTAGGGACGGGGTCACGATGCAGATCTCGGAGAGGGACCCGAGGATAGGTGGTGGGGTGGGCTTGGGAGTAGTAGTCCGGGGGCCAGGAGCGTTGGGAGCTGAGGTGGACATGGTGAGCAGGACGATGTGTGATTTCTTGGTAACTGTACTATTTGCGTTATGAGTGAAATCATCAACCATGTGGGGGGAAATACACAGTATGTAGCAAGATACCGCAACAGATAGTATTGAGGTTGTATAGCTACTTATAGGTCATTCATTGCAGATTTCGACGTGAAGGTGCCAATGATTAGACACCTCGCAGCACTGGGGCTGTTATATGTCACGTATGACGACCAACCCCTTGGCTGTAAGACCTTCCTTGCCTAGGTACATAAGTAGTCTGAGAGCAATACCTAGTTGGATCCGATAGACTTCTTCCAGGTCGTCAGAGCTGGCAGGTATGACGACGCTAAGCGGATGATGGTACAGGCTGAGCTGTAAGTTCCCCATCGACGCTTGTGATTGCGGGTCCCTCCTGCACATAGACACTAGTTTTGCCAGCCCTGATTGGCCGCCAGATATCAACCCAAGGGCGAGGCTGTGACGTCCACCTCTAGCCTTGCCCATCCGTCTGCCTACCTAGTTGCCTTTCCCAAGAGACGTTCAGCACCACATTTGCGAGCCTCTGGAACGGAAGTAGCCCACACCGCTGCGGTCATCGAGGCCTGAGTTAGAGGTTCGAAGTTCGAGGTCGACGTGCTGCGCTTGGGAAACTAGGGCGGCGGAAGGGCGCTGTGGCATGCGCCGACTGCCCTTGCTTATTACTGCACCTTTCCTTTGTTCGTCGAGGTGATATCTTATGAAGCTCCAGGCTGCCGCTTCCCAGGAATCGTGAATTTGGAATCTCGATCCGCAGGAGTTGTCATCACCCTGTTTGCCTCAATCACTGTGCATCCGACAATTCTCCTCGCGACGTACCGTCATCAGCGGACCAGAATCCGCAGTGCCACCTGACGCTCCCTCCTCTCGATACCCGCCATGGCCGACTCGGACGGCGAGTACCAAGCCAACGATGGCTCCGACGACGAGTTCGGCGACCATCAGGTCGCCCCCTCGAATCGCACACGCGGACAGGCCGGCGCGCCGTCCAAGGGTCAGCGCAGGGCCGCGTGGGAGGATGTCACACGAACGTGGGAGGTTCTCGAGGAGAACGAGGATGGCACCATCAAGCGCATCGAGACGGCCGAGGCCAAGAAGCGCGCCCGCCTGATGAAGGACACGACGCCGCTGCAGCGTGGCATCATCCGGCATCTGGTGCTCGTGCTGGACATGTCGTTCGCCATGGCCGAGAAGGACCTGCTGCCGAACCGCCACGAGCTGACCATGGCCTACACGCGGGAGTTCGTCAGGGAGTACTTTGAGCAGAACCCCATATCACAGCTGGGCATCATAGGCATGCGCGACGGCGTGGCCGTCAGGATAAGCGACATGAGCGGCAACCCGGCCGACCACCTGGAGATGCTGACAGACTGGGTCAAAAAGGAGCCGCAGGGGAACCCGAGTCTGCAGAATGCGCTGGAGATGTGCAGAGGTGCGCTATTGTGAGTGATGACCAATTCGGCCAGCGTGGCAGGCAAGGGGAGGACCATGTTTCTCACAGACAGACAGTCACGCACCATCACACGGGACCAGGGAGGTCCTCATAGTCTATGGCGCACTGATGTCGAGCGACCCGGGCGACATCCACGAGACCATCAGCGCCGTCATTAAGGACAGGATACGGGTGTCCGTCGTGGGGATATCGGCACAGGTGGCCATCTGCGCCGAGCTCTGCGCGAAGACGAACGGGGGAGACGGGTCGAGCTACAGCATAGCGCTACACGAGCAGCACCTGCGCGATCTACTACTGGACGTCACGACGCCGCCGGCCACCCGGGTGACGGAGCAGAACAACGCCAGCCTGCTGATGATGGGCTTCCCGTCCCGCACCATGGCCACCGGCGACACCATCAACTACTGCGCCTGCCACAACCGGCCGACGCGCGAGGGCTACGAGTGCACCCGCTGCGGGTCGCGCGTCTGCCGCCTGCCGGCCGAGTGCCCCGGCTGCAGCCTGACGCTGATCCTGTCCACGCACCTGGCCCGGTCGTACCACCACCTGTTCCCGCTGCGCAACTGGGTCGACGTGCCGTGGTCCGACGCCGGCCGGTCGACGGCCTGCTACGCCTGCCTGACGCCGTTCCCGGTGTACAGCCGGCAGCTCGCCGAGCACGCTCCCGTTGGGCTGAGCGAGTCGGCGCGCTACGCCTGCGAGGTGTGCGGCAACCACTTCTGCATCGACTGCGACCTGTTCGCCCACGAGGTCCTGCACAACTGCCCCGGCTGCCAGAGCGACACGAGGGGCGTCCCGGATGGCGAGGCTGACGTCGACGGCACGGTCCTGCAGATCAATGGCAGTGCCAGTGCCATGGAAATCGATTCATGATTACCCTTTCAGCTGCGGACTGAGGGTGTGCAAATGGGTTAGTTCTATTATGAGGGAAGGCCCTGGAAGAACTGGCCGATGCGACGAATGATACACTGGGGAGGGGCAAAAAGCATAGACTGGCGTTGGTTTTCCATTCCGGCTCAGAAAGTCGCACAGATCTATCCGTCTTGCAAAGAGATCTAGGTGGTAGGGCAGGCAAGGAGCGAGGCCCCGATTTCCCATGATCGTTGGCCCGCGCATCTTATATATACTACATGTAGAAGCTACATCAGAACTGCTGGGTCGGCAAAGCCATTAGGAGGCACCGAGCCCAAGCCATTTGTTCCTGACGGAAAAGTTGATACTGAATGAACGATCGAGACTATGGCTATTTCACATGACGATGCCATGGCGACGTTGGGTAGGCAAAAAACTGCCAATACTTTCACCGTAAAACCAAAATAATCTTAGCAACACGAAGATCTACCCTTTTACTTATATGAAGATGCTGTGATTCTCCAATAATGTATTAGACACGAAGCTGCAAGACACGGCAGGTCATCGTCGTCGTTTCCTCGCAGGGGGGAGGGGACGGACTAGTTGACCAACGTCCCGTTAAGCTTGATTTGATCATCAGAATACCTGCCCTCATGTGCGCGATGTCATGGGAAAGGAGCGAAGTTGATTGATTTTGTCACTGCTCAACCCTCCCGTCCGTTTATATATCTGGCCATGAAAGGACGTGGGTTCCAACTACACTGCCGCGAGGGCCATACACATGCAAAGTCACGTTCCTAGCCGGCTACACGCGCAAACACATAAGCCGCGGTCTACTTGGAACAAGAGGGGCACACATGTCGAGGATCAATCATCGATGTCGGTATTTCATGAGGCCGAGGCCGCAAGGCGTAGCTGTGAACCGTATGCCACGCTACACGGGGCGGCTCAGTCTATAAAAAAGGGCAAGAGAAACAAGAAGCATAGAGCTGTGCGGCCGCGCAGCTGGTCAATAAAAAATGTCTATAAGGCAAAGCCGAGATCTGTTCCAGTCTCGCGCTTCTGCGTCCAAATTCCCCATAACTAATACCCAGACAGTGGGCGCAGCCGGACCCGTACTGCACAGTTCCTGAACGCCGTTTTAATGCTTAGCAGTGACCTTGTCACCGGTCAACTTCTCCACGTAGGTCTTGGCCCTGTAGTGCATCTGTGGTTAGCCAGATATTCTGTACCAAGCTGGCGCAACGGGAAAAGGGGGTTGAGACTTACATATCGCCCATGGCCACCATACAGACCGTCTGCCACACGCTCAACCCAATACGGGGAGCGACACCACGGTACAGGCCCTTCAGTCCGTTCTGCTGGTAGATGTACCTGGCGGTGCTGCCGACAGTCATCTTCTTGGGGCGGTTGGGGTCCTCGGTCTTGCTCTGCATCTCGACACGGATGACCTCGATGGGCTGGTTCCAGGCCGAGAGACCACCACCGAGGGCGGAGGCGAGGATCTTCTCGGCCGCGCCCAGCTTCTCGCCGTGCTCCTTGTTGGTCACCTTGCGGATGCCCTGCTCGGCGAGACGGGACAGACCGAAGCGGGAGCCCCAGTTGGTCATCTGGCGGATGGCGACGGCATTGACACCCTTGTTGATGCCCCGGATGCCCTCCTTGCGGTAGATGTCCATAAAGGTGGCAAAGGTGCTCTGGGGCTTGACGCCGCTGGCGGCGAGCTTGTGCTGGGTGATCTCGACCGTCTTCATGCAGGTGCAGAAGCCCATGGTGGCGTAGGCCTGAGCCACACCACCGGTGACACCTCCGATGATACCACCGCCGAACTCGTTGGCGCCAGCAACGCGGGCGTAGTACTCGGCCTCGGAGGCGACGAACAGGAGGACGGCACCCTTGGTGGACGCTTCGATCCAGGCCCAGGGGATGAGACCCTGGTAGTCTGCAGGGTGAGGCACATTATGTTAGCCGGCCGGGCAAAACTGGCCGATAGCCTGCAGCTGGGCTCGGGGTTCTGGGATAGGAGCTGGGAACTTACACCCGAAGAAACCACCACGATTCCAGATGCGGCCCAGGGCCGCGGCGAAGGAATCGCCACGGTTTGCAGCCATGGTGGTCTTGACGACCTCGAGAGGTTGGCCGAGGGTCTACCCGGGGAAGGTCAGCACATGGCACATGCCGGGGGGGGTTTTCGGGGGATTAGGCTCATGATTGCTGGGGGCGAGGTTCGCACAGGGCTCGGAAGGCGGGCAGACGGGAGGAGACGACGGGGATGAAAACGTACCGTGACCTCAAACAAGTTGAGGCCAGCGCCCAGCAAGAAGTTGGAGAACTTGATGGGCTTCTTCTCAAGCTTCTTCTCCGTCAAGGGAGGCATGGCAGCAGCGGTTGTCGACATCGCAAAGCTCTGGAAAAGGGGGTACAGGGCCGGACCGAGGCAGGAGGATCGCTCTTAGCGGGAGGAAGCTGATGGTTTGTTTGGTGATGGTGGGAGGGAGAAGAGGAGAAGGGGGCAGAGGGAGGCGGCGAGACGCTGGCAAGGGCCGTCAGTTTTGATCTCCAGATTGCGGACAAGGTGTCGCGAGTTGAGGACGGGCTCGGTGATGGTTGGGGACGGGCTAGTCGCCAGTAGTCGCAGGTGCCAGGGGGGAGGGTCAGCGAAAGAATGGGGCCTGGCTCCAGCAGCGCGACGGAGCTCTCCAGGGATTCCCAGGCGACCAGCCAGCTAAAAACAGGTTGGTTCGCGCGGGCAGAGTTGCTGGCAGGCAGGTGGTTCTCCCACCTCTCCCCAGAGCCAACCAGCAGCGACGACGGGTACATATGTCTACATAGACCGACCACAGTGGAAAACGGTATACCCTCGGCGCACGTGCATAAATCCTTCCTGGGATCCGACGGGCCTCGAGCTCAATCCGAGGCACAGCGTGCACCGGCCGGAGAACCAAGAAGTCACAGAACAGGCGATTCGGGCATCTGAAAGAGTGGGCGGCGGCGGGTTCCTACCACAGCTACGTTTGACAGCCATCAGACCCGTTCTTGGTCGTCTCGCATGCCACGGCCAAGGTGCTAGGTAACCAAACCCTCTACGCGTGTACGAGCTACTATGGCACAGCAGCCACGTACTAACGTTTAGTTACTATCTTTTTTTTGCCCGTCCATACGAAGCGCTCGTGTTCTCCACGGCGTAATTACCCGTTGGACTGAGCTTGCTTCCTTTTTTTCTGGGCCCTTCTCTGGCTCTTCGGGGTGTTTCCTTGCCATGGGTCGGGGTCATCATCGGGCATATTGGATAAGTCAAAGAAAGTAAGCGAGCGTGGTGCATGCGGTCAAGGCCCGTCCAGTGATGGGGGGTCAGCAGCCGCCGCGGTCCACGCAGCATAGGATACCCGGGGACGGGAAAGGGTCCACGGGTAAGTAAGTAGACTCATATCATGAGACGGGTTGAAGCGAGCGTTTTTCCCCCTTAACCTGACCAGCTTCGCCGGATTGATTGATGCTGCTAATTTCGCGAAAATAGTGCATACATACAGAACTATCGTAGAGGATAATTCATGCCGTAAATCCTGTAACATTGTTTGGCTGCGAAACAGCGCCGGGTTGACGCCGGCTCAACAAAAGCCCAGCTTCAGCCTTGCAAGCCCGGTATTTTGGGGAAGCCGAAAAAAAAAAGGGACGAAGAGGGCGCTGAGCGTCCAGTAGGCTTCGGCGCGCGCCCAGGCACGGCCCTCAACAGTCCCTAGGTTTTTTGCTAGCCGCCCAGGCGCTGTTCCTGCGGATCCCCCCAATCGGCGACGGACAGTCGATCAATCTGCACCACCCGCGCAGCTCGCCTTTAGCTCCCGTTCGAGAGAGTTGGCTTCTGCCGAGAGAGTTTCTGCATCCCGCGAAGTTTCAGTGCGACTGGGACAGCCTCGGTTGCGCGGCGGTTTTTGGTTGGCGATCGCTAGTTGATCGACGGCAAGACTTGGCCTGCTTCCGGGCAGAAATCAATGTATGCATGAGTAGTAGTATATACCGCAGGCCGATTACCGTGATAACTTAGGTAAGCCGTAGGGTGACCGGCTGACAACGCATTTTTGCTCAGAGAAGGCATCACGGGTGTTCAGGGGTATAATCTGTGGTTTGCTGAGATACAGACTGTATTACTTCGAAATGGCACTGAGTGTGCATATCCTCTTCAGTCACCAGCAGCGTACCAAGCAGACCAATAGTATAGGAAGACCTTCTATAAAGCATATACATATATATGTACGTTGAGACATTCGTGATTATATTGTACAAGTGCAGCGATTGGTATCATCAGGAGCCCACTCTAACACCCCGGAAATGATACTACACTGCTCTTGGTAGCAGGCCCATTCTATTCCGTTTTTGTAAAAACAAGAAAACAAAATCCCCCAACGTTACAATGTCACCCCACCCCTTGCGGGCGGCGTTCCTTCTATACAATTTACAACTTCTTGCAGATCTCGATCCACTTCTCGGTAGAGAAGGACTTGGGGCGCTCGATGGGGGCACCGACGGCGCGGTCAATGATGAGCTGGGGCAGGACACCAATGGCACGCGACACACCGAAGAGCACGGTGTAGTAGTTGGCCTCGGTCAGGCCGTAGTACTGCAGGAGGACACCAGAGTGGGCGTCGACGTTGGGGTAGGGGTTCTTGGTCTTGCCGTGCTCGGTCAGCACCTTGGGGGCGATCTTGTAGACCTGGCTGACCAGCTGGAACATGGGGTCGTTGGGCATCTTCTCCTGGGCAAAGGTGCGCTGGGCCATGTAGCGGGGGTCGGTCTTGCGGAGGACGGCGTGGCCGTAGCCGGGCACGACACGGCCCGAGTTCAGGGTGGACCAGAGGTAGTCGGTGATGGACTTGTCGCTGAGGTCGTCACCGACGGACTTCTTCATCTCGGTGAGCCAGTTGAGGACCTCCTGGTTGGCGAGGCCGTGCAGGGGACCGGCCAGACCGTTCAGACCGGCGGCCAGGGACAGGAAGGGAGAGCTCAGGGCACTGCCGACCAGGTGGGTGGTGTGGGCAGAGACGTTGCCACCCTCGTGGTCGGTGTGGATGGTCAGGTACAGACGCATCAGCTCAACAAAGTCGGCGTTGTCGCCGAAGCCGAGCTGGTTGGCAAAGTTGAACGAGTAGTCCTTGTCCTTCTGGATGGCGGCGACCTTGCCGCCCTTGAAGACGTTCTGGTAGATGCGCGAGGCAATGTTGGGCAGCTTGGCGATCAGGTCCATCGAGTCCTCAAAGGTGTAGCCCCAGTAGTCCTTCTTGTTCATGCCCTTGGCGTAGGCCTTGGCGAACGACGAGGTGTGCTCGAGAGCGGTGACGGCAAGGGAGAACTGGGCCATGGGGTGGAGGTCAGAGGGGCAGCGGTCGATGAGCTCCTCGACGAACTTGGGGATGTCGGAACGAGCGGCCCACTCGGCGGACAGGTCGCGGACCTGCTGCTCGCTGGGGACCTCGCCGGTCAGGAGAAGCCAGAAGAGACCTGCGGTGCTCAGTCAGCCAGCGCTCCCGTGCAGAATCGGGTTGCTCCCGAGAGAAGTTCCTTACCTTCGGGCAGAGGCTCCTTGCCACCAGGGGCCTTGGGCAGGATCTCCTGGCACTCAGGAATGGTCTTGCCGCGGAAGCGGATACCCTCCTCAGAGTCCAGCACGGAACCCTCCCAGACCAAGCTCTTGATGCCACGAGCACCACCGTAGACCTGGTCAAGAGTGACCTTGTCGATGACCTTGGAGCCATGCTCCCTGCACACAATTGTAAGATACCTGGGTTGGAACAGCTGGGTGGGTGGAAGCCAGTGGCGATCGCTTACTTTCGGAGGGCCTTGATCTCCTCAATCTTCTCAGGGAGCAGCTCGGCGAAGCGCTCCTTCAGAGTCTGGAACAGACCGTTAGATGCAATTCGGCCAGGTTCAGACCCGAACGTCAGATGGGCACGGGGAGGCATGTGCATACCTGGGTCTTGGCGGAGTAGCATCGCGCAGCCGTGAAGGCGGTGTTGCGGGCAGTGAAGCCGGGAGCTCGCAGGGAAGCTCTCAGAGCAGGCGAGCTCAGACGCAGTGCTGAAGCCATGATGTGTGTGGGATGTGTGATGCAGAAGAAGGAGAAGGCGATGGGCTTGACGATTGATCCGGAAAAGAAAAGTGAAGGGATCGCAGAGGACTAGGCCGGAAGAAAGAAGGCTGCCAGGTTTTACAGGAAATACCTCAAAGGTCTGAAGTCGGGTCGGCGGGACTGGGTCGGGGATTATGATGGGACAAAAAAAAAGTTCGTTCACCATGGACAACCTGGCAGCTTCACTTCGGGAATGGCTTGGGAGCGTGTGCCCGGGGCCGGGGGTGCCACCTGGACTTGGAGCGCGTTCCCTACGGCACCAGCACCTTTAGTTTTGCCCAGGGGGGAGGGCCCAGGCACGTAGGGAATTAGAACTACCTGAGCTGGAGGTCGGGTATGTAAGTTGCTCTCAAGGGGGCCCCCGTCTCCACTGGCACACATCCATTCCCCAAAGCTCAATCAATCAATGCTCGCGAATCCTTCCGCGCACCACCAACAAATTCCGTGCAATCCGCGCCGCGCCGGCCGACGCAAACCCCCAATCGGTTTTTGGGCTGGCCGTTATCGCGCCGTGCAGCAGGCAGGCTGACGTCAGGTTGGTGGCTGCTCTTATGTCATCATTGGCCGGTATTCAGAAGAGCTGAAGAGCGTGGAATCTTTCTCGAAGGCCGGTCGCTGATCCGCATAGCACGTATCCTCAGACAAAACATAGCCATAGCTTCCGGCAGAAGAGTGGCGCCGCTCCAAAAACAAGGGACCCTTTCTACTTGATTTAGAGTGTTTGATGCAGATGCCATGTCAATGCCATGTCTCGAGGGTAATTTTTTAAGGTTGGCCTTGTAGAAGACCGCTCTGCCGGTACAGCTGGAGTACCCCTAGACCCCTAGAGAATCAAACAAGCGTCTGTGCGACGCGATTCGTTACTTAGAACCTGGAAGGTGCTGTGCTATGTAGGGTGCTGTTGCATCGGGCAGGGCAGCTGTTGGCTACGAGTGTAATAGGCAGATGGTACTCGGTCTATAACTAGACGCCTAGCGTAAGAGCTCGGTGATGCGCCCAGCACTTTTGCGCCTGCTTCTCTGGTGGTGTTGAAGCCGAGGTAACACGCGGACACCAACGGACGGTCCAACGGAAACCCTGGACACGAGGAGCAGACATTGAATGGTTGTGGCTCTTGACGCAGGCCAACGCGGCATAGCTCTTTGATCTGCCTCGTTGTCTGACTTGAAGTATACCGGAAATACCTAGGGCGCTCAGTCAAACTCCAGTTGGCTGCTTCAAGCGCGACCCATGAATGTACCTTCATGTAAGTTGGCCCTCATAAAGAGAAATGGGTGTGCGGGTTACTGAGCGTCAGAAAGGAGGCAAACGCGTGTGAGAGAAGCTGCAAAGCAATCACAGTAATCACAGAACAAGAACGTGCAATCGAGACATTGAATCCGTCAAGGACATCAAACTTACTGGCCTTAAATGCGATCCTACGGATCACGAAGTCAGTGCTAGTGGACCTCTGGTGCATACCCGCCCGCACCTTGGGTGAACGCTCAAGCTCCTGCTTCAGCACGCTTCCTGCCACTGCCCCCCAATCACCCCCCAACCTTAGCGCTCGTCGCCCCCCGAAGCCTATTTGGGCAGCGTGACCCACCGCAGGCCTGAGAAGGAAAAAACCCCATCCTCTCCACCACCGCGCCACCAAAATCCTTCTCTTCCCCATTTGCCATCTGTAACCTCCACGTCTCACCATCACCATCACCATCACCACCCACCCCTTCCCTCGTCCTCATCATCCACCGGCATTCGCAAGCTGTAGTCTCCTCGCCACGATTACCGCTCGCCGGATCTATTGCCGTCAATCCCAGAGCCAACGAGGCCTCTAATCTTGGAGCAGATCCAGGCTTCCCGTACCGCCGGGCGCTGCCCACCCTGATCCGACTTCGTAATCGTAGGGTATCCAAGAGAACAACCCACCAACCCCCTCTTCGTTGTCGCGCCGTACCGCGCAACGCTTCCTTGTCTAGGAAAAGCTGCTAGGCATCTCCGTGGGCCCTGAGCAACGACGGGTTCCTTTCTCGTGGTGTACACTTGATTTCTCGTCACGACCGCAGACCCGGGCTACAGATCCGGACGTTGACCCAAGAGGCTGGACTTGTAATTCCGTGATAACGGACCTCCTGCAATACGTGCCAATAGCCACTGCAACAAGATCCGTCTCGTGCCGAGTCGTAGAGAGATCGATTTTGCCTTCTCCCAAGTGTCTACCACCTTCCGGAGCACCATAGATAAGGGTTGCGCTGCGAGACGTTCGTGCTGGTGCCGTCAATAGCGCCCAAGAAGCCTTCACAAACACCCATACACACGCACTGAGGATGTCGTCGCCAGTAGCAGACCTAGAGGCGGGCTTGAATGCCATGCTCAATCTTAAACCTCCTGGAGTGTCAGGCTCACAAATCAAGAACCTCACTGCACTCTGTGTGGATAACATTCAGGTAAGATTCATTTGAGGAGGGACGCCACCAAACATAACCGTCCCTTGTGGGAAGACAACGATGCGCTGACTCTTCTTGCCTATTGCCTATAGTCCGAATCTGTCCTAATCCAGAAGATCTTTACCCACTTCAAGAAGACCCCTGGATCACACAAACTAGGCGTCCTATACGTCGTAGACTCTGTAACCCGCCGCTGGATAGACCATGCAAAGCAACAAGGCCAAACCATCAATAGCTCTGCCCCTGATGGAACTTACGCTGCCGGTGTGCATAGAGTAACAGAGCTCCTCCCTGTCTTAATGAATGACATTCTTCAGTCCGCTCCCGCAGAACACAAGGTACGCTACATCACATTCGATACACCACTGCTCGTAGTACTTGGCGACGAGGCGCGGCTTCGGGGGTCCTCTCATGCGCTCCATTCGATCTGTAAAGATCTTGGCCGCCGCCGCCGCCTTCTTACGCCCTACGTGACTAGATGCTGTACATTGAGATGACCAAGAGCAAACCACTTACCATTTCATCGAATCTGTAGGAGAAAATTAAGAAGCTTGTGGACATCTGGGAGAAAGGCTCGACCTTCCCATCTCCCATGATTGAGTCCTTCAAGGAGAAACTCAGCGCTCCCAAAAGTAGGTCTACCCTCCGATTACCCACGGGTATGGGTCTCTTGCCCATTATCTCCTGTCTGGAAATACTTGTCTAACATGCTTCGCCCTCTTATAGATCAGTCCACGACACCGGTTGGTAGTCCACCCCCTGGTCCTGGTCTTCCTGGTCTTCCTGGCTTCAATGTAGCTACAAATGCCAACCCGCCGGCGGCGGCACCGGCAGGTGCTCCGAGCGACATCATGGAAGCGCTCAAGAAGATAGCCCAGCAGAACATAGCCGCACCGCCGGCCAGCAACGTTATGCCACCGGCTGCTCCATTTGATTCCGCCTATGGCCGAAGTGTATCAACGCCGCAGAATGGCCCGGCCCATCAGATGCCTCCTTTGCCCGTAACTCAGAGCCAGCCAGCGTTCCCCTTCGCGGCCGCCCCTCCCCCTCCTGTAAGCTCTGCGATGCCGTACGCATATCCACCGGCTCCTACCTTCCCTGTGACTGCCAGTAGTCAGCCTAGTGGATTCCCTGGCATTGCTGCCGCACCGCCGGCCCCCGCGCCCACGGGAGGCGATCCTGCTGCCGCTCAGTTGATTCAGATGCTGGCCCAACAGGGCATACCCCCGGCGAACATTCCGACCTTTCTGGCCGCGCTGCAAAGTAATTTGGCAGCAGGACAGCCCGCTCCTGTGGCACCCCCTCAGCCTGGCCAGGTCACGTACAGTAACTCTTGGGGTCCGGATGGTGATGCCTCTCGTGATCGCCGTGACGTGGGCGGACGATCTCCCAATAGATATCGTAATCGTTCGCGATCCAGGTCCCCAGCACGGCAGTGGGGAGACGCCCGCGACTCTTCACGTGGTGGACGCAGTGAACGTGGTTATGGCAGCTATGGCCGAGACTCGCCTGGTCGTGCCCGCGATGACCGTCCCGGCTGGGGCCCCGACTACCGCCAGCGCAGTCCGCCCGGGCGGCGAGGCCACAGTCCGACACCTCCACAGTACGAACTCCCCAAACCCGGCCAGAAATGGATCGAATACGACAGGACCCTTCCCCCTGGACATATCAAAGGTAAATTCTACTTCTCACGTTTCACGACGATGTCTAACAGTATCTCTAGTGCTGAGCCGAACACTATTTGTCGGAGGCGTAACGTAAGTGTGCCATGTTTGACCAGTCCTGGTGGTAACTAACAAGATCTGTAGCTGCTCTGAAGCCGAACTACGGGGTCTATTCGCTAGACAAGGTCAAGTGCAGACTTGTATTGTCAACAAAGACAAGAGACACGCATTCGTGAAGATGCTGACTCGGCGAGACGCTGTTGCCGCCAAGGAGGCAATGGAGAATAGCACGTACAGAGTAAGTTTATCAGCCATGGTTTCTCAGAATGGCCGCTGTTCCTGATCACTAACACCGAGGCAGACAAGATGGGGTGTGGGCTTCGGCCCCCGTGACTGCAGTGACTACTCTACGGGTATCAGCGTCATCCCAATCAGCAAGCTCACCGAAGCGGACCGCAAGTGGATGCTGACGGCCGAATGGGGCGGCAGTGGCGGACAACCTATCGAGGGCGGCATGGTTGTCGAAGAGCCAGATATCGAGATTGGAGCTGGCGTTTCATCTAAAGCCATCAGTCGGCGCATGCAGACGGACAGAGGGGGCAAGCATGGGCCCAAGTCGAGTAGGGGCGGGGATGATGAGGATCACAACCTCGCCAGATGGCGCCGCAACAAAGACAACCGACGAGACTCTGACCGTCGTGACGACAGAAACCCAGCGAACGCGCAGCAGCCTGTCGTCCCCGAATTCCCGTATGGGATTACCACGGGCGCCAACGGAATGCCCCTATTCCCACCTGGCTTCACTTTTCCGCCACCATCGAACTAGCGGTTGAGTGTTTGTTTATTAACATCTTGTTTTCAACGAACTGGCAGTATCTAAGAGAAAGACGTCGTTCTTCCTATGGTACGCTGACCTGCCACAGCGAAAGTTTCGAGAATACTCGTTACTGTTACGCCGGCTTTCGCCGGTTCTACGCCATACCCCTGGTCATCAGTATGTTCACGCCGCAGTGGAGCGGCGACAATATATTGTCGCCAATGCTCATCCTGATAATTGGAAAGCGCAAAGACCACTTCGAGAAGGGCCAAATCATTAGGTAACCGAGATGGCAACTCAGCCTCTTCGGAGAGGGAATGAACCGCCAATGGGGCATGAGTGAGCAAGCATGCTTGTATAGGAATTTGTGTGGTTTGGGCGGCAGCAGATAGCTCAGATGATCCACCACAGTGTGATGAAGACGATGAATAAAGATACATTAATGCTAATCTTCCCTCGCACCCTTTGTCTGAATAAAACTATCACTATAGCCCACTTTAGTTTTTCTAGGTATCAATGAGTTTTGCTGAAGAAACTCAAGATCTGGGGGTGAAGGCCAATCCCAATATAACTGTATAGACGCCATCATCCAGTCCAGGCACCTCGTGGCTCGCCGAGACAAACACAGGAGACAATCGCATCGTGGAATACTGACCCCGAACAGGGAGACCGGCTCATCTAATGCCAATCCCGAGCTTCCTCCAGGACGCGCCCCACTCATATTATTACCACGGCTTGATATAGGGAGACTGCGAGCATAGTACTGGGAGACAGAAAGCCCACCAAGCAACCCTAGCAATTTTTGATAGAGTTGACGATGGCCTAAGTAAGCAATAAGTGCTTCGTTGCACGTCTACCCTCTCTCACTCTATCCAGTGGAATCGCCTTACGAGCAAACTCATGCAAGCCACGAGGTTCATGTGCATCCCGCCCGACCAGTTGCTTATTGGGGCTACTGTAGGCATTCGACGTCGACCCTGCATCCGTCCATTAGCCTCGCCATAGCTCGTGTCCACTCTGGTTGGTGGGCAGGTGGGTATAGCTACGGTACCATCGTACATGAACACACGGGGTCCCTCCCCCCCTGCGCTTGCGTGCATTAGAGAGATGGGGCCGGATGGGGTTTCTTTCGTCTTTGGCATCTTGTCATCCACCTGAGCTCCACACAGTTTGCGGGTTTTGCTCCAAATCCCCCCCTGTATTACACAGTATGTATGTGGGTGGGCGCAGAGAGGGTCCGTAACATCGAGGCAATCTTGGGCCCTGCAGTAGTCCGGCTGCTGCTTGCTTAGTGGCGGTGGAGAGCTCTGGTGGAGCAGTATACTACTCACCCTGTTACGTTTTCTTTCCCAAATAAGCCCCCCCAATGCACAAACGCGGGATTTATCTTCTGTCGCGTGCCAACTGTAGCTGTTACCGCGCTTGTGGCTAGGCGCAGGCGGACCACGTCTGCATCCTCAACCCTTCAGCCCGCTGGTATAGTGCGCGGTATGCGAGACTTCTTTCCGCCAATTCGGGTCATGCCGGAAAGTGGCACACCGCCTTGACGTGGCAGCGTGAGCCATTTTCTTTGAGAAAAGAAGGTATACGCATGCCCGGGCTCAAGCACTAGCCTCTCCCTCCATCAATGTAGACCTAGAGGTGAAGACTGGAATGCGCGTATTGCTGGCCAGAGAGGAATGGTAGTTGTAAGCAGAGGCCAATGCGTTCCCGTCTGATATTCGAGCTTGAATGATGATGACTTTGGGTGTGTTATCTAACATTAAACTTCTCCTATCTATTGTACGTGCAAGCTCTGGCGATTATAATCAACAAGACAAGGGACAACTTTAACCAAATCAAGTTAAGGGGTCGCTGATGGCATGTAGATAGTTCCTCTCACTCATATTAAACATGCCTTTCTAGTTTATCAACGAAAATGTAAAATGAGAAGCAAGAGGTCAGCTCTGAAACTACTTTGAGGCGAATTACACCACTCTCGTTTCAATTGGTCATGATGTGTACATTGCTTCATGTGCTGCTCGTGTGCTTAATTACTTGATAGATCGTGCGTGGGTGGTGAGCCATGAGCGAGCTAGCTTACCCCGGATCGATCCCTGAGCCCTATCGATCTATTACTCGCTGACCGTCTTTTGTTAAAGAAATACCGCATTACCGGCACTTAGCACTAATCTGAGCCGCCTACACCTCACTCAGTCCCTCATCTGTATACCAAGGACGCTTCTGGAACCCTTCTAGCCCGCATTGCCAAGCAGCTCCCACTGAGGCATTAAACGGCGTCGCACCCTGTCCACGCGGAGGGATGGGGTTGAATCACCGTTTTCTAAGGGTTTGCAGGGTGCCAGATCGGAGATGGAGGTGCGTCAGTTCGCATGGGTATACTAGATCTGGGGTCTAGTTCTAATGGGGCCCTGACTTCACCGCCACTACATAGGTCCAAACAAGAGCATCAAGGGACCCAGGTTGAGCCATTTTGATCACTAGGATTCGTTGTCGGGACATATCGTTTGTGTAGACATGGCAATTGTAAGGGAGTAACTATTCCCACAGTGGTCTGGCGGCAAGGTACAATACGCTCGCTTTTAAAAGTCAAGGTTTTCGAGTGCCTGCGCAAAATAGGCCGAATAGCTGGATTAAAAACGTGTGTTTTCGACTTGGTATTCAATTCTGCCCAGGCATCTTAGCCCGGTCAAAGGACTTAGCCTCGTCATTGAATACTAGTCAGGTTCGTAGTCGTAGCCATAATCTGATTCTATCTCAGCCCTTTCCGCTTCGAGTTCCAACCGCGTAGGATTCAACATGAGTCGCTGTTGATGGGACCACGTAGCTATTAAGTTGGCATCATGGGTTTTTAGAGAGTCTTCGTCGGGTTCCTGGATCTTACGTAGCTTTCTCTTTTTCCGAGAAATGGAATGCCTCGTATTTTCCTGCTGATGCCTTTCAAAAGCACCTAGGAGCGGCTGCGTGGCATCCTCGTCTCGATGAGCCTCTGCGCGCAGAAGCCCTGTATTCATGTAGTGAGGACCTTGAACGGCGCCTATGGCGGGATGCGGGTGAACCACAAGCTCTCCGCGGTCGAGATATCCTCGCGCCCTTTCCTGCCCGAGTTGTAATGATGGTGCAGACGTGGCCGCACCGGGAGGAGGAACATCTGGATGAGGTATAAACGGCCTTGGGCGACGAATTGCTCTCTGCCTGCCTCCGACTTGCATTTGGAGAAACCTCGTATGTCCAAGTGGCGGCTTGTTCTGCTCCTCTTCCTTGTCCTTGTCCTTTTCTAGGCCAATGAGATGGACCTTTCCACTCCCATCTCCGATCACAAGTTTCGTGAAGTTTGGAGAGAAAGCACCGGCGGTGATCGGCCCAGGAACCTCGACTAGATCACGCACGTGTACGGCTTTCCCATGGCGGATGTTCCACACCTTCACCACACCATCGGATGATCCTGTGTAGAGTCGATCGGCGGTAGTACCCCAAGCTAGAAACTTGACGCCCACGTCTTCTAGCTCCTTCTCACCAAGGAGCTCCTCGACTGGATCTGTGATAAAAAGCAAGCCAAGATTAGTCAGGCTCAACATTTTGGAGAGTTGCGAGCCTGCTTACCGCCATGCTTGAGGACGCACATCGGCGAGTCGCTCCCAGCAGTGTCCCAAACATATACGTTGCCATCAGTGCAGCCAGCAGCTACATACGAGTAGCCCACACTATTAGGCCTATAAAAAGATCAGCTCTCATGCCGTTTACGCTTTGACTAAGCCCTCACCGAATGACTAGCTCGTTGATATCGACGGCCGGACAATCTAGTGCTTTCTTCACGCTATACCCCTCACCGGGTTTCTCGCGTGCAAAGATGCGTATTTGCGTCTTAACGTTGCTGTCGGTATTTTCAAGGGACATTGCCTTTGAAGTCGCTACAGCGAATATATCCTGAAACGGGTGCCACACGACTTCGAATACATTTTGCGTTGCCAAGCTGTTCACTTTGACTTGCGTCTTTGTGATGGTATCCCAAAGGCAGAGCTCGCCCGTGCTCATCTTGTCTTCGGGTATGTCATGATCATCACCAGTGAAGCTCCGAGGAGAATAGCCAATGAGTAGGAGATGCTGGACGTGGGGGGCTAGACCCCATCGTATAGCTGCAGGGAAATAACCCCATTTTTCTGACGGTACGAACTCTTCGTCATGGATGCGTGTGCATGAGTACGAGTCGAAAGCTTGCATATGTGGAGAGTCGATGTGGTAGACACGGATAGCATTCGTAGGAACGTCCGCTGCTGTTGCAACGAGCCCGGACGGGTGGTGCGAGGCCAGGACGAAGTTGACTCGACCGTCGTGCTCCCACAGACTCCTAGGCTCCATTCTATCGTTTTTAATCTTCCAGACCCTGACAGTTCTATCAAAGCTAGACGTGAAGGCTAAATCACGGCGGGCGTCGTAATCTGAGTCGACAACAGACGTATATAGCCACGGATCCTGGCTCTCTACCATCGAGTCAAGAGCGTTGTCGCCAAGAGCGACGACAGGGCGCGTAATGCGGTGATCAGGGAACGCTCGAAGGGTACCGTGGGATGATGACCCTAACAGCAGGTTTCCGGGCTTGTTATATTGCTGGTTATGGGAATCAGAATGGGTCGTTGTCCCACATATAAAGTGAGACTCCGAAACCCAACTCAGGGTTGCAATATCACCAGCGCAGTTAGTCCATTGGATATGGGGCTCGAGCTTGTCTTCGTGGTTTGACCTGAATGCTGTAGGGAAATTTTGATAGCGTCTGATGGACCCAAAGCCACGGTTTCCGGCAACCTCACGCGTATATAGAAGCGATGGCACGCGATCTCTCTTAGGGATATCATACTGGATATCCACACCATCTCGGCTTAGCGTCAGTGTTTCGGGGGTTGGTCGTAGCGTTCGATAAAGTTGGTCTTCCAAGAAGTTGGCGACATCGTCTGCTGTCCTTGTGGTAAGAGCAACGGGCGCCGGACGGTGTAGGCTTCGATAGTGCTCTCGATGCGCCTTGGTGATCTCATTTAGCCGATTAAGCTTTCTGGCTTTCTTTACAAGGTGACGCAGGTCGGTCGCGGGCGATCTTGTCACCAATCCCTTGGAGCCGTACAGCTCCCGAGCGGCGTACTGCAGGTATCGTATCTCGCTATCGCTGAAGTCGACGTGCAGGATAGCCGGCAGAGGTAGGTCTGAATCTTCAGGACGGATGTATCGGTCGCGACTTAGCAACTCTTGTCGCACGCTATGGGCCAGGTACGGCCGCAAAGACAAGCCAAACCATTTGTTACGGCTCTGACTGGTACCACTCTGGGGTCCTGTCTTCTCCATTGCTTTGCCTGGCTGCCATTGCGCAGTATTGGCCGTGGACTTCGAGCATGTGGACGTCGACGGTCGTTGTTTCGTAGGTGAACGTAAAGTGAGGGCAGGTAAATGTATGGGTGCGTCGAGACCTGTATGTGTCAGCCGTGATGTTGTCGGCGCATAGCTGCTAGCTGGGGCAGCGGGGTGCGTGGGTGCAAAGGCAGCATTTCGCACGCTGTCGCCATTCACCAACGAAGGTTTCGTCTCTATGGAGGGCAGCACCGTAGGCGGGCCATTCTGAGGGACAAGAGTTGGTGATAGTCGTTCCTGTTTGGATAATTAGCGAATCTCCCGGGAGTGATTCAGGCACAGATCGTCTTACAGGGCCATCTCGTAGCTCAACTACCAGGCCTCGTATCTTCCTCCGTAGGGCGGCTTCGAAAGCCTCGGAAAGGTGGCCTTGGCTGCCTTCCCAGTGTTGCCCAAACCCGTCAGACACGACTCGCTCTGAGACCTTGCGGTGAAGGACGCCCCAGCGCTCCCCATCGCAGCCCGGTGCCAGCTGATATATGGCTTCGTCGATCGCGGGCCATAGCTTTCCAACGAGATATGCCTTCAGCCTCTCGCCGCGGATGTCAGGCGAGAAAGTCTCGCGGGTCTTCGCGCGTTTGGCCGGGGGAAGTGGGAAGCCGTTCGGTTGTGGTCTTGGAGAATGCTCCTTCTTGTGAACGACAGGGCAGCCAGTCGCTTGCCGAGGGACCTGGGCGTCTGCTCGAGATGGGGATGCCCCAACCAGCTGGCTGTGAGCCCGGGCGTCGGGTGGTCGCGGTCGTGGGGCTGTTCGGGGTATGGTCGAGGCTGCATACTGCCCACTGAGGTCTTTAATGCCTTCATCGTCATCGTCCAAGGTCAGATCGATGAAGATGTGGCCGTTTCCAGCAGCCATGGCCGCCATCCATCTCGGATACGCGTCGTCCGTTTAGGTGGTGTAGGGATCAAGCTAGGTAAATGTGGGCTATCTACTAAATTCTGCTAATTAACCGTAAGTAAATTTACTTCTTAATTATTTAAAGCTACGTACTAACGTTTACTAACACGTACTTTATAACTTCTTAAACGAGAAGGAATATTAAAAGGTTGCGCTTTCTTCTACAGGGTAATCTGTGAAATGGGATTCTCAACGCAAACGCGTCCCGCCATTCCTCGCGTCATTCTGCCTTGGCACGTGAGGGATGCCACTCTTAAAATACTGGTTTAACACACTTTTTTAATAAAAATGGCAATTACGACCGCATCCCTACTTACGTTCAACGTGCATAACCTGAAAACACGATAGTTGTGGTTGTTTCCCTATTTAAAGCCCCCTGAGCGCAAGTGTGCACATCATCTAAAACTGTTACATTTCTTCTAAGATCTCCCGAGTGTTTGAGCTATGGAAAAGACAACTATGATATACATATAATGGGCTACAGCCCTGTCCACATCGACGAATGACCGTGACAACTACAGGTTCGCCTTGATCGGGTTCTCTGCGTTGACCTCAGCATACATGCGGTCGATTTCACCCCGGAACCGCTTAGCGGTTTGAGGTCTCTTAAGCTTCAGGCTGGGAGGCAGTTAGCAGGGATTTTCCCGAAAATTAGGAAGGAGGCTTCAGGTAGAAACTTACGTGTGCGTCAAGAGCTCGTTCTCAATGGTGAAAGGCTCAATCTCCAGCAGCGCATTCTTGACACGCTCGTAGCCGTTGAACTTGTTCTTACGGCCAATGTCGTCCAGGTGCTTGATAAACGCCTTGACCACCCTCTGATCCTTGGCGGCTACCTTGACAGCCGCCAGGTCATCCGCCGCAACCGTCTTCTTCAGCGTCTTGCTGGCAAATGGTGCGAAGTTGACGGGGTCGATACCAAAGACACCAACCAGGTGTGACTGTGTTCCGTCGCCGTGGACATACGCCGAAGCGATAAGGTTAGAGTTGCCCATCAAGACGTTCTCGAGCCGCTCAGGGGAGATGTACTCTCCCTGCGCCAGCTTGAGGACGTTCTTCTTACGATCAATGATCTTGATACGTCCCATCTCGTCAATCTCGGCAACATCGCCGGTGTGGAACCAGCCATCTGCATCGAGCGCCTTGGCTGTCTCTTCCGGGTTCTTATAGTACTCGCGGAAAATGGTGGGGCCTCTGAGCAGGAGCTCTCCACGGGGGTGAGGCTTGTCCGTCACCAAGTAATCAAGTTCAGGCTGGGACTCGAGGCAAACCTCGTTGCCAGGCGCCGGTGGGCCGATGTTGCCGGTGGTGAAGTCACCTCTGAGCTGATAGGAAGCAACAGCGTACGACTCGGTCAAGCCGTAGCCCTGGGTGAAGAAGTTGCCGAAAGCGGCACGCAGGAACTCATGGACGGCAGGGTCGAGCGGCGCACTGCCACTGACCATGGAGTGACAACGCTCGAGACCCACGGCGGCCAGGACCTTGGGGGTCCAGATGCGGTCGTAAATCAGGTGCTGGTTGTGGGCCTTGCCAAGCGGCAACTTCATGCTCGCCTTCTTGGCCTCGACTACTCTGCGTGAGAGAGCGCCCTTGAAACCTTCCGCTTCAATAGTCTGGGCCTTGATGCCTTGGGCGAACCTGTTGTAGAGTCGAGGAACAGAGATGAAACCGGACGGCTTCAAAATTTTCAAGTCGTCAACAAGCTCGAGTATGTTGCCGTGGAAGAAGCCTACTGCGGCACCTTCAGCGAGTGAGGTCTGGTCAACCATGCGCCCGTAGATATGTGCGAGGGGCAAGTATGACATGGACGAGTCCTTGTGGCTCATGTTGCCGGAAGTACGAGAGCTGGTCACAGCCGCAATACAGTTCCGGTGGGTCAGAACGACGCCCTTGGGATCGCCTGTGGTGCCTGACGTGTAGTTGATGGTGAGAACATCCTCGGGGCGAGGCGCGCGGTAAGGGTGCGCAACCTTCTTTCCGAGTTCCTCAACGCCGTCCATCGACCAGATTTGAACTCCATGCTTGTTGGCGAGGCCATTCAATAGTGCCAGCTTGGAGTACCCCTCTTGCTCTCCGGCATCCAAGCTGTCTGCACAGATGATCAACTTCAGATCTGGGAGTCGAGGCGCGATTGCGAGCAAAGTTGGGATGTGAGGCAACGAAGTCACGATGCAAGCGAGCTCGGAGTGCTTGATGATGAACTCGGAGGTGTCGGGTCCTAGCGTCTCGTATAGAGATACAGTATAGAGAGTCTGGGAGCTGAGCGCGATGTCTGGGCAGTGTCAGTATTTTTTTACCCTCAAAGGTCCCCGTTCAGCACTGCAAGCAAATCTACATACCAGTGATTTGCCATTCAGCTCGGTTCTGGCACCAGAGGCCGACGCCGAACTTGTCGGCTGTGACGCCCACTCTACGGTGAAGTTCGAGGATACCAGAGCCAAAGTTCTTGGTGCGCTCCGCGACTTGAGCATACGTCTGCCATGTGTACTTGTTGTCCCAGCTCTTGGTGGCCGCATTCCAGTGGCGAGTGCCCAGGCACCTATTGTTCGGGAACCGCTTCACAGAGTCCTGGAACAGGTCGTGGAATGTGTGGATTCCCTGGTCCCAGGTCTCCAGCAGCGGACTGTCCTTGAAGCGCCAATGGCGGTAGACTGGACTGCGGCCCTCGCGCTCAGAGCCCGGCAACGGCACAGCATAGGGCGAGCCGGGAGGCGGTGGGACGCTGAGCTGTGTCAAGTAGGCCTTGGCCTCGGTGTTGGGACCCAAAGCCATCTTTGCTACGGGATCTAGCTCTCGGGCCGAATCAAGTCGCTGAATGGGTGAGCGAGTAGCAGAGGGATTGCGTCGTCAAATATAGTCTGATCGATTTCGCCGGTGAAGCCGACCTGGGGGGTTGTGGGTTCGGTGACGTCGAAACAGAGTTGGATCAGCTCGAGAGCGCGCTGTCGTTCTGCAGGATTCTAGGCAATAGGGGAATTCAACGGCACCGACCACGGCAGCAATTTGGTTGATCGGGGGGGTGGATGAACGAGGTCAACCGGATCACTGAGAGATTCGCGAGGACAGCGAACATGTGGAAATGCACACTCTTGAAGAGCGTGCTGCGACTCGCCAGATCCACAACTTGCCGAGGCGCAACTTAGTGAGAACAGCTTCCGAGGAGGTTTGGCGGCCACCTGACCTGAATCAGCTAGGCGCCAAGGGTATTGCCTCATTGCCATTGGAGGACCACTGTGGCCAGAGTTAGCTGCCGGTCCAACCCCAAGCCAGAGAGAGGATCAAGGTCGCATAGGCTGGCTGGATGCATGCCAGTTGCAATCAAATAGTTTTGATTGACTGAAGAGACATAGTACTATACTACAAGCTAAAGACGATCCTCTGCGAATGGCCAACCAGTATAGTGGTTGATGTAGCAAAGCTCTGACCCTTGCTACATGATGCAGGAGACCGTTGCATCCTAGCCGATTGGGAGATAGCCGACAGGAGCCGATTGCGTCGTAAGCCTTATAAGACATTGGAAAGGCACTGTTCCTTCAATGTGCCTTTCCAATGTTGGATAGCATGTTCGTTCCTGGACTATATGAAATGCTCGGGGGCTCAAGTTCAGCCGGAAGCCGGCCGACAGTCATCTTGAGCGCGAGCAGTCGAGAGGTCTGAATTCTGGGCTCTGGTGTGTGCAAGCTTGGGCTTAGTCCGTCGGTTATGTGTACTAGACTCGTGCCACTAGTCGCTCGGGGGCCGATCTGGAATCACATGTGCTTCGGCCGTCCGTGGGCACCGCTGCGGGCAGCACTGGAATCCCGACACTACCTAGGTATTTGGTGCCACCGTACCTGTCCTCGCCATGACGGGACGAAGAGCTGGCTTACGAAAGGGACGAGTCGGATGACTCGTTAAGACTCGTCTGTTCGCGATAGAGCTGCACTGATTGCCTACCCTTTGCTATATCGATGCCGCACACACATGCGTAGACAGGCGGATACTCAATGCAGGGTCTTCAGCACGCTTTAACGACCGATCTTTAGCCAAACAACTAACGCAATAGGTAGTGGTTATAGTCCCAGCCCAGTTTTAGCTTGCGGAACTACATTGCCCTAGCCTGCGTCGACTCTGCTCCCAGTTATATTCTCTATGGCCATCCAACATGCAGAGAAGAGTTGGCTCAGGCTTCTCTCCCTCGCTCGCAAAATAAGTAAGCCCGGGACCCGACCCTTACTGCTGAACTCTCTGGCGCTACGTCGTGATCTCGTGCCTTGACGACTTGGCATCGTGTTCCCCGTGTTGCAGTCAGGGGTCCTGAGTCCACTCCACGTTTCGGTAATTCTGGGAAGATGGCGTGCAAGCTTTCCTCTGGCAGCCAAGCCATCTGATGAAGCCTGCTGAGACTCGTTCAAGACTTTACCAAGACTTTTCCAAGACTCCCAAGGCGACATCAAGAAGCAAAGGTCTTTATTTATCTACAGGGCTGGCGCAGGTTTCGACGACGCATCGCTGGTTCCGCCCCACAATCCGTTGTTTCACGCTCAAGCGTCGCCCTGGTGCCTCGCCCTTCATCTTTGGCGATGGTCGCCAGAGCCTCGACTTTGACAGAAACAACGGATGAGGCCTCGAAACAACAGCTCGCCGGTATTCCGTCGCGTTGCATTGGAAAGGTCTGGGCGTTTGCCGACCCCGCGAGGTAGTAGAGGCATTGCTAATGCCAGTGGCGTCTCGCCGGCCAGCCTCCCCCATTGCTTCCTCAACCATGAACGCTCAATCTGCTTGTAACCTTGGAATAAAGCGGCAGGATATCTTAGATGAGCGCCGCCCGCGTCGTCAACCATTCGTCAACAGCCTAATGTAGGGCTGGGCGTCGTGAACTCTTGCATCTCTAGACCAAGACATTTAATTTGAGAATAAGCATTTCGAGTCCGCACTCCAAGCGCTGGGCCAGCCTGCATGACAGGGGTTATACCCACCCACACATCGACATCCGTGCAGAGGCGGCATTCTACGTCGCTCTCGTTTCAGGTCGATTTCAGAGATGCGCATCGCAGCATGAACCAGGGTGGCGATCACTTCCTCCCAATCAGGAACATCCCGGTGCATATGGGCTTAGGCGCTCGACAAAGCGGTTGTTTTATCAACTCCCTGAGACCTGCAGCGCATAAGATGAGTGGCCCCTCTGCTTTTCTCGTTTCCATGCGACGCCTGGTGCTCTCTCTCCCTCATTCTATTCCAAGTCTATAATTTCTTTAGTTGGTTCAGCTTGACGCTTTCCTTTCTTCTTGTGAGCGCACCAGTTGCCGCCTATTTCGTCTTGTATATGACTTCGCACCTCGACTCTCGCTTCCCCAACCGACAACCGCTTCTCTCTCATCTATCCAAGATGGCTTCCCCTATTGTCCTTGGTCTCCGAGCGGCCCAGTTGGTCATGGCGTTTGTGATTCTCGGCCTATCAGCATATGGTATGTGATCGAGGCTGATTTACTTCCTTGTCGATCGTGTGATTGTATATACTGACTCTGCCCTCCTAGTCGCCAACTGGTACAATGTCGATACCTTGACCTCGTCGCCATCCCAGATCAACTGGCTGCTATTCTGCTCGCTCTTCACAATCATCTCGATTGCGTATATTGAACTCGCCCCGCGGTTTATGCCTAAAGGTATGTTTGGACTTGTCTGCTTCATTGCTCGCTCTGGCGTGGCAAGTTGCTAATCGATGATCCAGTGGCACACCCCATGGCCTTCGTCGGTCTCGAGTTGGCCAACGTCCTCTTCTACTTCGCCGGCTTTATTGCCCTGTCTGTCTTCATCAGCAAGCTGCTCTTCTGCCGTGGCAGCGTGTGCGGCTCCGCTCGTGCCGACGTCGCTTTCGGTGCCTTCGAGTTCCTCGTCTGGGGTGTCACGTCCTTCTTCGCTGTCCGAGACAACCTGAAGGGGGGGTTCAACTTCCGCCGCAACCGCGGCCAAGCCCCCCTCGCCGGCCCGCAAATGAAGGAGTCTCAGCTGGCCTAACTGTGCCGACACCTAGCTGCTACTCCAACTACACGGATATCCCGCTCAGCCCCTACGAATACCGGCCGTCCTTCGATGGTATGGCGAAGAGGAGTCCGATGCTGTCTACGTTCGACAGGCGGCGCATCTCGGTTGCCATCACCAAGGTGTAAGTGAGCGTGGACTACCCGTTGCGAATTATGTCTTTGCTCTTTGTATTTTGGGATCAGGGGATGAGTAACGAAGGAAGACAAACTTGCGGGCCGTTTAAAAATATTGCATTCAAAGGTGGGTGGTAGAGCGACGAGGGTTTGGGGATGAGCATGTGCCTGGTCTAGATGACTGGCCGGCTGTCTAGAGTAATGAGACACCCAACGATTGGCTGGAGTTCGGATTGCTTTGGCCGATGGGTCTAAGACCTAGGTTTTACAGATATCTTGCCTACTAGGTCGTAAAGTATAAATCAATGCGAAAAAATACAAGAAAGCCGAGGAGCTGCACAGCTTGCAATTGTGAAGGAAAGTAGCTTCGTGAGATGTCTATTTCTGAAGAAGGTCATCGTTATATTGTATTGGGGAATAATTACAATATCTAGGTTCTTTAAGTCGGTGCGGTCTGTCTAGTGGGAAAGGTATACAGACCTTAGACTACGGCATTCTCACCTGGGACGGACGGCATCAGGGTTCAGCTGAGAGACGAACGATATCGGCCGTCGCCCCACGGTTTTATTGAGGTCGACTTGTTTACTTACTCAATGGAATCCTTTCACGAATGAGTCGATTCTGGCGTCATCCATTGGCATCATCCCACCATGCATTAGCCTCAGTGCCCCGCATTTCCCAACTCTACCTATGTAGACAGACATCCCTTGCCTCCAAAAGGTTTGTCTGATTGTATCTGATTATTGTCAGGAGGTGCATGGGTTGAGTGAAAGTATTTCTGAGAAATCAGATGCTGAGCGTGATCAAAATGACGAAAGACGTAAGATACGTACAGGTTCATGTACGGATACGTCGAAGACACAACGTACTAGTGCTCTTACGCTATACTGCTCTTGAGCGTTGTATGTCGATAGCAGGATCCAAGTTCTGTGACAAAACCGCAAGATGCCGGCTATAACTCTCCCTCTTAGTAACTATCTAGAGCCTTGGTGACCTGTAACAATTGATTTGATTATGGCAGTACTTGGTATATCTGCAAGCCCAAGTGTTGCCGTACCTGTAGGCAAGACAGCATTGTTCTATTACCCAAGACTGCACTACGTGCCGCTGATGATCGACGCACACCTGCCCATACGTTCCATCGGGCCAGAGGGTCGGGACAAATCCCTCAGCCCTCGTGGCTATCGGTATTACACAGCCGTGAGGACCGCAGCGGCAGGCAAGGAACCTCGAGCACGCAATTCTGGCGAGCTGACCCCACTTCCCCAATAGGCACGCATCGAGGGGTCATTCGCGCGCTGCTATTCGACAGCACGTCTCCAGCTCCTGTGGGGGAAGAGGTAAATGGTAATTGGCATTTGTAGTCTGAGCTCGCAAGCAGAAAAGGGCAGGATTCCCCCACGAATAAATTGATGGCAAAGAGAATCTTCATCCTTCGAAACTGTGAACTCATTCTCATCTGACTGTCATTCTCACTGTTCCCTGGTGTGCTATCGGTTTCGACATCAAGAGCTGCTTGGCGAGTCCCCCCAGTTGAATACACCTTCTATATCATACACACCCCGTCACAGCGAGTTTGCAACCAGACATGGCGGAGGAATTGAGCAAGAACTTTGAGACTCTTCAGCTCCACGCGGGGTAAGTTGGCATCGTCCATGGAGGAATTAAGCCATGGCAGGACTAAATGCCCCATAGCCAAGCACCTGATCCCGCGACAAACTCAAGAGCTGTACCAATCTATGCCACGACGGTTCGTTCAGCTGCCAATCCTGCAAAGCATGGAATGACTACTGATAAGGCCTTAGAGTTATACCTTCAATGACTCTGCTCACGGGGCGAGGCTGTTTGGCCTCAAGGAGTTCGGCAACATTTACAGCCGTATCATGAACGTGAGCGCTCACCGGATACCGGAGCAGCAGGGAGCAACAACTTATTGACGAGACTATAGCCTACCGTTGATGTGTTTGAGAAGAGGATCGCAGCTCTAGAAGGGGGTGTGGCAGCCGTCGCAACTGCATCTGGTCAGGCAGCTCAGTTCATGGCCTTGACGGCCCTGGCGCACAGCGGCGACAACATTGTTTCTACCACAAACCTGTACGGCGGCACATACAACCAGCTGAAGGTGCTCCTCCCGCGTTTCGGTATTACGACAAAGTTCATCGATGGGGACAAGGCTGAGGACTTCGCCGCGGCTATCGACGACAAGACCAAGGCAGTCTACATTGAAAGCATTGGCAATCCTAGATACAACGTCCCCGATTTCGAGGCCATTGCAAAAGCTGCGCATGAAAAGGGCGTCCCCGTAATCGTATGTGCCTCGTAACTTGACACCCACTGGATTCTGCGAGTACTTACCAGGTAAACAGGTTGACAACACCTTTGGAGCAGGTGGCTACTTTGTCCGGCCGATCGAGCACGGAGCTGACATTGTCGTCCACTCGGCGACCAAGTGGATCGGAGGTCACGGAACCACAATCGGTGGTGTGATCGTCGATGCCGGTAAATTCGACTGGGGCAAGCACGGTGCCAGATTCCCGCAGATGGTCGAGCCGTCGGAGGGATACCACGGCCTCAAGTTCTGGGAGACCTTCGGTCCCATCACCTTCATCATCCGCGTCCGAGTCGAGATCCTGCGTGACCTCGGTGCCTGTCTGAACCCCTTTGCAGCACAGCAACTACTACTGGGCATTGAGACGCTTAGCTTGCGGGCAGAGCGCCACGCCCAAAACGCTCTTGCTCTCGCAAAATACCTCGAGAAAAGCCCATATGTGAGCTGGGTGTCATACCCCGGCCTCGAGAACCACCAGAGTCACGAGCTGGCCAAGAAGTACCTGAAGCGCGGCTTCGGCGGTGTGCTCAGCTTTGGCGTCAAGGGAGGTGGTGCGGCCGGAAGCCAGGTCGTTGACGGGTTCAAGCTGATCTCCAACCTGGCCAACGTCGGCGACTCAAAGACGCTGGCCATCCACCCCTGGACCACGACCCACGAGCAGCTGTCAGACTCGGAGAAGATCAGCTCGGGCGTGACAGAGGACCTCATCCGGATCTCGGTTGGAACGGAGCACATTGACGATATCATTGCCGACTTTGAGCAGTCGTTCAAGGCTGCTGCCGCCACGACCAAGGACGGCGCCGAGGGCGAGGCTCCCGGGGGCAAGAAGGACGATGCACCCGTAGTCGTTTGAGTGACGAGGTAGATACAGACAGCAGCCTTTTCCGATAGCACAAGAATATACCCCATTTCACCCGTAGAAACATGCATAATTACTCCATAAACGGGATGTAGAATTCTTACATGAGTGCGTGTATAAATGTTGTGAAGTTATGTGGTGTCAGTCCTATACCCTTTGTCAAGTTCTATATGCAAGTTCCTAGACCAGGGGTGGGCGGAGTTTCCCGCTGCCGCCGCAACGTCAACCGTTAGCTAACTTGCGTAGCACCCAAGCTTCCTCGACGACACCACCAGCCATCAACGCATCACCCGCGCCCCAAGGACCGCACGAAACAGCCGACCCGCATTCTCCCCGACAGAGAAGAGACAAAACAGCGATGCAGTTCTCCCTCGCCGCGCTCCTCCTGGGCGCCCTGCCCGCGGCCCTCTCGGCGGCGTCGACGCCGGCGACGACGTCGGTGACGCTGGCGATCCCGCCGTCGCAGCACCTGCCGAACCCCAACGGGCTGCCGCCGGCGACGCACGCGACGCTGACGACGCTGCGCACGACGCACCGGGCGCCGCTGACCGTGGCCAACACGTTCGTCTTCCACAACGTCAGCGCCGGCTCGTACCTGGCCGACGTGCACTGCCCGACCCACGGCTTCGCGCCCCTGCGCGTCGACGTGCTGGCCGCCGGCGCCGAGCACGACGCCCGCCTGAGCGTCCGCGCCTGGGAGACCTTCCGCGGCAACGAGTGGGGGAACAAGGGCGAGGCCGCCCCCGAGGCCGCTGCCGCAGATGGCGGGTTCGCCGTCCGGTGCCTGGGATCCAAGGTCTTCTTCCAGGAGAGGGGGAAATGTGAGTTCTGTCCCAAAACTCCCACATCTGCAGCTTTCGTGGATAGATATACTAACGCGAGGACTTTTGTGCAGTCTCCATTTTCGCCATCCTCAAGAACCCTATGATCCTGCTGAGTCTGGTGAGCTTGGGTATCTTCATTGGCATGCCAAAGCTGGTCGAGAACAGTAAGTGATCTCGCCCGTATCTCCCAAGGTTCCCTCCCCTCCGTCTTGGCGATTGTCTTGAAAGTGTCCCATCCGCATCGCAAAACCGCCCCGGAAATGGACAATAATGTTGACGTTCTTCTCTCGCAGTGGACCCCGAGATGCGTGCCGAGTGGGAGGAACAGCAGAAGAGCAACCCGGTGAGCAGCCTCATGAGCGGCGGCCAGCCGGGCGCAAACCCCATGGGCAGCTTCGATATGGCGGCTTTCCTGGCGGGCTCTGGCGATAAAGGCGAAGGTGCCTCTGGCAACGGAGGCAAGAAAGGTGCCAAGAAAAACCAGTAGTCGAGTCACGGTGGCAGCTTGTAAACTGCCCAGGATATTATTAGTCCTAGAACAATAGAAATAGATTGATTACATCTTATTGGCACAATGCTTGTCAGGTATTGTAAAACGTGTTTATAAGGCTATATACGAGGGCAACTTGTCGCCTTCTCTAAGGCGTCGTGCAGTCCCGAGCCGAATACTATCGGGAGCAGTGCCTGCCCACGTCGAAAGTGCAATTTCACTAAAACGTCCACATCCACCCATTATCAATATAGACTTCTTTCCTGCAAGGTGATTCGCTGTAGAATCGACAAATCGAACTCCATTGGCGACGTCGAGGACAATCAACCCTTAACCCTGAACTCTTGAAACATTTAGAAGTCGCCTCCATCAAAGTCTCCTCCGTTGTCACCATCGTTGTAGCCATCTGCATAGGCCTCCTCTTGCGACTCGTCGATTTCATGAGCAATCAAGGCACCACCAAGTACACCGGCACCCAGACCTAGTGCCGCGCCACCCATCATACCCATACCGCCGCCGCCGCTCTTAGCCGGACGGCCGCCGTAGCCTTGTTGGTAACCTCCACCATAGCCACCTTGCGGATAGCCGCCTTGGCCGCCATAATAACCCTGTTGGGGCGGCGGGCCACCATAGTAGCCCTGCTGCTGCGGAGGGCCGTTGTAATAACCCTGCTGAGGACCTGGCGAGCCGTATCCGTACTGCGGCTGCTGGCCCGGGTATCCACCTCCGTAACCTTGGGGCTTCTGCTTGCCGCTTCCGAACAGCTTGCCGATCAGACCCTTGGCCTTGTCACTGCTGCTGCCGCCACCTCTGGTGTCGCCAGGGCGAGCTGGGAGCTGATCCGGGTAGGGCGAGTGGCTCTGGGGCGGGGCGGGCGAGCCGCTGTTCAGATAAGACGCAGCTGTGCCGCCGCTGCTGCTACCGCCCGCGCGCGCATTCTCCTCCTCCTGGAGCTGGCGCGCGTAGCGCTCATCTGCGCTCTCCTGATGTGAGCCCGGCCTGGTGGCATCGTTTACGAAGGGATTCGTCTTTGCATCCGACGGCGCGGGGCCCGAGCCGGCCGAGTAGCCAGGAGGAGGGCCCGGGGGCGCATCATCGTTGGGGTTGACAGCGGGTGCCGTCGGCTTGTCCCATTGTGACTTCTTGGTGTAGGTGTTGACGTAGAACCTGGGGAGAGGTTGGTGTTAGTGGCGACATACGACGAAGTAGCGCCGCGGGTGGCATCGTGGGGTTGCTGCTTACCATTCTTTGTACTGATCGTTCCAGCGGGCGACCCAGCCCTCGGGGACCTTGGGGGGCGGCGGGCCTGAGGGAGCTTCGAAGTCTGCCATGCGAAGGATTTCCGGTTTGGTCTGGTTTGCTTTGGAGAATATTGTTGAGATGGGATTGGCAAGAGGGATGATATGTAGCCGGACTGGAGAGTGCTGTCTAGGTTGACGTCTAGTGTCAGGTGGGGTGCTGCTGGCGTCTCAGTGCCAATGAGGGGTAGTTATGTGTTTCGAAGGAGGATCAAGCAGCCGGGACTAATGATGCAATGTGGAATGGGAGAGGGCGCGGATCGGGGGTGACTGCAGGCCTGCAACTAAATACTTTGGGAAACCCTTAGATGTTTGGTTGTTTGGCCTGATGGCGAGTGGAAAGTCGTGGACAAGACAGTCGTGAATGACATGCATCCATGGACGGCGGCGATGGTGAGACCCGACCCGGGAGCTGCGGCCAGCCAACCAGAGCCCATGATTGAAAGCCGTAACTTACACCTGATGACTTGCACAGCCTCCCAGGGAAACGCAAGCACCAGTCTCGCAGTCTCCTAGTCTCGCTGCTCGGAACGCGGCCACCGGATTGCCTGGCTGTTCATGCTTGTCCCCCGTCAGCGTATCAGCTTGCATGGATTGGTGCTAAAACCGCCACTATTCTGCTGCAAGCTGCACCCGGAGGTAGCCAACCCACGGGCCCGCCTCTGGGCCGTATCTTCCAGAAGCTCGCTCACACACTCTTGTGCTCGCCCAGTTGGCCGGACCCTCTTGGGTGCCGATCACAAGCGTGGCTGTGTACCTGCAACGGCTCCCAGTTTCCATTGCTATTCCAATGGCCCGACGGTCCTTCTTTTGATGACGAATCGTTGCCATTCAGCCACTGACCACCTCTGACATCCATCTATACCCGACAAGGGGTTGCCGTCTTGAAGTATGCAGGAACATTCAGAATCGCACCACTTAAAATTTATCGCGGGTCAATTCCCTTAAAAATAAATTTATGTCGTGACTCGCTGCCTGCCAGTGTACCCAATAGGGCTGAGTATGACCGCCTTTTCTTAGTATACTTATACTGTATCTTCAAGGTAGTCTCGACACGCCTATAAACTCGGCAAGCCGACGTCAGATCATCAGTATGGTTAACTATGTCTGTGGGGCTGTACCCACGACGTTTGGTCGACATCATGCATGTGTCTAGAGTTGGAATGGTCGAGAACATCACTCAATTTGGTGGGTCCTGGTACGCCAGCGGTGAAAGCTTTATACTCTACGGACACTTATACCACGATGTGCAGCCTTGCAACTCGATTCTCTCCTCATATGACAGGAGTCCATACACAGAACGTTCGTCACACACGTTCTGTTGGATTCATTGAGTAGTTGTAAATCCTCCTCCAGAGCTATCAAGTTCGATGGGCAGCATCCATGCTTTTGAATCGACCTACCACGGATAATACAAACAAGCTTGAAGGGCTGCTACCAAAGCGATCATCAGGTATACTGAGAGATACGTACTGAGAAGCACATGGTAAAAGAGAGAAATGCGATGTGTTCTCTCAGACCAGGTCACTCCAACTCTTTGCCCAAGGATACGGCTGGTATTGGTCCCTGAAAGAACACCCATTCACTCGAGCATGAAACGCTCTATGAAGATGCAGTTATCTAGTAAGCTCAAATGCATTTAAAACCGGAATGTTAGATTACGGCTATCTAGCCTGTCAGTCAGTGGTTCTGCAAAGAACATAAATACCGCACCACTACGAAGTTGGATAAACGAATGGAATGAGACGTGCATGATATTTGAATTGCTGAATGGAAGATACAATTATCTCACCTGAAATTATCATACATTCGCTTCTCTGTACTCTGCATAGAAGATGGGATTGAAGGCAGGTGTCGTTGAACCTAAGCACTCTACCATCAGGATCAAACCAACAACTGTACTCTCCAATATGCGGGCAATCATCCAGAACATTTGCATGGTACTTTGGCGCCTGACGTATCGGCTGGAGTGAGTAATGGAATATCAATCGTTCACCCTAACTGGAACAGTTCCTAGAATCACGTCCTCATTCCACTGGGTTGAGAACACGCTGGACGACACAGGCGGAGGAGAATATTTTATGTTTTAAGGAGCTATTGGGCATGTGTACGGAGTGCTCTGTTCACCTTAACCTATCTCATACTATCCTCTCATAACCCAAGTCGATGCGGGTACCGACAACAACAATCCCATAGTTGTCCCAGGAATTGCTGTGTGTATCACTGCTTCCACTTAGCTCTGCCCTGAGGCAAGAGAGAAGTCTTCGACAGCCTTGACCCCTACCGCGCGAGGTGGCATCGAAACCGCTCGCCAGTTCCAGGCTCGATGGTTAATCTAGCTTGATACGTTGAAATATGTGCCTTGTTAGGAGATACTGTGAGAGCTCACATTCAATAGTCGCTCACTAAACTCCCAATCGTTGCACCATATTACCCCACTGCTAAGCCCGGTATCCTCAATGGAGTTGCTTCTTCCTACTGTCACAGAATATACCACCAAGATGAAGTCGGTACATGAGACCAGTCTCACAAATTCCCCTGCTCTTCCACGGATATCACTGGACCAGATGGCTTACGTGCAGGTGCAAGACACACGCTGCGGTTCGTCTCTGCAGAGCAGCTGCCACTTCCGTGAATCGTATTTGTGACAACCTATTTCAATAACTTTACAACTCAGTCCGCAGACAAAATACAATACTATAACAAGTGTCTGCGACTAGTTGCTGGCACAGGCGGCTGGTGGATTTACAAAAGAAACACGACAACTGATCGTATTAATGCAAACAGTGAGGATCTTACTGACCAAGCCATTATCGTGATTCTCCACTGTGTCAACTTTCACCTTCGCCTCGACACCATGAAAAGCACTACTACACACTCTAAGGCTCATCCAGATATCTTGTCCTCTTGAGGGCCAAATTGAGTAAGGAATCTTCTGTACGGAAGCCTCGAACTACGGTGACTTCCTTTGCAGTCCATGTTTGGAGTCTCCCACGGCACTTTATGGACAAAGTCCTCGGACGTAGTCAAACCATGAGGTATTAACAGTAATAACATATACAACCGTGCTTGACGAGGTCCAGCTTAGAAACCAACTGTGGCACAATGCAACAACCGAGAATACATTGTAGCTGGTACTTGTGACAGTAAAGGAGGATGCCCAGCCAGAGCCCCTGCTACCCAGATGGTCAATGAAGACACTCAGGTCGTGATCATATGTGTGACGACCCATCATTACAGGGGACAAAGCTGTCCTAGGAGGGAAAGGCACAAATATGAAGTTTCTACATGACTGAATACTAGCGCTTATGTTCATCATTAGGAGTAAATGTATAATGGGGGTTAATGTGGGTGCTTGATACGTTACACTTGTTATTGATTCTGGATGTATGTACGTATTAGCCAGGTCATAGTCACATCCATGAGCATCCGCCTTCTCTGCACATAACAAGCATGGCAGTAGGAGAGCAGCTCTCGGTATTCAAATCAATCTGCGAAATGATTCAACTTGACATAGGACCTCCAAAACTCCAACGAGAAGGAATGGGCACCATACTGTGTGAAACCAACGACCAGCCATAATTCATCGAATGCGGCAGCAACGGGAAGTTACGGAAGGAACGCGATTTTGCCAAGGAGGTCATCACGGGAAAAGAGGCAATTTACTTCCATGGCACATCGAGGGTCTCAGATGCTCGACTTTCGTCGCTCGACGTCGAGTTGAGGAGACTATTGGCCTCGGCCAAGCCAATCGCAGCCTTGGCTGGGGTTCTTATCGCACACTACAGCTGCAGTATACACAGCCGGCAATGGCGACACAAGCCGTAGTGTCTGACACCGTCGTGGCCCAAATGGCCTAGTCTCTGAGCGCACGAGTGATCTTACTTGCAGTGCCACGTCAAAAGGATAAGCGGCATGATCGACAAAGCTTGTGCACGAAATTCGTCCGTTCAGCCAGAAATTCGCCGCCAGATTCATGCAGTACCAAGACTGAGAATAATAGAACTCGGGGTCAGATGTGCCACAGCCAAGACCCTATAAGCGAATCTTAATGCAAGTGCCGTAGTACCTGACCACCGCCAAGCGACTACTGTTGGTAGTCAGGGTCTGCTTTTGGAACTTCCAAATGAGACTCTTTGAGGACGAAAGGAAAGGCCCTTACGCAGCGCAGGCGAAATGCACATCGTGTCAAGAGTGACCGGATGAGGCAAATATGCCATGGCCGAGCCCCTCCACTTGCAATTGCAGATTAACACGAATGGCCAGCTGTTCGCGCAGGCCATGGATGTTCAGGTAAGGCAGGAAACAGCGGCCCGATTGCTGCGTGCACGTCGAGGACCGTTGGTAGGGCACAGGATGATCAAACGGTGATCTCGTAATTGGATGACCAATTTTCCCATCCAGGACCAGTGTCACGAGGACAGCCAGCAAATCCACAATGTATAAGCTGGAGACAAGTTCCACAGCGAGATGGAGCATCAGCTATCCACACCTGACATTGGCAGGACGCGTGTTGATCCTCGTGGCCCGTGAGGCATCGCCAGAGAATCCCCAGGGGGTAATTGCGAGCCAAGGTCGCAAAACGCCCTGCCCAGACTTTGGGGCAGCAGCCTATATATATTCAGGGAGTAATAGTTTTGCTGCCAAGCAAAGACGGGCCGTAAGACACAGTCGGGCCCAAGACACGCTCGCGAGCCGGACGCAAGAGGACCTTTATCCCACGCGTTTCGAATTGACCACTTAGGACACGGACAGGTAGCGTGGGGTATCTATGGGAAATGGGAAATGGCTGGCAAAATGATTATCAAGATCTTCGGTCTTGGCTCAAGTCACCGACGGTCATAGTTTGACTATTCGTACTTGGCATGTAATTATGAGCCACAGTGCTCATTTGTTCAGTGACGAGAGACACATCCACATCTTGTGCTGCCTGCCCATGGGGTTTTATTTCGCGGGGACTTAGGACAAACGATTCCAAGGGCAACCCATAAAATCTTAGGAACAGTGTGGGAAAAATACGACCGAAGCTATGGAGGATCTTGAGTCATCACCCGTTTCCGGCATTAAATCTGAGATTCTTGGCAACCCGGAGTCTGACGTCGAGTGATCCGATTGATCTGCGAGACGCAAGGCTGGGTGAACCTGAGGACAAGCTTTTCAAACCCTGCCCCCTGTGACGACTTTACTAACCTTTGGCCTACCAACGTCCTGCAAGGCTGAGAGAAGAATGACAGACATCACTACGTCAATATCATACAGTCTCATACAACTGAAGTGAATGCAAAGGCGTTATCAGGCTGTTTGTGCTCTTTTCATTTCATGTGACAGGGAGGTTCTGGGCTTGGCTCGTGCAACTACGTGTCGGCCTCGAGTTTCTAGCGACGTAAGTCCAAAGGCAAATATTCTTCTAGAAGCGCTCCGAGGAACAAATAAGAGTCATGTAGGTGGCCAGAACCTGTCCCAGTCCAAACTCTGACCTGAGTCTGGTCGGGATACCCGTACAAACAAATGCTGAACACTACTCGCGGTTCAGGATGCCCAACCTCAAGAGCCTCTCGACATTTTTGCGTCTGGTTCTTCAGCCAACGGGCTGGGCTGAAAGCGCGCGATTGCGGTAGTGGCTAGCCGGCGGAAGGATGGTGCCTCGTCCCGTTGTTTCGAAGCTGGCTGACAGGATGAGTAAACAAAACTTGTTTCCTACGAACAGACCTCGTTTGTTTGAACGGATAAGCTTTCAACAACCCAGGGGTCGTTTCATGTCTTGCAGAGCTACCCATGTCAGATCACAACTGCCATGTGTGAATGCACCGTGCTGATCCAAGCGTTCGGCATCTGGCATCCAGTAGTTATCTGCAGAACAGCGCAATCGTACGTAGGCCTGGCCAGTGGTTGCACTCATCAATCGCCCTGCGACGCTGTAATTTACGTACCTGGCGGCGTCTTCAGCAAGCCCCAGGTATTTTTAAGAATAAGGCTGGAGCTGAGTCCACCAGATCGCGTAATTGCGCGAGCGACTCGGAAAGCTTGACAACGGCGAGCGAGGAGCAAGGAGCGCGGCCTGGGCAGTACGCGTTGTCGCTAGGTGTGCTCGGGTGTAAACACCAGGGTTGCGAGCGCTCGGGTGGCTGCGAGAGTGGGCACCGCAGATAGGTGTAATATCCGAGAGAATTGGCCGGGTGCGAATTATCTTGCCGAGCCAGGAGACCAGGCCAGGGCTTGTGTGGCGTGCCTCGGCCGGCCGCCAAACGCGCGCGCTCCTGCCTCGACCTCGAGGGCGACTACATATGAATGAATGGGTCCCGGAAAATGAATCGATGAACTGAATCGACGGTGTTCCACTAGGGAGACCTGGAGGCTGGAAGAAGCCTTTAGCCCTGCTGGTAGGCAGCTCACTCCCGTGTAATGGCCGTTGTTGCCCGCGAGGCGAAGCTGGAAATTTGCGCCCTTAGCGGCAGATTACGGCAGGATGACCCCTGCACCATCGAATTGGGTCTTCCTGAATCGTATATTGAAAAGACGGTGATTGGAGAACTGGGAATGGGGGGATTTGCGGGGCCGATATGCGGGATGCAGGCATGCTGGAGTTCTTGTCGCTGCAAGATTATTACTGGGACTCGAGATATTAGGCAATGCCTGTGATAGAGGACACAGCGCTGGCCTCGTCCCCCGTCGCGAGAAAGTCGGAAGACGAGAAAGCCTCACAACATGGGGTTGCTATGGAGCTGAGCAGAGAGCTGACCTCGGCAGGCCAGAATTACTTCGGCCAGACAGTCGGCCGATCCCCTTCTCGCTAGTATGTTTTCCGCGAGGGCAGCGCCTTTCGGGGGAAGAGGGGATTCAGAGCGGTCAATGATGACTGCGCTGGGACACCGCTGTCACGTTGCGCCTATGCGCTGTGGGATACCAGCTATCAGAGAGGGATTTATTTTTTTTGGCCTTGAGGAAAAAATCGTGAAGCACACCGACCACTGACACACACAGGCAAGCGGCTCGACCTACAACGGTATTGGTGCCATAGGCTCGCCTGGAGGTGAGACCCCGCCAGTTGCTAGAAATTGCCTCAATGTGCTCCGTGAAGAGCCGGCTCGAGTCAAGAACGGTGCAGTGGCCATCCCCCCCAGAAGGGCAACGAGCGACAGATGGGGCTGGCTTCAGCGGCAAATGGCGCGCACGGCAAGGAAAATATCGCCGGGAAGCCCGACCGCTCCCACCTTGCAGAAGCCTGCAGAAGAGTCCGCCTGGCGCATTGGCGTCTCTGCACAGAATGGATGAAGAAAAAAAAAGTCGCAAAGGTCTCATGCGGGTGCCCCATATCTCGCCCACACTATTCCGGGTTCCTGAATAATGGAGAAACCTTTAGGGCAGTTGGCACGCCAGCAGATTGAGGAGTAGACTCGACGCTGTTTGCCTTGGCTTCTGGAAACCCAGGCACACTCAGTGCGTATTCACTGGCCGGACTGGCTGTGAAGCTAACTGGATAGTAGTACATGTTTCTTTCTATACGGCTCCGGCAACAACTAGGTAGTCACTATGGTTGAAGTAAAATGGCACGAGTCTTGCGCCCGACGACGAATTACTCAGACTGCCCAGGCAGATGCCGTCGTCCCCAAGGCGGGATTCATATGACGTATTGTGGGAGGTTTACATTGCCATGGGCCAGAACTGGGCTACGACTGTTGCCCTTGGTTCCGATTCGCCTGGGGAAGTCTGAATGGGGCATGTCCAAGAGATAGTTATGAAGATAGACGCCTGGGCGGCTTTGGAAAAACAGGAGCGGTCCTGGGGGGATCTAACTCGCAAGTGCGCTCGGTGAGACGAGCCATCCAGTCTCGAGCCAGCCGATTGCCAGACGAACGAAGTCCTGCTCGTTGATTTGTTTACACAGTGCGCCCCCAGGACGTAGGATCGGCCGTGTGAATGCGACGTCGCCCACATCCCTGCTCGTGAGCTTGCCCATGCCCATGCATGCCGTAGTCAAGTACCTTCGTTCGTGGAGCTTGGAGCTCTCCAACTTTGTATGGTGGTGACCGGAGATGAGGAAAAGCACTGCTGTGCAGAGAGCTTTCCGATGTCGAGAATTGTGCTGATGTCTCAACAGCAGTATCCGGCGAAGGATCAATTGAGCCCGCTTGACAGCAGCCCGGCGGGATCAGCGCAAAAATAGATATCGATATGTATGTATTTGACGCACTCTCCATTTACGTCACCTTCGATGCGCCATTTTCGGGGCTCGCGCTCTGGTCTTGCTGGGAATGCAGCGAAGCCGACCCTGGTGGGCCTAGATACGTGAGCTCCCAGCAACCCTGTCATGTAGCCCGCAGCTAGGGTGGTACATCGAGAGATTGCTATCACAACATTGGCGATGCCGTCGCCGGTTTGTAGACGCAGGCGCTTCAATGGGATGAGGAAGGCCTGAATTGGACGCCGGTGGGATGGCAATGGGATAACATTGTGATAGCAGACGTCTTGAAAGGTTGTCCAGCTTTCCCCGACCAAAATTGGCGCAGATTAGCCTGTGCTGTCGCCAGGAAACTTTTGCGCGGTACCTTTTTCCGAGGTACACTACTCGCGCCCATACTAAGCTCTGGTGAGCCAAATCCCAAGGAACCTACCTCCCAGAAAATTTCGCAGTACAGTGTTTCTCCACTTGCCCAGTCAATTCATAATAAAGGCTTCTGCGCTCTCTCGTTCTTCTCTCTTCCCTTCTTTCCTCTTCACGACTGCCGCAGACATCTGTACGTGCCTTCCACCAGGACCGTCTTGTCGTGAACCCCATCTCCCCTCAAAGTCCACGGACTTGGTGTGTTGTTTGTTTGCTCAACAACACTCGCCGTATCCCTAGGATCCTACACCTAAACCAGACGCCGACGCAAGCACCTAATCCCCGGACTCCTTTAATTACTTTCTTTCACAGCCGGCAGTGAGTCGAACTCGACTGCCACTTCACTCGCCGCCATGGCCGAGTCCAACGCCGCCGCTGCGCCGGCTTTGTCAACCAACATCGAGTCGGGCAAGTTTGATGAGAAGGACCGCCCCGTCGAGTCCGTTCCCGCCAAGAAGGCCGAGGCTGAGGAGGATGAGGATGAGGACATTGACGCCCTGATTGAGGACCTCGAGTCCCAGGATGGTGCTGCTGTCGATGAGGAGGAGGAGGAGGAGTCCTCTCCTCACACTGGTCGTGTTGTTCCCGAGGAGCTTCTCCAGACCGATTCGCGCATTGGTTTGACCTCCGATGAGGTCACCCAGCGTCGTCGCCGCTTCGGTCTCAACCAGATGAAGGAGGAGAAGGAGAACCTGGTTCTCAAGGTATGTCCAGATATCATTTTGCCGAGTGAACCATGGTAACTAACGTCATCTCCAGTTCCTTATGTTCTTCGTCGGTCCTATTCAATTCGTTATGGAGGCTGCCGCCGTCCTGGCTGCTGGTCTTGAGGACTGGGTTGATTTCGGTGTCATCTGTGGTCTTCTTCTGCTCAACGCCGCTGTCGGTTTCATTCAGGAATTCCAGGCTGGTTCTATTGTCGACGAGTTGAAGAAGACTCTCGCCCTGAAGGCTGTCGTCCTCCGTGATGGTCAGCTCAAGGAGATCGAGGCTCCCGAAGTCGTTCCGTAAGTGATGATCCACTCCACTCCCCTGCGACCCAGTCTCGGCGGCGATCCCGGATGCGAATTCGGACCCGCCGGCAGCTGGCACCAATGAGCGCCCCACTGGTCGCGGCCTGAATTCCCTCAGCGGAACAGGTGCGCGCGCATTGTTGGCTCGACGTTCATTTCGCGTTTCCAAAGTTGAATTGACGCTAACTGTCTGCAGCGGTGATATTCTTCAGGTTGAGGAGGGTACCATCATCCCCGCTGATGGTCGTATCGTCACCGACGATGCTTTCCTGCAGGTCGACCAGTCCGCCCTTACTGGTGAATCTCTCGCTGTCGACAAGCACCACGGTGACCAGTGTTTCGCGTCCTCCGCTGTCAAGCGTGGTGAGGCCTTCGTGGTTATCACTGCCACTGGTGACAACACCTTCGTCGGTCGTGCTGCCGCCCTTGTCAGCCAGGCTTCCGCCGGTACTGGTCACTTCACTGAGGTGTTGAACGGCATTGGTCAGGTTCTCCTGGTCCTCGTCATCCTCACCCTGGTTATCGTCTGGGTTTCTTCCTTCTACCGTTCCAACCCCATCGTCGAGATTCTGTCCTTCACCCTGGCCATCACCATTGTCGGTGTCCCTGTCGGTCTTCCCGCCGTCGTCACCACCACTATGGCTGTCGGTGCTGCCTACCTTGCCAAGAAGAAGGCTATCGTTCAGAAGCTGTCTGCCATCGAGTCCCTCGCTGGTGTTGAGATTCTCTGCTCCGACAAGACCGGTACCTTGACCAAGAACAAGCTCTCTCTGTCTGAGCCCTACACTGTTGCCGGTGTCGACCCCGAGGACCTGATGCTTACTGCCTGCCTTGCTGCTAGTCGCAAGAAGAAGGGTATTGATGCCATCGACAAGGCTTTCCTGAAGTCGCTGAAGTTCTACCCCCGCGCCAAGGGTGTCCTCTCCAAGTACATTGTCCGTGACTTCCACCCCTTCGACCCCGTCTCCAAGAAGGTCACCGCTGTTGTCGAGTCCCCCCAGGGCGAGATCATCACTTGTGTCAAGGGTGCTCCTCTTTTCGTTCTCAAGACTGTCGAGGAGGACCACCCCATCCCCGAGGAGATTGACGCCGCCTACAAGAACAAGGTCGCTGAGTTCGCCACCCGTGGTTTCCGTTCCCTTGGTGTTGCCCGCAAGCGTGGTGAGGGTGCTTGGGAGATTCTCGGAATCATGCCCTGCTCTGACCCCCCGCGTCACGATACCGCTAAGACTGTCAACGAGGCCAAGACTCTGGGTCTGTCCATCAAGATGTTGACTGGTGACGCTGTCGGTATTGCTCGTGAGACTTCTCGTCAGCTCGGTCTCGGTACCAACATCTACAACGCTGAGCGCCTTGGTCTTGGCGGTGGTGGTGACATGCCCGGTTCTGAGGTCTACGATTTCGTCGAGGCTGCCGATGGTTTCGCTGAGGTCTTCCCCCAGCACAAGTACAATGTCGTCGAGATCCTGCAGCAGCGTGGTTACCTTGTTGCCATGACTGGTGATGGTGTCAACGATGCTCCCTCTTTGAAGAAGGCTGATACCGGTATTGCTGTTGAGGGTGCATCCGACGCTGCCCGTTCCGCCGCCGATATTGTCTTCCTTGCCCCTGGTCTCGGTGCCATCATTGATGCCCTCAAGACTTCCCGCCAGATTTTCCACCGCATGTACGCCTACGTTGTCTACCGTATTGCTCTGTCCATCCACTTGGAGATCTACCTTGGTCTGTGGATTGCCATTCTGAACCGATCCCTCAACATCGAGCTGGTTGTCTTCATCGCCATCTTCGCTGATGTTGCTACCTTGGCCATTGCCTACGACAACGCTCCTTTCTCCAAGTCCCCTGTCAAGTGGAACCTGCCCAAGCTTTGGGGAATGTCCGTCGTTCTTGGAATAATTCTTGCCATCGGTACCTGGATCACTGTCACTACCATGTACGCTCAGGGTGTCGACGGCGGTATTGTCCAGAACTTCGGTAACATGGATGCCGTCCTCTTCCTTGAGATCTCCCTCACTGAGAACTGGCTTATCTTCATTACCCGTGCCAACGGCCCCTTCTGGTCCTCCATTCCCTCGTGGCAGCTTACCGGCGCCATTCTGGTCGTCGACATCCTCGCCACTTGCTTCACCATCTGGGGTTGGTTCGAGCACAGCAACACCTCCATTGTTGCCGTTGTCCGTATCTGGATCTTCTCCTTCGGTGTCTTCTGCATCATGGGTGGTGTCTACTACCTCATGGCTGGCAGCGCTGGTTTCGATAACATGATGCACGGACGTTCGCCCAAGGGCAACCAGAAGCAGCGATCCCTCGAGGACTTCGGTAAGTTTTTATACCAAACATTCTTTACTCCTTCACAGATAGCTAACTGCATGAATAGTCGTTTCGCTCCAGCGTGTCTCCACCCAGCACGAGAAGTCTTCATAGATTTCTCCGCCTTGAGTCGGACCGTGTGCGCATGCTCGTTGGCCAACCTGCCATTCTCGCGCAAATTGCTGCTCTCTGCCACCAGAGCGCCTCACTTTGGGGGATGGAATAGGAGGTGTCCACAGTTTCACTCTTTTCTTGTCTAAACTGTATAATGATTGGCCACCATCCTCGATCTATTGTCGAGCCTGGTTGTGTCCGAGATGATTGCGGTCCGACAGTATTATATCCGTTTTCCTACTACCCTAGACAAACCTAATAAAGAAGTAAAATTACTCCATGGTATTCTCGATTTCGTGATCGTATTTGACAGTGCATGATGAATTCGTCGTGACATGCGGTATTAGGTGCACAGATCTGAGTATTATCACATCCCCTTTGCTTCGTCTCGGTCGTAACTGTTACTGAATAGATTCAAAGTTTATCTCCCGTCTATCCCAGCATCCCTAGGTATTCTTCTACTGGGGAACAACGACATCCTTGCTTGTGTCCAACTCTTCGTGTCTTCTCAAATCCATGGGCTTAGCCAACAAAGGTATCACATATCTGAATATGACAAGCATTAGTTCTTTATGCCCTACAAGCTTGATTGGTCGAGGCTGGACTCACGGGTCGAATGTCTTCCAGTACGGGTTCTCAAGGTGGTATTTCTGAGACTAGAACCAGAAGAGTTTCGATTAGTTACCAGAGCTGGTCATGAGTGGTGATACTGAGCAAAGGAAGTTTCCCCCAGTGTCTCACTACTGGTAATAGGACGAGTGACACTTACAGACTCCTGCTCGAAGCGCTCGACGACAGTGAAGGCCCGCGGGTCGTGGACGTCCTGCATCACAAACCAGTCGACCGTCTCCTTGTCCTTGCGGTAGATGCGCGCCGCCTCGATCAGCTTGAGCCTCAGTCTCTCGATCGCATCCGGATCGTCCTTCGCATACATGTGGACGGTGAGTGTGTAGACCATGGTTGCGGTTCGTGCTCGTGCCTCGTTCGAGTCGGGGACGGTGACTTTTCTTGTCGGTAGCTGGATTCGGTAACCCGGGTGGTAAGCAGTTTGTGAGTGGTACAGGTTTTGGGTCGCTAGGTATGCAGCTTTCCCAAGGTCCCTGTGTCTCTCTATATGTTATACCTTTCCACCCTACCTACCGTCCTATCCAGCGGCAGTGAGGGGTAGCTTTGGGCCCATGGAGGGATTTGCTGGCGGGGCCTGATGTCATTTCCAACTGGGTTTTACTTGATACGTTTGCATAACGGGGGCGATTCTGCCTTGTGTAGCTCCAGCCCTTAGTCGGTGGCTACTTACTCAAGTAGGAAGTCCCTCGCTGAGGCCGCTGTGCTATAGGGAGTTCCTCGTGTTCTAGAACGTGCAGTGTTACCTAACGATTGGGCTGTACTTTTATGCTTGATCGATCCTTTGGAAGCGTTGGGATTCTCTAAGGGGCTGGCTTGGCCAGTGGAGTATTATGCTTGTCAACTCGATTACTTCTGCGAACATAAAATTCCCTCGTTTCCGTTGTATCCAAGGAATCGGCCAAGAATATTGTTCGGCTGATTTTGGAACCCCGGCTGAGACATTCTCATCTTTGCAAGGAAAGTTTTCGATAATACCTTCCAGTTCTAAATCCTGTCCAGGGTAGCCTCAGGTCGGACGGTGGTTCTCGTATCCAACTCTACGTGACCGGACATCCCCAAACTACGGGGCTTGTAAGTTTCTCCGGGTAGGATTGATATGTGACTATTCGGGATATCGCATCTGGTCTCACATGTGGACCTCTTGGACGAAGTTGAGATGACTTGGGAGCCTGTTGCCAGTGTAATCCCATGTCAGGGGGCTAAGACAATTGACAGCGTACCTGACTTGGTGGGCATACCGCTACATTTACTTACCTGTGTAGCAGCCGCTGAAGCCAAGCTAAAACCCGCTGGAGAGCCCCGCAATACCACCCCCCATTCAGTGGCTTACACCCTATTGTTCGTCGCCCCTACAGGCGACAGGTTGCGTTGTGTTTGCAGATTGTAGTGGTAGAAACGCCTGAGGAATTTGGTGAAATTCTGCTTTCTAAGTTGCCTTGGCCACTGGCGAACCACCAATCAGCACGCTCAATGTTCACAAATCTTGAAGTCAAGATTTCACTTCACATACGCTGCGCTACCACGTGTATCTCATGTGTGTGCATCTTCAAGGGTACTTTTTGCCATTTTTTTTTGTTGTTGACTATCATCCCTGCGTTTGTATTGCGTGAAAATCTTGCAGCACGTGCGTCTTGAGAGGCGCTCCTGCATCGTCTCTCACAGGCTCAAAGCTCGCCGTCGTTTGCCATGGCGGACACTGGGAGCAATGAGAACTTCGAGGCGAGGATGCCACCATCTCAGGCTACCTGCTCAGCACAGCACGCTAAGATGGAACAACTGGGCTATTACTTTGGTAAATTCCTCACTCCCATCAAGGCCCTTTTATTCTATCCCGTGTTGCTAATGCCTGTCACAGACCCGGAGAAGAAACGCTACTTCAAGATTGAGAAAGGCAAGAATGCTCCAGGCTCTGTGTGGACTCTTGATAAGGTCAAGAAGCGCAAACTCGAAGACGAACAGGCGGCGTCTGCGTTGCGACGCCTGAACCTGAATAAGGGGCGGATCAAGCGTGCGCGTGCGCTGAACGATACCATCGCCGGCGGCTTCTTTGCCCGTGAATATGGCATCAAGAACGATGACCTCCCCGTGGCTGGTTATGCTAGCGGGTTGGTCGATAAGGGGTCAATATCTCTCGTGAATGAGCTTGGCCCCACTGACTGCCATCACATCAACGCCATGTGTATCTCACCTGGCGATGAATGGTCGGGTCTTGGTGTTGGATTTGTTTGTGAGTTTGGGCCCTGCCTTGTGTATGTGAGCCTTACTGAAGCCCGATCACTAGCCCTGAACTGGTCTCAATTGCTCTCTACTTATATACCACGAGACAAAAATGGCAGGTTCGTGTAGAACGTTGACTGCTTTTATGTTAGATTCCCCCGACTAAGTGCAGGCAGAATTCAACGGTCACTTCTCGCAAACTATCGGACACCGTTCCATCAGATGGGGCCTTGGGTAGAATTTGGCTGTCGTCAGATATCGGACATGAAATTCGACCATCGTCGTAATGCCATCCTCCTGACACAGCGTGAACCCTCACGCAATGCGGCAGTGGTCATGCATCGAATTCAGGAGGCAGATACCTACGGCGATACCAAAATGCCACGCCTACAACTCGGAGTTCGTGAGTCACATCACAGCAACAGGGTTCTCCTCACAAGACTTACATGAGACTAGGTTCGAAGACTTCCAGAGCAATGGCTCCCATGTTTGTAGAGGACCTAAGCCGTGCGGGGGAGTACCAGTCCAACTGCCTTGCTGTCGGGCCTGACTGGGCGAGCAACATCCTCTGCGCCGTAGGCACCAACAGAGGTATTATGCAGCACAAGGGGAACAGACTCGAGTGGCTTGCACCACACATCAATTCCAGCAAGAAGAGCCGAAAAGATAATGCGTTTCGCGACATCTTTTCTGTAGCTTATCTGAAGAGCCATGATCAAGTTATCTTGGCCGGAGGCCGTCCCGGTCGCTGCTTTCTTGCAGATACACGCGCCATCGACAAAACATGGCTGTCTTTCCAACATGCAAGCACCATCACACACATAAAGCCACTCGATGACAAGTATGTCCTCGTGAGTGGTGTGCGCGACAAGATGTGTATCTACGATATACGCTCGGTCAAGAAAGGCACCTTCCCTCGGCCCAAGCCCGAATCTCCGAGATTCGTTGACTGGTCAGAACATGCGAGAGCCGTCGTTTCTTTCCCGGAGTACAAGAACAAGGCTCATATAGATCATGGCCTTGACGTCGATGTAGATATGGGTCTTGTTGCAGCTGCTCATGACAATGGAGACGTCGCACTGTTTTCGACCAAGACGGGACACCGCCTGAAGAGTCCGGGTGTGGGCGATTTTTCTCGCCAGGCGGGCGAGCATATCAAGGCCTTGCAATTTCAGAGACTTCCCGGAGACACGACGCCTTCCTTGTTCGCCGGAGTCGGGGAGAAAATCCACATGCGTTCTTTCGGCGCCGGCTCACTCAAGGAGGAGGCATAGACGCTTGGTGATATTGCAAATGCTCTAGAGTGTCGAGCAAGGGACGCGATGGCTAGTCTACACGAAAGACCATTGAGTCCGTAACATTTTGACTTTGGACTGATGAAGGCGTTTGGCGTTCAGGGGACAAGGCACATGTGAGCCCATAGTCATGACTTCTACGGCAGGCTCATGCTCTCCGAATGGTACATGGCAAGAGTGTCGGCCTTGTCCACCAAGGAGCTGATATATATTGAGAGAGCAAACAGCAAGGTGTGCCACGTTAAGGTGAAGTTGAGACCCTGTACTCATCAAGTACTGTGTGCACTTGCTGCTTGACAAGGAGATGTGCATCCTGTCGGTAGGGGTTTGGTACAAGACCTGAGCGGCATTTGCATGGATATTGCAGAGTAGATACCCCCCGGTTATTGTTCACGGGAACCGTTTTCCTTATAGACCTGGAGAGCCACAACGAATTTGGACGCACTGCAAATTTGCAAGAAAAAAACACCGGCAGGTCTTGCTGCGGTGCAATCAATTGCGTGCTTGGTGTTGAATTGAATCCTACATAGTACCTCAGGCAGATACCCAGCTTTCTTCAGCAGTGGTCAAAGCTCCCAGCGCCCGTAAGCCCCCAAGGGACAAGGTAAGGCACCTGAAGCCAGCGAATGGGCAGCAGCTTTCCCAATCAACTGCCTGGGCGTGTTTTGTAGCTGGCCCGCCCCGCTAAAATTCCGCGCTGCCTTGTCAACCCGCCGATTGTTTTCTCAGCCTCGTGTGAATTTCTAGAGCTTCACAGCAACTCGCCCGAGAGCTACAACTGCCTCCGGCGCTCCCGTCACGCTTGCAGCCAGATTCTTAGGACGCGAGCGCCTGACTGATTCCCGCAACCATGTCAGGCCTCTTCGGCACCCCGTCGGCCGCGCCGAGCACGGGCGGTGGCCTGTTTGGCAACGCGAACGCGACCCAATCCCAGAATCCAGCCACGACGCAACCCTCGACATCCGGCGGCCTCTTTGGCTCTGCCCTCAACCAGAACCAGGCCAAGCCCGCGGCTGGCGGTCTCTTTGGCGGGGCGACTGGCCAGTCGCAAGGTACTGGCGGCGGCGGGCTCTTCGGCGGCGCCTCGACAGCTGCGACCTCTCAGCCCCAGGCTGGTGGTTTGTTCGGAGCCCCCAGCGCCCAGACGAGCCAGCCGGCGGCAGGCGGAGGATTGTTCGGCGGCGCTGCAGCTCAGGCGCAACCGAGCACATCGGGCGGTCTCTTTGGCGCGTCTACCACCCAGAACAAGCCGGCTACGGGTGGGCTCTTTGGAGCTTCTACAGCGCAACAGCCACAATCGAATACCGGCGGCCTAGGTCTTGGCCTCTCTACAAACAACCAAGCGAACGGCCAGAGTCTGCTCGGCCTGGGGGCTTCTCAACAGCCCACCAACGCCCAGTCTCAAGCAGCACCGATCGGCTACTTCGACAGCCTGCTCGCCAAGAGCAAGAAGCAGGCCAATGGAGAGGCCCCCATGGAGGAGCTCCCTACACTTCAGCTTGGACTTGGTGACCTCCGCCAGAAGCTCAGAAAGCTAGGTCCACGAAGCCAAGATCCTCTCCAGAGCGCCAGGGCTCAGTACACGCTCGCCGCTTCCGGGATGGACCCCGGTGCTGCCGTCAAGGACCTGAACTACTTCGATATCCAGGCCGGCCGCGTCGAGAGACCCGTTGCTGGACTCGGCCCCTCTGAGCTCGACGTCGATACCTATCTCGCAAACCTGCAACAGAAGACCACTCTCAGCATGATCGCAGACGGTTTGGAGAGGTCTGTCCGAGACTTCGATAACTTCCTGGAAGATAATGTGGCCATGGAATGGGAAGCCCAGCGGAAGCGTATTTACGAGCATTTCGGTATCAAGCCTAGAGATGACCCGACCGAGTCTGTTGCGGCTGCTAGGGAGTCGCAATCCGCCGGAGGTTTTGGTCGGAGAAGAGGCAAAGGCGCACGTTCGACGGTGGCAGGCGAGAAGGGCAGTGTGTTTGGTCGATCTAACCTTCAGAAGTCTGTCATTGGCACGCCTAGCAAGATTGGCTCTCACCAGGCTGAATTCACCGACGTCGAGAGTCAGAACACCAAATCAACTTCCCTAAATGGTGCCGCGCCAGTAGACGACCGATTCATGCGCGAGAAGCAAAACAAACTTGCCGAGCGCATTCGGGGGCTCAACCATGCCCGGCTGGACCAGATTCCATTTCCCTTGCTGCATGAGCTTAGTGACGTCGAGAGCACTTCTGGAGACCGACACGCTCAACACCTGGTTGATGCATATCATGCAGTGGTGGCCATGGTCGGCGAGAACCCTGAGGCTGAGACTACCGCACACAATGCAACAGCAAAGGAACGCCAGTTTGCCAAGATGTACCTGGATCTGCAGAGCAACTCTCCAAATTCGATCCAGTGGCGCAAGAGGGTCCTTCAGGGTTCGAACGAGTTCTTGGAGAACAGGTTCTTCCAGGAGGTAGAGGCTCTCATTGCCAAATACCCTCGCGAGGCCAACTTAGGCGGTCGTCCGGATGTTGTCAGCAAGATCAAGGCGTACGTGCGATTACGGCACAACAGGAAAGATCTGGTACCCGACAACACTGAGCTTCAACAAGTTAGTGGAGAATTTGTCTGGGCCCTGGTGTACTACCTCCTGCGCTCCGGTCATGTAACGGAGGCTGCCGAGTACGTCAAAGAGCACGCCACCACATTCCGCAGCATTGATCGTACATTTTCGTCTTACCTGCTGGAATACGCGTCGACGCCAGACCGACGCTTGAGGCGGCAGCTGCAAGAGCGTTGCAACAACGAATACACACAGCGTGTTCGCAACGCGCCCGAAAACACGATCGATCCCTTCCGGATGGCTTGCTACAAGATTGTGGGCCGCTGCGAAGTTGCCAACCGAAACCTGGAGGGCCTGAACACGGATATCTACGACTGGATCTGGCTGCAGTTCAATCTGGCCAGAGAGAACGACAAATTGACTGAAGTGGCTGGTGAATCATACACATTGAGCAATCTGCAGGAGACGATTCGGGAGATTGTCCTGAGGCATTTCCCCAAAACCCCCGCCGACGATACCAATGGCCAGTTCGGCATGGCTTTCTTCTTGCAAGTTCTGTCAGGCACGTTTGAGCAGGCTATATCTTACCTATACCCCTTTTCGTATGTCGATGCCATTCACTTCGCGATAGGGCTAGAGTTCTACGGCCTGCTGAGACCCGCCGATCCTTGGGGCAATGCGAATGAGTTGTTGACGTACAACACCCGGTCGCAACCACAAATCAGCTTTGGCCGCATGCTCGGCTACTACACCAGAGATTTCCGCGCAGCCGACGTAGGCTCTGCCGTGGATTACTTGACATTGATCTGCCTGAACGCGGATTTGGACGGCGACATTGGAAAAGCCCAGGCCAACCTGTGTCACGAGGCACTCAGGGAACTGGTGCTTGAGACCCGAGAGTTTAGTAAACTCATAGGTGACATCCGACCCGATGGCCAGCGTATCACTGGGTTGATTGAGGAGCGGGGCCCTCTCATCGGCCTGAGTGAAGAAGACGAGTTCGTCAAGGCCGTCACTCTGCAGGCCGCACGCTTTGCAGACGACAGTGGCAGGACTACGGATGCCGTCCTTCTGTACCACCTCGCTGCTGATTACGATAGTGTCGTCTCTATTGTTAGCCGTGCGCTCAGCGAGGCAATTTCGCTGGACATTGGAGAGGACCCTATGCGTCTGATGCCCGTCAAGCCCCGAGCCGAAGGCAAGGCCGCCGAGGCGCAGCCTGGAAGCAGTCTCAGCCTTGCCTCGATCGACGACCCGATCGATCTTGCAAGAACAATGATGTCGATGTACGAGCAGGATGCCATGTTCTACACGAAAATCGAGGCGCCCAACAGAAGTGCATGCCACCTCTTGCTGCAAATGAGCGAGATCAAGGGCATGGTCGAGGCAGGACAATGGCCTGAGAGCTTAGATGTATGTTTTGCCCCTTCCCCCTCTTCCCCAGTTGCTAACATCAACCGACAGAAAATCCGTGCCCTTGAGATCCTGCCGCTCGATGCCGGTGGCGATGCCAGCAAGATCCGGCATTACGCATCCAAGTTCAACGGCCTGTCTCAGTCGGTTGCCATCAACGTGCCGAACTTGCTGATGTGGACCATCACGTGTTGCGTCCGACAGCGCGAGAGGCTGCTCAGCGGGCAGTACAGCGGCAATGAAGGAACACGGCGCATGATGTGCGACAACCTCAAGCAGATCAGCATGGACCTGACGACTTACACGACGGGGCTGAAGTACCGGTTCCCGGCGCACTTGCACCAAGCTCTGGCGAGAGCTTCCGCTGATTAGGTTTTGGCCGAGGCGTTGATGGGCCGTTGAGGGATGGAACATTAATGGGGCATGGGGCATGGGGCATTGGGCATTGCGCGACTGCTGTTGAGATAGCATCATTTGGACTAGAAGAGGAGATGGAGCCGGACAAGCGCCGTTTCATGCCCGAGAGGAGGGTTCTAGACATGATTCTGTAGTGATAGGACATACCTGGAAACAAAAAGAAAGCATGTTGATGAGGCACCCTAATTATCCCCGTTTCCCGCGTATACTCCTGCCTACTTCGTACTACATTGGCGGACGATCCTATGTACATATTTGACGGGTGGTTACAAGACTGGTATGGTACGGTCACTCAAAAGCAGGGAGTATACCTCAGGTATTCATAGGAGAAACTATGGACACCCACGGAGGCTCCGCCGAATCCACACATTGACTTGGGTGCCTAGGCCAGGATGAGCAGACTCTCCGAGCACTAGCAGGGGCAATCGTTGTGGTCGCGGGTAGTGCTTCGTGGAGTATGGAGTAGTTACTATGTATACTTGACCTGTCACTTTCTGTCCCGATTAGGCCTGCCTATACAGTTGCCAGGCGGGTTTTAGTTTCGCTGTGTAAGCTACGTGTTCGGCTACAGCAGATGTTTGCACAGAGAAGAGAGCAATCATACGCAAGCTTGGGGGGCTAGCTCTCGGTTAACTTGACCAACTTTTTAGCCAGCGGGCACGCGAAAATCACGAGCCGACAGGCTCTTCCTCCCCCCTGCCCCCCTTGGGCCCCCCGCAAAATTGGGAGAGACACTGGACCCCGAGTAACTACTAACTATTATGGTACCGGTACACTGAACAGTCTGAGCACCGACCAATTGAGCCAAACGGAACTGGCCTGGTCTGGTTCTTTTTCTTTTTCGGCCTCGGTTGACTCGAGCGCGGCCTGCCAGACGGCCGTCATGATTCAGTCGCGGCCGGTTCCTCGACGCTCATAGGCCCGCCGCCCCGAAAAACCCTGCATCGTGGGGGGCCCCTCGGTCGGATCTGATCTGCTTGAATCGCACGGCATACGCATGTCTCTATCTGGCCAACCCCGGCAACACGCATAGCCAGGACGCGCGTGTGGCCTGACCCGCTGCCTCTCAGACCACCCGGAACCCGCAATCTGCTTCGGCATGCCTGTGTCTGTGCCTGTGCCTGTGTGTGGGTGATGTGTAGCACTGTCTCTCTGCGCCGCCGCCGCCGCCGCCTCCGCCGCGCTCGCGCTCGCGTTCGCATATAATGCCGCCGCCGGCTGCTGATGCTGCTGCCGGTGCCGGTGCCCCTTCCGACCACTCCTCCTCCACCGCCTCCACCCATGCCCACAGGACCACCAAGGCCGGTACCAACCCGCTCGAGCCTGACCCCGACGCGGCCACCGCCCCGGCCGCCTCCGCTGGCTCTCCGTCTTCCGCCCCGGGCCCCCACAAGCGTGGCCTGTCGATCAGCGATGCCGCCTGCTCGCCCGCCGAGTCCAATGCCTCCGCCGTCCTCGAGGACCGCCGCACCAAGAGGCAGCGGAGCACCAAGGGGTCCCGCGGCGTGGCGAACCTGACCCCGGAACAGCTTGCCAAGAAGCGAGAAAATGGTATGTTGTCGATCACCCTCAGTCTCACATGTCTCAGACGCAAACTCGGAGCTCGTGGTTGTCGGGTTGTCACTGCCTGTGCCATTGGCGGTTGTGCTCATGACACCCTTGGGCGGTCGGTTCAATTGCTGACAGAGACACAAAATTGACAGACCGGCAATCTCAGAGGCTCATTCGTGAGCGGACCAAGACCCAGATTGAGACTCTGCATGCCGAGATACGGGAGCTGAAGTCCCAGCAGCCTTACCAGGAACTGCAAGCCGCCGTCAGGCAGAAGGAGGCCGTCGAGGCCGAGATGGCTGACCTCAAGAGACGGATGGCGTCCATCATGAACCTGATTCAACCCGTGCTCGGCGCTCAGCAAGGTACCTATGCTTCACCGGGCACATCAACACTGATGCCAAACCAGCCTGGATTGGTGCCTGCGGGCGTACCGCCACCGGGCAACAACGCAGCCTCGACTCCTCCCAGCACGGCCTCGCCGCTGTCGGCGGATCCATCGTGGCATCAGGGGGGTATACCCAGCGCCGGGTCGTCGACGCAGGCGAGCCCAAACTTCAACCAGGCCAACCTCATAATCCAACAGCGACAGAATTCGCTTCATGCGCTGGACTTGAACTCAACAGGCGAGCAGCTGAAGCTCGACTTTCTGCTTGATCCAAGCTTGTCAGATAGGATGAATCGCCTGCCGCCTGGCGTCGGCGAACCGCAAGATGCTCCCGGCTATGTGCCCCCTTGGAATGGCATCTCCATGCCGTCGCCTCGTTCCGGCTCACTGGCCCAAGTCTCGGCCCAGCTCCCGAATCACACGCGGCAGCCTCAGTCTCGCTCAGACTACGCCTACTACGCACCAGAGAGCAACGTGCCAGCGCAAACCCCGCCGCCCTGGGCCGGCTTTACGGCACCGATCAAGAACTGTAGTCCCACATCCCCTCTTGACCACTTGCTCCTGGACTTCCTGCATGAGCGGCGGCAGAGGGCCGCCGAGGGCGTGCCCACCCAGGACATCGTGGGGCCGCGGTATCCGTCGGTGTCGTCCCTGCTCAACTCGGCCGTGTTCTCTCACCCGCTGTCCAAGGTGTTTACCGACATCCTCGCGACATTTCCAGGGGTTCGCACGCTGCCCGAGCGCGTCGCGATACTCTACATCATGTTCCTGATCATGCGGTGGCAGATCTCGCCCACCAAGGAGAACTACGACCGGCTACCCGACTGGGTCCGGCCGACCCCGTCCCAGATCCACGTCGCGCACCCGGCGTGGATCGACCACCTGCCCTTCCCGCTGATGCGCGAGAAGATCGCCAAGGAATATAACCCGACCCAGTACCTGTTCGACAACTTCTTCGTGCCCTTCACGGCCACCATCTCGCTCAACTGGCCGTACGAGGAGACGGACGCCCTGCTCATGGGCCCCGACGACGTCGAGATGATTAACCCCGTCTTCGAGCGCCACCTGCGCCGCAACGAGAACTGGACCCTGGGCGAGCAGTTCCACCGCGACTTCCCCCAGCTCGAGGGCACCTACAACCTGAAGAGAGACTCCAGGGGCAGCTGGAGCGCGAATGGCGGTGGCGCTCCCGTTCCCGGCCACAGGTGACATAAGGGGAACTCGTATAGAAATACGAGATAGCGGCGGCGTTTGGGTCTGTGGCCCACACGTGGTGAGATGGAGAGCCAAGAGAGAAGTGACTTGTCAGAGTCAGACCCCATTTGCATCTCAGATGCTCATAGGCGTTGTACGAATACGGGGATGTCCGGCTGGTTCCTCCTGGCCGAGAACATCGAGGCCCAAGGTGGTGGGGGTTTTCCCCCAAAAAAGATAAAAAAAGTATAGGGTCATGGTTTAATATTTCACGTGTACATAAACCACTACATTTCGACACATGGGGAATCGAGGAAAAAAAAAAGGGGGGGGGGTCAAAGGCGTTTGGTCATTTGTTGTATCTATATCCTGGGAATTATTGCCCGGCGGCAACTGATTCGGGTCGGTCTGGGAGAGGAAAGGTCTGAGGTGTTTTATAACTGGAGATTTAATCAATGCCAATCTTGCCCGCTTTTGAGGCTCAAGTCGTACTTATATGCTCCATTCTCACTGTGGACCCCTCGCTTAATGGTTTATTTCTATTGCGCAGAGGCTCGGTTGCGATGGGGCGCGTGTCTCACTTGCAAAGAAACTCAAAGTACGCGTCACCTCCCCATCACAGGTTTCAGTTCGGATCTTCTGTGTGCTGAACGTGTTGCATTGGCCCGTGATGCCTCTTATCTAGATCCCATAAACTCCATGCTCACAAGGGGCGGGTCCCCACACCCCGTTGTCCGATGATTTGGCCCCCAAAGTCAACTCTTCTACTGATTTTTCTTCTTCCTTTCCCTCCCACCTGCCAAGTCAGGTGTGGGCCGGGCGGCTTCAGTTGGTGGCGGCCTTGCCCCAGGAGGCGATGGCCTCGTCGACCTTCTGGCGGTACTCCTGCTGGGTGCGGCACTGCTCGAGGAAGACCTCGTACTTGGCGTCGAGCATCTTCTTCTCGTTCTTGTCGGTGCCCGGCTTGACCAGGCGGCCGGGCTTGCTCATGCGGTCCATGATGGACCAGAGGTCCTCCGTGTTGCCCTCGCTGTCGGCGCTGGCGGCCTTGGCGCCCAGCATGGCGGCGCCGTGGACCACGGCGGCGTGCACGTAGCGCGGGATCAGCACCGGCATGTCGCACGTCGTGGCGATGAGGTCCATCAGCAGCTTGTTCTGGCACTGCGACCCGGACATGAAGATGCTGGCGATGCTGTGGCCCGACTTGTTCATCACGTCGATGATCTGGCGGGTCTGCAGAGCGATGAACTCCAGGGTGGCATAGTAGTACAGGGCCAGGCCGTCGAGACTGGAGTCGGAGCTCAGTCCGATCACCGAGCCCTTCATGTTAGGGTCAGCTACGGGTGACCGGTTGCCCCATAGGTCACCATAGAAGAAGAAATGTCGTCCAAGGTACGAGATGGACGGGGCATTTGACTTTTCTGCCAGGTCTGACAAGTGGATATTGAGGTATTCGTAGATGTTCTTGTGCATGGCCTCGGCGATGGGCTTTGCCATGGAATGCGCAGGGTGCGTCTCGATGACATGTCTCAAGAGCTCGCCGGTCGCGGACTGGCCGCCCTCTGCCATCCAGAAGTCGGGGAGGAGAACGTCCCTGTAAGGTCCCCAAACGCCGGGGACAAACACCGGCTTCTCTGACATGGCTAGGTGACAGGTAGAGGTACCTGCCACTGCTGCAAGACGGGTGAAGGCCTGGTGCATGTCGTTGGCAGGCAAGTCCTCGTCGGACTGACCGTACTGAGTGTCGACCTTAGCGCCTACAGTACCGATCCAGCCTGCGTAGGCGTCGATGACACCGCTGCCGACAGCGATGCCGGCTGGAATGCCGAGCTCTCGGCTGGCCTTCTCGGACAGTGTGCCGACGAGCTCACCGGCGCTCAGGTATTTTCCGTTCTGGGAGGAATTGGTTAGCAACAACACATCACTAGACAGAATCATACAGTAGGAAATAGGCTCACCACCCCGTTGACGCCTCCCATGCGCTTGAAGTCATCCTTAACCAGATCACCCAGGCCAATAGTCTCGTAGAAGTCCTCTTGCCAACCCTTGACACTTCCGTCCACGCCAACAGGTACAAAGCCCTGCTTACACACAGTGCTACAGAAGCTTCTCGTTTCGTTTCCCGTGGCAAGGTGTGTAAGAGCGTCTGCCAAGTCATAGAACTTGCAGCGCTCGAAGAGCTCGGGAGGCATGTTGTTCTTGAGCCATAGGACCTTGGGGATCTCCATCTCGATACTCATCTTGCCGCCGACATAGCGAAGCAGGTTGTGGTCTGTGGCATTGATCTTCTCCGTCTCATCTACCGGCCGGTGGTCCAGCCACAAAATGACGTTTCGCGCATTGCCATCGTCCTCGAAGTTGGGTCCGGTGACAGTAACGGGCTCATCAGTGTCGTGGGAGAAGACCGACAGGGAGCAGGTGGCATCGAAGCCAATGCCCTTGATGGTGCTGGGGTCAATGGAGGACTGGTGCACGACTTTGTGCACACACGAGCAGATACATGCCCAAATATCTGTGGTGGATTGTTCCTGCGCTTATAGTGAGTATACATGACTTGGGAGCCGGGGGGCCAAAATCATGGTTTGGACTATCTTACATAGTATCCGGTCTGGGGTTGCCATAGCTTGATCGCCTCCGAGGCAAGAGCTTTGATGTCTCCGGTGGCGTCGATAAGACAAGCTCGGGCAGAGCCCGTGCCTACATCGATACCGATAAAGTGGTCCTGTTCTACAATGTCAATGGCCATGGTTCTGGAGGCACGAGGGGTAGATTTTTATGTGTATGTGCGCTAGGGACTCAAGAGAAGTCAAGGTACGGAAAGACGTACGTTGTTCTCGATATGAATGACATTGCGAGTACTAAACATGAGGCGAACGAGCTCGTGGTCAGCGAATGGTCCGGCGAACCCAAGCCAAGGGCAGGTTTGGCATCATCTTGGGGGGACGATCAGCGCCTCTGGCTACGTACTCCATCTTGGATGTGTGATGCTCTTCTGCAAAGTCACCGAGCTCAACGATTGAGGAGCAATAAGCGAGCGAATGGCACAGGCGCGGGGACGCTGCTCCTGTCCTGTTGCAGTAACCCGGCAGGGTAAGTTTGGAGGCGTAAGCGGATAGGTAACGGCGTTGTCTTGGGACGCTGTAAGAAGCAATTCGCCTGCGAGATACGGTTCGGTGCGAATGGGAGAGGCTTGAGAGAGCAGGGGAAGCTTGTTTCCTGTCAGCCCTCCATCACCGGGACCCCTTCAGGTTTTACTTTTTCGTCTGGGAGCTATGGCTTCGCCGAGCTGTCGACCCAGCTCCAGTATGAGGTCACAACGGCTCACAGGGTCCCCTCGGCGCCCCATCGCCGCCCCATCGCCGTCGCCCCCCATGCCCCCACCACCGCCAGCATGTGGGGTAGGTCCCCTATCGGAGCGCCGCCAGCAGGGCCAGCTCGAAAATCTTGTGCAGATCAACTCTAGACTGGCCATCGTGCTGCTTCTTGGGCCTTCTGGGGGCGCAACAGAGCCCCACCGCCGTCGAAGGATTGCCTGACGGCCAGATGGCCCAGGGAGGCGACTGCATTTCCCAGAGAATACTTCCGCCCGCTTGGGCACTGATCGCCCGATTGCGGACCCCGCGTGCAGAGCTGGGCAAGCTGGGAAGCTCACCGACAGCTCCGAACGGCCAAGGTCACAGCCTGGGTCCCCAGTGCCGAGATCGTGTAGTTGGCAACTTAGTTGAGTGGATCGTGACCGCACTTTCAAGACGGTTCTGATGTGCCCGTCCCACTTTGCCATGCGTGGGGAAATGAGTTCTCCAGACGGCCAGACCTGCCAGGCTCTTCGTCAACTTGTGTTAGGTATACTGAGTCAAAACTGCTATAGATCTGTCGATCACGGACACAAGGCCGAAAGTCACTAGGGGCTAAACGTCGAATACTTGCTAGTCCTAACCAAATCAGCATTTACTAGTAAAACTAGGCGTATCGCATCATGGGTATCAACTGAAACTCAATGCCTGCTGCACTGTAGCACCCGCAATCCAGGCAGACCGCCCGCGCCTGCGCCAGTGCATGTGGATTAGCACTTCCGACATCCCCGAGGCACTAGTTAGCCTACTGACACTGCTGGCTTGGCAGGCACTCGTCAGGTGTGTTGTTTGGCGGTCAATCATGTCTCATAAAGCTCGTATCTCATCCGCGTTGCTCGTCACAGATCTTCATCCGGCTGCTCCTCGATCAATATGGCAACCGTCACTGTTGCAGCATAGGCCTCGCGAATGGCACATGCCATGCTGTGCCGGATTAGTAAGTGGGCATGAATCTATGTTCACAAGGTCTTTTGCAACTCACCAGGTCTTTCTGATATCCGCTATCACGGCGCTCAAACCCCAGTGTGAGCACCACGCCCTTGCGAGAACTTCATTATCTCGAACCCCAAACGCGGACACCACCAACACCCTCTCTGCATCGTCTTCGGACATTGCAGATTTTGGGGGAGCACTCCCGCCTACTGGGGTCGAGTTGGCACTTCTCCCGCTGAACCCACCAGGGTTGCCCCAGTCTTGGATCTTGACCAGCTCGTCCGCCTTGACTGAGGAATATTCGTAGTCGAAGAACAACGGGTGCGGTCCCAAAGAGCAGGGCCAAGCATTGATGAATGACACGTCATAAGTCAGGCGTAGAGGCCAAGAAACTCCATCTATGGCAAACTGGATGGAAGCATCAAACCATTGTGGTCCTGTGTCTTGACGGTTCGGTAGAGTTCTCTTGAGGTTGAGCAGTTCGATCCGAATCGTGTCAGTGAAATCATCCACATCCGGTGAGACCAGCTCGTACTCCTTTACCGGAAAGACTTCCGCTGGAGGGCCAAGGGGGTCTGATCTCTCACTCATCGATGTTACATCTTCTGGAGTAATCCGTTGCCGCGGCCTTCTGGAACGAATTCGCGCGATCTGAGATCTGCTCAGATCTACTGTTGGTCGTGCAGGCCCAATCCAACCCCCCACCTCGAGGCAGGTGGGAGCCAGTACCTTACCAACGATACAAGCGGACGACCAGTAAGTGTAGCTGTTGCGGTACTGAAATCCGCAGTACGGATGGAGATGCGTCAGCAATGCCAGATTGTCTGTTGCCTTATCAGGGTCGATATCGATGAGAGAGTTCATCATGAGAAACGGAAATGTCGTCTGTGCACACATTAGAACGGGTCCGGCATCCACGCTGTATGGAGTCACTTACCCCTGGAAGCACTAATCCACTGAAGAATGCCATTGTATGAGAGCTCAGGTCCAAGAGGCTCCTCTCAACCTCATACTGCTTCAGCGCCTCCAAGGTCTCATCGAGATTCGGCCACTTCATCATCTGGGCGAAACGCTTTAGCATTTTAGCCTGCCGCTTTCTCAACTTGTATCGAAGTCGCACTTGATCGGCCGCGCTACCGCTCTCCCCAACGCGAACATAGTCGTGCCACCTTCGAGCAAGGGCCATATTCCATTGAATCCTCGGGGGTATCTGGCCCATCAATTTCTCCTTGGCCCAGTCGTTATGAAGCTTCGAGTTGATCCGCAGCTCCAGCTCAAGGCTTAAGACCAGCTGATGGAAGAACTTGACGTATTGCTGGTGGTTCGCATGACCCGTGTCGAATATAAAGCGTGTGACAACTTGGTTCTTGGGGATCGTAAAGTCTATCCAGCCAGGGCCGGACAGGACCATGATCAGGTCTGTGATCTGTTTCTCCATGGACTTGTGGGGACTGAAGACCCTGTCGGGATCTTTCAGAAATCGCTTGTACAGGTTTCTATACATCAGATCCTCATCGTTATCCTCCAACCCGCCTTCAAGCTGCTTTAGGCGGTCAAAGATCTGTACGAGGTCTACCTCGCGTGGTACCAAGCCTGAATCTCGAAGCTCTATGGCTGGTGGAATGATACTTGACATGTTTGCCCAATGACTCAAGGTGATTGTACCTGGCCGACCGCCATGCGTGAAAGCCAGGCTGGGCTGCTCGAGAGTCTCCCAGGGATAAACATGCGTGTTTGCGCCCTGTATGCGTAGGGTTGACAGCTGGATCATCGAGTCATGAAGGTTGGCGGCATCGGTTGTCTCATCGTGGTTGCCTGCCGTGGTTGTATAGAGAGCGTAGTAGTGATCGGAACGATGAGGGACCGGTCGCCTGTGGCCCTTGTGTGCTGGGACACCTCGGGAAATCAAATCCATGGCGTGTCCAAGGGTAAGCTCTTCTTCACTGGAGACGCCCGACGGAGGCCATTCGGAGAGAGGCGACGCCTCGTAAACATGGCCATTTGCATCTGCCCGTCCTTTGCCCTTTTCCTCACGGCGGACCACCCGGCGGGGCCTGCGCCGGGATCCCACCATCTCGGGTCCATCAGTTCTTCGTTTCTGGCTGACATCTCCCTCACTTGCCGTCCTCGGCGGATCCTTTGCCTGCATATCGGATCAGTGATTTATGTTCCCGTAAGCACCCGTGGAAGGCCCGTACGAACCAGTTTGCCGCCGCGCGCGGTGCTCAAGGAGCGGATGAGCCCGCCCAAGAACCCTTTCTTCTTAGGTTCCGCCATCGGGAATCATCAAAAGCTCATGTCGGGGCATCAGCAGTGAGGTCGCGTTCGGAAGAGGCAACCGACGTCTGCTTGCATCGGGCTCACATGCAGGGCTGTGTGGTTGACACGCGTCGGTGGTGTGGCTGCGCACCCGAGAAAGGTTGATTTGCCCGAACCGAGGGGTTTCTACGGGAATCAGACGTCGGCGCAGAAGCTTGTATCCCAAATTCGCTCGCCCAAGGGCATCCCCAGCGGGTTAGGAAAGTAAGTAGCAGATTTTGAGTGAATTCAGGCGTCGTGGCGCCGGCAGGTTGGATATGCACGAAACAAGGAGCTGCATGGCCCAACCTTTGCGCATGGCGTCTTCCGTGCTTGAAGCAGAATTCGAGGCGGGTGCTGCATGATGCTGAGACAACCTAGTCGCGAAACGGCTGCTGGCTGTTGTAATGGAAGGTCCTGAATGGAAGAAGACACTGTTTGCCACGGTTGGCCTCATTTGACCCAATAGGTGTGTGTCAATTGTGCCAGTCGGAATGCAGGCTGGGACGGCTGCTGATTGCTGAGCAGCTCGTTCAGTGGTAACCTTAGAGAGGGACCGCAGGAGGGGCACAGTACTGGCAAAACTACAGACCTAGTATAACTTATTAGTAGTTAGTACTTGACGTACCTTAGCAAGAACCTTGGTATCGCATCTAGTCGACTTGACGAAGTACGAGACGACCCGTCCTGACCACTGGCCGCTTTATCAGAGACTAAATCCATGGAAGCCTTTCTTCCCGTTCTGCCATGTTCGGCTTCTTCGCAGTTGGGCAATATCAACTGGGATTCTGCTCACGTCGGCGCGGTGCGGTGCATCATGCGCTCTGGCCTAAGTTATTGGGGCTGGCTTTAGCTGGGTCGAGTCAGATGAGGCTGAAAGAAGCCACCGAGGTAAAGTGCAGCAACAAACGATGCATTGCACCTGTTCACAGCCGCACCTTCATTCTTGCTCATGCATCAGGCTTTCGTGCGAATGAAGACCGACAATCTGTGCGCGCATCGCATTGAATTTCAAAACGTCCCCCAAGGCCTGCAGCAGCTTTTGCTACCAGGTTCATGCACAACGAACCCGCCTGCCCGCTCAATGGTGTATCTACAGTGACAACATCATGGTTTGTGAGTAGATACTACACCACCGTCAAAGCTTGCATCTCAGTTACTCACACAGTTACAGCAGCACCGACCTTCCACCATCGTGTACGGCGAACCTTCAACTCGGATCGTCTATACTCAATATCTGATGACTACCTTCGCAATGGGGAGCATGAAGCAACAGCACTGCTTGGCACAACTCCTGTCCCCAGCAGTGGAATCCAATTGTTCCTGCTCAGTGTCAGCTATACCCCAGGAATGGACAGTCCGTGGCTGGCGGTCAGATGGCCGGCAGCTCTATGGCATCTCATAAAACTGTCCTTGCTTATGAGCAGTCAGTATCTCTAGTTCACCAGCCCAGCGGGCCACCGGTCAAGTTGTGGTGTTTTGGGGTTACTGTGTGACTTGACTAACACCAAACCGGAACCAGATGGTTATATCAACGTGCTGCTCGTTCCCATGGTCTTTGGCATCATATCCAAGGTTCTCGCGTGGCCACCAGTCGCAGTGCTGGTGCTGAATGCTCTTGGGATTATCCCCCTTCTTGGTCTCCTGACATTCTTTGCCGAGCAGGTGGGTGACCACTCCGGTGAGACAATAGGGGGCTTGATAAATGCCACAGCGGGCAGCCTGGGAGGGTTTATCGTAAGTCTTCTCCCCC